TTCTGCTAGCAGTTTTTAGAGGTTTTAATTTGTTTTTATTACCTGCTTTGGAAGCATTGTGATGTAATGGAAGAACCAGCATTAGTTTGCCTGCCTCTACACTGAGCAAGTCATTTAATCCAATTTAAGTCACTCCATCAATAAAATAACATTGCTGGAGCTGTACCTGTCTAAAGGTTGGGGTGAATCAGATCCTCATTTGAGGTTCTGGTTATCCCTTGGGACCATGACTGTAAAATAAAGAAATAATGTGGCTCTTTGAATCTGGAGCAGTTGTGGGTCCCACACATCCATCAAGGCCCTGCAACTGCTGTTTGTTCCTGGATTGAGGAAATGTTTTGACCTCTGAAATGAGATTTGGTTTCTTTAAAAGAAAATTAATAATGCTCTTTAAAAAACTCTGCTTACCTTAGTTAAATGAGTTTACTTATCTAAAATATCATGGTTCCTTTCAGTAAATTCAATTCAATTTAGTAATGACGCCCTCATATGCCATACAGCTGAGTGCAGTATATATAATTCATGTATCTAATTAATAGTTATAAATAAGACATGCTTTCTTTTAATTGCCATTCAGTAATTTCATAAAAGAGACCATCATTTAATCATCTTCTATGCTGATTTGTATTTTTCAAGTTATTCAAGAGTGAATTAGATGTAATTCTGTTTAGAAACATACTTGCAAAGTAGTTATTTTTCAGGATGTTGCTACAAAAAGCTTTGAAAAATAAAAAGCATGGGGGAGACAGGATGAAGAATTTGAATTTTAATTATATCTCTACAAAGAAAACTCTTGACTAGTGTACTCAGCCATTCAGTAAATATTTTTATGGATAAGATTGATACAGACAGGATAGAAAGGATTCCTGCTCACAGCCAGCAGGGCAGCAGCAGGATTGAACTAGGCCCACTAGAAACAAAAACTCATCTGTTTTCATTTTCAGCAAGAGCAAAATATAAAACAATTACTTATACCCAGTCAAACAAAATGACAAAGTAAATATATATTTAAAGGACATTTCCTAGTTTCTCCATTCTCTAATTCTCCCTTTGAATATTTTTCCATTCATATTTTCAACTGGTATATTAAGGGAAAATTAAAAGCCTGCAAACTATTTTGTTTATACTATTCAGCTAGGTTAATACATTTTTGAGCTGAACCATCTTGCTGAACGTAAGCTCCAAGAAATGGCTAACAGACTCCTTTGTTGAGTGAGTCCTGTTTATGTGTTTTATTTGTTCTAAAGGGTACTAGCAATTGTATTGCTATTATCAGTCTCCACAATTCTAAAGGATTGTTCTTGATCATCTGACTTAATTTTAAATAACAAGCTTTAAATTATCTATTACAAATCTGGTATTTCATATTTAAGGCAACAATGTTTGAAGAAAGAATATACTAAGTAAATTATTTCTGTGGTTCCTAATAGTTGTTGACTATCTGCATGGTATTGAAATACATAGATGACTACCAAAGCAAACTGGTGTAGTGAAATAAAGGAGTTCAGAGCCATCACAGCATACTTAGTATTGCTATATTGGGTCAGGCTCACATGGTGGAAATGCTTTTAGATTTAAACCTGGGTTTAATTATGGCTATGCATCTTTAAGTATTAGTAATTTATATAATCAATCTCTCTTGTTTCAGTTGAATCATTTGTAAAGTGAAGATTCTGTCACCAAGAATGCTATAAAGACTAAATAATACAATTTTTAGAGCAGCTGGTACATGATAAAATGATAGATCCCTTTCTGACCTTGAAAATCTTTTTGGTACCCAAGGGTCCTCCCCCTCTGTAGTCCAGGCTTGCTGGGACTCCACTGACACTGGAATTTCATTCAGTCTTCCTTTCCTAGCCCAACTTTCACTTTCGCTTGGTCTTTTCTATTGATTGTGCAAGAATTAAAGCATGCAGACAGCAATGGACAGAGCTGGCAGTAACTGAATAGTATGCCTCACATGTCTCATTAGGTGTTCCCTACCTTAAGTCTAATTTTCTGAGATGGATTAGACTGGTCTTTAAACCTATGGTAGACAAATAAAAATATACTACTCAATAGACCTGAAGATTAAAGATGGTGGAAAACTGACCCTGCTAACCCTAGTCAGAGGAAGCCAAGGAAACAAGAAGCCAGGGCAGCAGAAACATCTGGATTGAATTTTCCAGTTGTGCAGAAACAGAGTTCGTCTGTCAGGCAGTACCAATGGCAGCTTCCAGTCCAGGAATCACCAGGCCCTGTGTTCGGTGGCAGGTGGACAGCAAAATGCAAGACACCCAGCCTCATCACCACTCGATCCATTGCTCTCCCTTCCTGTTATAACATCACAGTTTATTAAAGACTTTCAGAAATGCGATCTCCAAACACACTTAAGGAATACACTCTGTGCATGAGAAAGGAAATATATATTTATTTAATAATATTTTAATCCATTAAATTCATAGGATAATAAAACACATCAAAGTTAATGTTATTACTTTACAGCAATGGTCACTGATAGTGTCACACAAACAGCATACGTAAATGATTAGAAGAGGAACTAATAATAATCCAAGAATTCCAATTCCCCAAGATCACTTTGACACAACACATTGCTATATTAATTACTATATTTCAAAAGAAAAGAGGAGCTTAAAAATGAAATCTCCTTCTCCATGCCGTGATTCAATCCTGACATTGTCATTGAGGAGATACTTGGAGGAATCCAAGATGTGACTTAATTTTTAACAATCTTTTACTCTAGACAAGTAACTTAGTTTAGAAATCACTCTCTATATCACCATTAGACAATAGAGACAATTGTACTAGGAATAGAGCTAATATAGCAATGGATGCATGGCAAAATATAGCACACTTAGTAAATAACACAAAAAGTTTGTATATAAATTAAAAGATTTATAACTACTTTTATCATCTGCTTCTTCTGATGCATGTTTAATGAGATTTATTATCGGGTATGTTATCTAATGCCTACTGTCAAAAAAAGAATAAAATTGTTTTGAAGACACAAAGAAATTACCCACCGAAAACCCTTTTTGATTTGATTTTATTCGTTTGCAGAATTTCAGCACATCAGAAAATGTGGCTTCTAGTCATCACTTTCTAAAGTCGCGTTTCCTTGCCTGGCCAGTAGATGGGATGTAGCAAATGATCACTTGTAGGACAGTTCTCTTTCTTGAATCTTGTAGAAACCATTGTTCTGTCTCTTTTGGTTATGAAGGTTCTAGGTTCTGAAACATAACTTTTCTTTAAAGTCAAAAGTACCGCAGTGCTTAGGAAAATGGACATTGTGCCCAAAATCATAGTCAGTCCCAGATATATGTATCTAAAAGAGGTAAAAAACAAATAAACTCAGTCATAATTATTTCTACTGCTCAACCTAAAATTAAATGTAAAAGGAAGGTAATAATACAATTCTGATGGTTGTTTTGAAGAATGGAGATTTAGAGATTTAGAATGGAATGGTGGCTCTAGAAGGCACTTTTGTGAACTCTAGTAGACCACTGAAGGCAGTTTGGTAATATAAAGCAATTTCTTAGTAGTACTATAATTTTCCCTTACTACCCTTTTTGTAAACGAGTCCCTTAGACCAGATGACAGTATCCCTGTTTACCCAGAGCAGACCCAGTCAGTAATGTTAATAGTGTTCCCTTTTACTCTAAAGTGTCCAGGTTTGAGTGATAAATTATGAGATTACCTTATCCCCCAACTTTTCTCAGATTCTCAGATTTTTTTTTCAGATTTCTCAGATTCATTTCTATGGAAAAACTGCATGAAGCAATGCTAAGGAGAATCAGACCATTCAGAAAAATAAAATGATTCAAGAATAAACCAGAGATTTAAACCAATTTTTCTACAAGAAATTTTTAATGCTACACTACCAAAAATGCTAAAGTGTGGAAGGACAGGTTGAGTGTCTCACTGCGGTCACTCCATGTCTCTGACTGAATTACACTGTTTCCACATTAAAGTGAATACAGCTTTCCTAAATGTGAGTAAAGCTCAAATTATACTTACAGATCCGGTCCCTTTTAAAGAATAAAATAAATTTCACACATAACATCAAAGCCCATTAAATCAAGCAAACCTATTTGTGATGCTCTGCCCAATTCACATCCTACTTAGATGGTTCAGCACCAAGTTTATTTTCTAAAAAATGCTCAGCTTGAAAGTCTCTTTAAAAAAATCCTTGCTTTTAAGCCATTGAAACATTTCTTTAAGCAACAAGGGGACTAAATGTTTGATGAACTGAACTGAATAATACCATAGTAAAAAAAGCCTTGTTCCCCACCCCCATATACACTCAGTCACACAGAGAAAACCTTTTACTTTTATGCACTTCAAGTACTGGAATAATTGAACATCAGCTTGGCAATAAGAGCCAGACAGATTCAGAGCCAAATCCAACTCTTGCCCAGGGGGATTATGTCTGACGTAAATGGTACAGTTTGGCTCAGTTTGAAAAAGAATAGATTTAAACTCAAAATGTGACCTAAATTTAAATGTTTCTGAGTTTCAGAGAATTACTTAGCCATTTGTGTGTGTAAACTTTTAAAATGTTACTCGGTTCTGCATCTTTCATTATATTTTTAAAACAATTACTCATTTAAGATGGAAATCAATTTCAACAATGGAGAAAAATTAAAATGTCTAGCCATATAATCAAATGATAAAATTATTCTATGAAAGGGATCACAGTTTTTATTAAACTATTCTTTATCTTACAAGCAGTGAGACTACATAGGGAATTATTAATGTTGGTAGCATTGCATGAAATTGGGATTTTTGTAGCAGCAAGACATGGGAATGCATTTAGTATGATACCTGAAAGCATGTGAATCATATAATCTGCATGAGCCTCTGGTTCCACACCTTTTAAATCCCCATTTAAGACAAGAAGTGTCAATCAAAACTCCAAAATATACTGGAGCTGGGATTCCTGCTGTAGGAAAAACAAATAATTGCTACTAAAAAAAATATATACAGATAGATAGATAGATAGATAGATAGATAGATAGATAGATAGATAGATAGATGTTTTGGTTATGAATGATTACCTGGAACTACCTACTTTTAGTTCAGTAATTACTGTCTGGAAGATGAAACGTTATCAGTTACATGCTGATATCGCTAAGTCCCCTCTCTAGTTCAGTGTTTTCTCAAAAGCTGCACTCCTCAATAACTGCTCTTTGGTGAACCTCCAGAAGCATGGCTCCCAAGTACTTAAAACAGTTTTTCTTCCCAGACCAGTCTCTTCATTAGTCTCTACCCACTTGACAAAGGTAAGAGCTTGGGAATCCTCTGTGATCCCTCTCTCTCTCTCTCTCTGCTCTCCGATCATGACCACGTTAATGTATCTCTAACTATGCCAATTCTACCTCTTGTTTATATTGGAAACACATTGCTCTCTTTCCATTCCTCTACTTCAAATTTAAAGCAAGAGCCAATTTATGATTCTTCTCCTTCCTCAGTCTTCTCCGATCAATTTATTGTATGGATGTTAAATCACTCAGTTACATAAATGGTATGTCAAGACTTCTATTTCTAAAGAAGAGTAGTCAACTGAACATTGGGTCCCTTTATATTTCTGGCCTCATTTTGGATAATATTTATTATCTTATGTTTCAAATTCCAATGTTATTAGATTTCTTTCAGTGCTTAGAATGTTTTTTACTCTTGCCTGAATGACTGGTTGTTTTCTATATTTGAAATGTTTTCCCCTTCTTTCCTTCCCCTTCTCAATATGCAGTCATTTAAATCTCAGTTTAACTGTTTTCCTTCAAGAAAGACTATTCTGATGACCAAAACTGTGTTAATTCCTTCTGTTTTTTATCTCATAGCACTTATACTTCTCTCAAAATCTTTAGCACTCCTGCAATGGGTTGTTTAATTGTCTTTCCTGCTAGATTACTTGATTACAAGCTATACAGGGGTAGGAAACTTGTTTTTCTTATTCATGCCATAAACTCTAATAGGTTCTCAACAGAAGTTTGTTAGAACTTAATATTTTTTTTAAAGAAAAGAGATATCTTTCCTATAAAAATGTAAGCAAAAGTGTTCTGAGATGATTATAATCTGATCACAACTTTTATTATATTTTTTAAACATTTAACATTTGTTATGTGGTCTACATAGGCTTTGTTTTCTTAATGAGTAGTTAATATGTAAAAGCCAGGGCATTTATGCAAGATCGCAGCTATCTGAATTCACTTAAAAGCTGCATTGCCCAGCAGTTGAATGTAGCAGCAGGCAGGAATTGAGGAACAATTGCCCATATCTCATTCCCTGTCCTCTGTGTCCAGAGTTCACTCTCCACTCCCAACATCTTGCTGTCTCCTTCACTCATTTCTCTCAATGCCTAGAGGACTTTTGGATCAGTTTTTAATCTCTTTTATATACCTTTTCATCTGTTGAAGCATTGCTTTGTATGATTATGTAAAATAACACACTTTTGCCAAATTTTTTAAATCAAAGAATAATTCTGACACCTCCAAGTTAAAAGAGATAATCCATTTGCTCTTGGAGAACAAAGATCTATCTCAATTTTGTTGACACCAATTTTGTGTGATAATGGATTCAATTCAGAAACATCAATAGTTGCTTAAACTTGGAAGTGAAATATTTCCATAATCCCAAAGTGTTATGATCATAAATTAGCCAGTAATTACAATCAACTTTTAAAATGAGAATATTGGTAGACACTATTTTTGCCAAGAGACCAAATTTAATCTTCAATGATTATATAAATTGAATTCACAGGTATTCTGATGTGATTTACTAAGTACAATACAGCATCTGTGCAGTACAAGGGGTGATCAAAACACACAGTGAATGTATAAATTTTAAAAATTATTAGAGTAAAAAATATTGACATCAATTTTCCTCAAAATATTCTTCTTGCTTCTAACACAATTATCCCATCATTTTCGACTTTCTAAAGCCATTCTGGAAGTCTTCTTTTATGTCTTTACAATGTTATGATAAAAAAATATGGTGAAAGTTGCTGCTGAGTAGGAAAAAGCAGGCTTGTAAAATATTATTGTAGGTCCCCATCTACCTTATTCACCAGGTTTGATGCCATATGACTTCTCCCTCTTCCCCCAAATAAAAATGACCATGAAAGGTTAACATTTTTAATTGATTCAGGATATCAAGGAAGCCACAACCAAACTACAACACAACTAAAGGCACTCATAAAAGAGCACTTCCAGAAATGTTTCAGAAAGTGGCAAGGACAATGGGATGAATGTGTTCAAAGTGAAGGGGAGTATTTTGAGGTAGACTAACAACAATGTATTTTTGCTGTAATAAAATTTTTAATTTATACATTCAGCATATTTTTTAATCACACCTTCATTCTCATCAAAAGTATCTTACCTGCTTTTTATCAAAACCAAGCAAGGAGACAAATTCAAATTGTAGAATATTATATAAAACTTCTGACTTTGCCTTTTTAAAAAAATGATGAGGGATTGTTGGAGAGCAAAGAAAAAATGTAACTAAATATAGTATATGGCACTTCCTTGACCCTGAATTGAAAGGGGGAAAATGCTATCAAAGATATTATTATAGTGAAAGAAATTTAGTTGTGGAATATAGAATAGATGGAGTATCCTACCATTGCTAAATTTCTGGAGTGAGTGTGATAATGGTATTGTGGTTGAACAGACAATGTTCTTAGTCTTATAGAAGAATGTAAGTTGAAGTCTTTAGCAGTTAAGTGGCAGATCTCCACTACTTATTATCAAATGGTTCAGCAAATATTTTTATGTTAAGAGAGAAAGAAGGTAGATTTTTGTCTTTTTGATACATCTGGTGAGTCCAAGGAAAATCATATCAGTATTCATTGTAATATTTAAAATTTTCTGTAAGTTTGAAATTTACCATAATAAATAATTGGAAGAGAAAGAAGAAAGGCACCTATAGATTAGAAGACTTTTAAGATATTTAGACAATGAGTGGACTGTTTTGGTCCTTGATTAAAGCAGACATGCATGAGTAAATATCATATAATCTTTAAAAAACTGAATGTTAATTGGATATTTGATAATCTTAAGGAGTTATTTTAAACCATGATAATTAAGCTAAAAGAAGTTATTATGTTCTGGAAATACATACTAATACTTTTATGGAAGAAATGCAATAATCTGATACCTTAAATAAGTCAATGAGGAAAGTAGAGAGGGATGCCTTAAGATAGGTAGTATGTTGATAATTGTGAAATAGTGTTTGGATACCTCTGTAGTAGGTTGGAATGTTTTACAAAGCAAGAGAAACTTGAGTCATTTGTAGGAAAATAAATGCACCTTGAGACCAATACCAATTCCATAGTTTCTTTCATAGGAGAAACCCAAAATATAAATAAAGAGCAAGAGCAAAATAAAAGATACATAATAGGAAGTAGAGAGATAGATCTTTCTCAAATGATAAAGAGATCAAAAGATGGAGGAAGGGGAGGGAGGGAAAAGAAAGGGGAGAAAAAAAGGAATAGGGATGTGTTATGTACACTTTGCAACTCCAAGAAATGTAAACATTATGCATTGCAAATATGTAGTAGTAAAAAAAGTTAAAGTATCTAGCTGATTATATTTTGGATAAAATCCCATAGAAAGAAGAACAAAAAATACATCTAGCACTCAATTCAGATTATCTGATTCCTTAAGATGATTGGCCACTTAAAAATCCAGATAACTATTTTTACATTGCACTTAAAATATGACAAAAAATCCAAGATTTGCCTGTTTCTGTATGTGGTTTAACATTCTTAGAAAATTTTTGAACATGTGTAAAAGTAGACAGAATGATATAATGAATTTCACATTCCATCAATAGCTTAGCAATATTGTCCATTCCTGTTTCATCTCTCTCTCAAATCTGAATTATTTTAAAGGCAATCTCAAACATTGTGTCACTTCACTTATATTTAATTCAGCCTGCATGTCTGGTGTTATATTTTTTAAAAGTCTATGCCTTTCTCATATCTAATACATTTTATAATTGTTCATTAATATTATCTAAACTCTAATACATATTCAATGTTTCTAACTGTCTCCAAAGCATCTTTTTGCAGTTGGTTTATTCTTATTAGGATCCAAACTATGTAAACACATTGCATTGATTGATGATTCCTCATACTCTTCATGTCTATAACCTCCCCTACATTTTTTATGCTATTGTTATTGGAGAAAGACATTTTTTCATGTATAATGTGCCACACTGTGGACTTGTCTAGTTGCTTCTTCATAATGTAGTTTAACTTGTTTCCCTAGCTCCATTTTTCCTATAGCCTTCTAGTTATATTTTGATACACTCAGGTTCAACTTATGTTAAACAGTGATAAAATAAGGTAGATGTGTGTACTTCAACTGTGTCCCACTCAGAAGGAAAATGCCCTCTGAGTGTCACGCTTTGCAATTCAAAGATGGATCTGAGGTTTGGGCTATGTCAATTTGGTCTCTCTCAGAAAGTTCTTCATCAACTTTCACCTAAAGCTTTTAGCAACTGTTGATGAATTTGCAAGACAGATATTGCTTTGGCATATATCTCAATGTCCCCCTAAACTTAGTGTACTCATAGGTGGGGCCTTAAGAAGTGATTAGATCATGGGTGTGTGATGCTGGATTAGTCTACTGATTGGTTTAGCACAGTTCTGGGTGTCAGTGGTGGATTTACTGAAGGAGGAAGACCCACCCTGGTGTAAGTGGTACCAACCAGTAGGCTTGTATCATCAATGAAATAAAAAGGGAAAAAATAAGGATGTCTCACTGATCTCTTTCTACCCTACCATGGACTTTTCTCCTCTGTGATGCCCCTCTACACTCCATCCTGCATTGGAGCCTGTCAACTATGGACTGAAACCTCTACAAATTGTGAGCTAAAATAAACTTTTCCTCCTTTAACTGGTGGGTTAAAGTATTTTGTCCTAGCAATGAGAAAATAAGACAGAATTGTTTTGTTTCATTCTATTCCTCTTGTATGTATGATTTGGGTTTTAAAAAATAAAAGATTAATTTTTATTCATTGACCATTTAGTTAACTTTAGAGATAATAGAAGAACGGCAGAATAAAAGATTGATTTTTTTCCCTTATTAATCAATTCTAAAACAATGAGTATTTATGACAGTATTGTTAGAATTTTTAAAGGTTCGTGACATTTAAATGTTTTAAAGTACCATTATATTTTTGTATATTCAATGTATTTCAATAAACTGTAGTCATTTCATTTATTCTATCTAGTTTTAATTTTATTCACTTTATTAGAGAGAGTTTGAGTATCTTTTCTTATATTTAAAGGCATTTACATTTATATTTTCATAACATAGCTACTCATATATTTTACCCATGTACCTGTTTGGTTGTTTGATGGTGTTTATCTTCTTAAAACTTAGGAGCTCTCTTTATAATAATGACATTAGCTACTTATCTGTTATATAAATTATACAACTTTTTCCCAGACTATAATTCACCTTTTGGATTTGGTTATGATTTTTTGCCATTTTCAAATATTATTTATCAAAGTAACTTTATAAATAATTTGTTTAAGGTGGAATCATTTTTGCTCTTCAATTTAAATCTATACTCCTAAAGACAGAGCAAGTAGAGGAGCCAGTTCTAACAGGGATATATTTCAGCCTGAGGACCTGGCACTTCTTCAGGCAATCTCTGGTTTTATATTGTAGGACTGCAGCAAGCCATGATGGTATATACGCCTTCTTCATTTCTTTCCCAATTTAATCAAGATTATATTGTATTTTTTGTAGTCATTTTTAATCAAGGCCTATGTAAACCAAATTTAATTTCAATTTTTAAAATCTCTGAGTTTTTCCCCCCACATAATTGTCTGTCAAATTACAGGGGAACATTTACAATTACTCCATTTATTTTTCTTTAGAGATGGATTCACTAAGGACAGAAAAATTAGTTGTCCCATGAATTGTTTCCTATGGGTTTTAACCAATACATATTTTAAAATGCTGTAGTCAGAGAAAAAAATTTTCAATTACATTTTAAAGAATTACCTACTCATATCCATTTGCTTTAATTGTTTAAATGATCTTATCTTCCTACCTAATGTCATATTCTAGGGATGTCCATTGAGAGCAGTTCAAAAGAATTCTTTCCATTTTAATATCTGGAAAGTTCATTTTTAAGCTTCAGCCTTTCTTACTGATTAACTTTTTTTTCCTGCTCTGAGGGCTCTCCCATAAGAGCAATGGATTTCATGACGACAGACAAGTACTGGAAGAGACGAGACTGCTAAAGCAAAATTGTGATTACTGTAACAGAAGCTCCTCATCATATCTCTAGCATAGCAGAGCCCTCAGTAAATATCACTGGAACAATGGAAGGGAGGAATCAAGGAAATGAGGGAAGGAATAAATACTTAAAAGAAGGAAGAAAATAAAAAGAATATGGGCCTAGCCACCTAAAGCATTAGCTATGCATAGTAATTCTGCAAAAATATTTAGAAATATTCAGAAAAGTCTTCCAAATATACTTATGAGGGCTACCATAATTAAAACAGATTATACTTACCAAGAACTCTTATTGCTAAAGTGTAGATACCCAGGGCAAAAGACTTAAGTTGTGGTTTAACGCACCTAAAAATAATAAAAGCACTATTATTAAAAATATAACCCATTTGAATGTGGATGACAAGTTCTGCCTTTTGCTTATCTTTCCTCATTCATTTGTTAATTATAACTGTGGGAAATATATACAATACTTTTGGTATTCATCCTTAAACATAAGAATGTGTTTGAAAATCACCCAATTCGTGTCACAAAAGATTAATTTCCAACAAATTTTATCTTTCATATTAATAATTTCATCAAAAATTATGTTTTTAGATTTTTTGGATCAACTGTAAACAGAAATATTTGCAAAGTGAATTCAATTAGAAGAAAATATTGAGAGTCCTGGTTATAAAACTAATATTTAAATTTTGAGTTCATATGTAATTTTTATAGAGCTATATGATAAAATAATAAATATATGCAAGCACAAATTATTGGAATAGAATAAAATCTTGCAGAATAAACAAAGATATGTGCAAAAAAAGAAAAAAATGAAATATGTAATGTTTTTGAATGTTAAGATCTTTTCATATAATTTTAATTAGTTTGTTAATTAATCATTGTTATTTGGATGACATTAATTACATTTGAAAGAATAACTTAATTTAAAATTGTATTTTTCAAATAAAATAATTATAATATTTTAAATATTAATATTTATAATTTATACTAGGAAATTATTTAAATTTCTATAAAAATGTGTACCTGTCAATTTAAAAACATGTAATGTGGTACATCAGTTTAAAAAATCTTTTAGGATTTTATATGCAAATATATTTGAAGTCAATAACATGATATTCATAGATAAGAATCGTCAAGTTATCCCAAAACTATGACATTTCTCCAAGATAATTTTAGTAACAGAAATAATATACAGAAAAAGTAATAATATAAAACATGATCAAATACACATAAAACATGATATTAGATAAGTTTTTAAGTATCTTATAAACTGTATCTCCCATAATTTGATGAAACAATATTTACTCTAAAACATACTTTATCTATATCACTTAATGTTGTTACCAATGTTAGATATAACACACTGTAGAATGATGTAGGTAATGACAATCCTCATAGGGGTGGCAAACCTATGGCACGCATGCCACAGCAGGCTGTTTGTATCATTGAAAGCTCTAAAGGGTTCGCCATCACTGCTTCTAGACCAATGTGTTCCAAACATTTTTACCATAAAAATTTCTACTTTGGCTAAATTTTTGTACAAAAACCTAGATTGGGATGCTTGTAAAATTGAATCAAAGATGAGGGACAAATTCCCTGAAAAAAACTATAGGTGATCATGATGATTCTAGAGAAAATAATTTGCAATCACATGTCATATAATGATTGCTACGGGGAGAAGCAATATTCACCTCAGAAGTAATATGTATCCAGGTATGCCACCTAGGGACAAAGTATAGGACGTGATGACTGAAATTACAAGGAAATACAGAAACATTTTGGAACATCCATTATCTTTTTGGCATCTGCCCACCGTGCCTGAGAAATTTCCTGATTTAGAAGCTATAATCCCCACACAGGTGCAATTATAAAATGTCTGCAATACAACAGAGAAAAGTTCAATCAGTGAGATAACATTCAAATAAAATTAAAGATATGCATTTATTTAAAAATATTTTATAGGACAATAAACATGTATTATACAAACAATGGGGAGCATATTCCTTTATTTTTCTGTGTTACAATTATATTGAGCAAGGTGAAATCTATTAATACATTATTTAACTATTCAGACAGCAGCTGGTTGTTCTATAAACTACAAAGCCTGCAGAACCATCTTCCAGCAAATTCAATCAAATCCAATCACATTTTGCTTCCTTAACTACCACTGTCAAGTCTGTCTCCATTATTTCTTGCTTTTATCACTGCAGTGGTCTCTTTGTGCTCAACTTGTTCCCACTCTCATCGAGCTACAGTTGGTTTTCTATATAGTAAAGTAAACCTCTCTTTAAAAAATGTAGGTCAGATGGCACCAACACTGTCAGCTTTCAAATGGTTGCTTACCACATATTTGTAACAAAAGCTCAAATCCTTACAGAAGTTCACATACTCTCTGTCACGTGGCTCCTGGATCCTGCTCTGATATTGCTGCCCGATAATCCTCTCTCCCTTTCTCTGCTTCAGGCATACACACAACCTTTGAAAGGGTGCTTTTCATGTTGCCCAGGATGATCCTCCCCATACCTGGCCAGGGTACTTGTGACCTTCTTGTCCCCTCTGGGTAGCTCTTCCTCTAAATACCTACCTAGCTGGCACCCTCATTTCAGGCTTCTGCTCACAGGTTTTGTTAGAGAGAACTTCCATGACTACCCATTTAAAGCAGCACCCTCTCTCTCAGCTTCTCACCTTTTCCCCCCATAGGACCTATTACTATCAACCATCATATGCGTGTTTGTTTATTTCTAAACTGTATTTCTCCACTAGAGTACAACCTTTATGAAGGCACAAACTGTCTGCTTTGTCATCAATATACACGAGGGGCAAAACTTGTCCTTCATTTTAGCCATTCAATAAAAATTTGTTAAATAAATGGGCTAATTTTGAGGCTATGACACAACTTATGTTGGCTGTTAGGGAAAAAAAATATGAGGCCCATAAAAGTCAACTAAAGCTCAACTAATAAAATAACTTTTATAGTCCTTCAAGTGTTTATTGCTATAAACTTCATTTATAAAATGAAACTCCATACTATACAAGTATAATACATGTGAGTTGCTTTCATCACAGAAGAGTGTGAATTTTTAGTTAAAGAATGAAATAAAGCTGGCATTTTAAAAAAAAAGTAGCAATATAGATTTTTTTCTTGGAGGTGTCAGATCGAAAGCTTTTGAATCCTGACTCTTGGTGCATTTTCCCTCTCTCTCTCTCTGTGTATCTCTCTCTCTCTCTTTTTCTTTTTCTGTACATATAGCTTTCAAATCTTTTATATCTCAGTGTTTCAGTCCTCAAATGAGAAAAATATGTAAAACAATAGCCAATTATTTGAGGATCATGAAATTTAAATGAATTTTTTTTGGTTTTTTTGGTTTTTTGTTTGTCTTGGTACTGGGGATCGAACTCAGGACCTTGGGCTTGCAAGACAGGTGCCAGAACCACAGAGCTAAATCCCTAGCCCTTTAAATGCATTTTTAAAGGCATTTATCTTGTCCCTGGCATGGAATGTCTTCGATAAACTGTGGTGTAGTTAAGAAAAGCCATCCTGCAATAATAGGCAAAAAGCCTAGCAGTTGAAAATATAAGCAAAGAGGAAAGGAAGGAAGGAAGAATAAAGAAGTATAGTGAAAACATTTCAGATTGGTGGATTGTCTTGCTGCTGCTAGAGATGAATCCTTTCAACTCTGAATAAAATGTCAAAATAATAAAAAAAAAATCAACAAACATCACTTTGTATCTGCACATGGGTTTGCCTAAGCATTTATACCTTGTTCAGAAGTGTTTGTAAATATAGTGTGATCTAATTTTCAACCCTCTTGCACCGTCAAATAAAGGTGAATTCCATCAGTCACAAACAGAATGCAATCTGACACTGAGCATAAAGAACACTCCGTGTTTGAGCCAAGAATGTAAAGGTGTGATCAAAAGGGTGAATTTGTTAGTGACTGAAGTTCATCGCATCATGCACTATTGCTTTATTATGCACAGAGTATTTGTCCTAAATTCATATACTGCAATACTAACACCCCAGTGCGATGGTATTTAGAGGTAAAACATTTAGGAAGAAGTTAGGTCAGGAGGCTGAAGGCCTTGTGAGTGACATTTACTGCATCTCCTTTTAAGGCAAGACGTCTTATTCTCCCTCTTAACTCCCTGCCATGGGAGAACAGAGAGAGAAGACAGCTGTCTACAAAGAGCAAGCTAGGTTCTGCTGATTCTGATGCCTGGACCCTTAATTTTGGAATTCCCAGCCTCCAGAACTGTGATAGGTAAAGGTTTACTGTTTAAGCCACTCAGTCTATGGTGTATTTATGATAGCAGCCCAGACTGACCGAAACAGCATCCTGTTTAGATTTCTAACCTCCCATTTCCACCGTGTAGAAAACTCCATTCCACTCTACCTACTTTTCGTTATCACACAGATCAGCTTGATTTCTCAAGCAGGGCTGTCCCAGAACCATTAGCTTCATCATATAAGCAGATCCCTGATTCCTGGGCTACACCTCTGGGTCTAGTCTTCCCAATACTGGCTTCTGAGTGTCTTGCCCCTAAACGCCCAAGAACCACTTCCTTATTCAGAGGTAATATTCCTTATCAACAAAGCAACCAAAATATCTACATAATTGCAAAAGCTGCTCTATCCTGCTTCTCAACTAATTCTTACCATGGTTCTTTCAACTCTAGATCCCTAGAAATGATTTTAAATTACCTGCTTCCACACAAAAAGACAAAGAGGGTAAGAGCCAGGGCTCCTGCCAGTGTGGTCTATTGCTAAGGTCCCCCAGAGCAGCACAGTTCTATATGGTAACAGACTTGTGAGCAAATACTCTGGGGATTGAGTTTCCTTACAATGTTCTTTCCAGTCATGTTGGAGGTGTGACAACCAGCAAAACAAGCTGATGCATATGTAATTCCATTTTCTCCACACATCGGCTCCCACTTCGTCTCTGAACATTTACATCTTGAGTTGCAATCTGAAAAGAGAGCTCGTTCATGATAAGAGACAGGTTTGGTTCTGAAAAGAAATGTAACAGTATAAAATATTACCTCTTAGCAGGGAGTACCCTTATACTTTCAAAAATCAATGTTTCTGAGTACATAAGTGATGCTGCCAACAAAATTTGCCTGTTGGAAACACAGTTATCATCAGAAATGCCAGTCTGCTCATTAAATGTGAGTTGATTACTAAACAGCTGTACTTTGAAAATTATCTTTACTCAGTGTCCCTATCTTAGCCTGCTGCTTTTGCTAAAGTCTACTACCTCTAGGATCCAGGAGCATGATCTATGGACATGGCTACAAGGTAGGAAAATAAGCATTTAGAGCAACTTCTGATGCTATTTTAATGAATTTCAGGTAATATGTGTTTATATATAAGAATTTCTTTATCTTTACATCAGTAGAGTGAACATTGCTAATGATGCAATGAAAGAAAAATATAACTGAGGAGTTAACATTAAATATCCTTTCCACATTTGCAGGAATTACATACGCTAATTGTATATTCTTATCAATAATAATTTTCAGATTATCCATCCCTACCGCTGTGTATCCTCTCACTGTATAGAGCTCTTCCATATCTATTCTCCTTGGTTATGAAATTTCACATTATTTGAATGAATGGTTTGTTTGTTAATTCATAAAATTTTATTAGAAATCTCCTAAGTTCTAGCTTTAGGAGGATGGAAAATGGTTATATTTAGGAATGAAACAATATTTTCCCTCAAAGTGTTGGCTCTTCTTGAGTTATTTTACATAACATTGTTTTTTCTTTCTCCTCTCCCTCTCTCCCTCTCTCCTCTACTTCTATTTTGTTCTTTCTCATCCTCTCATATTGTCCCTTTATCTCTCCCAGAATTCCTGTCCCCTCACTTCTTCCTCTGAATTGCCTAATCTTCCTCTTTCCTGTGACACTTTTCATATCCTTCTATTCTTCTCCAAGGCACCGACACAAAGGCAGGTCACTGCTATTTGCTCCAGATGTTCCACCATGGGCCATTCATAATTCACTTGCTCCTCTCTCACTTCAGACATATTATCTTTTATTTGCTCATCCCTTTCCCCACAATTTTTTTACAACGATATTTGAGGGACTGAAAACAAGCAAGTAATACCCTGGAATGCACATTCAAGAGATGTGAGCTGTATGTATTTCCAGCAGCAAGAACAATTCCTCATACCCAGTAGACTAAGAAACAGGATTTATGGGAAGTCAATTATCAAAGAAAAATGATATTTTATTTTATAGAAAAGAACCAGTCCTTTTGGCTTCTACCTCTGCGAGATATTTCCTGTGATGATTGCAGTCATAATATCTTAATGGATGTCATCTTGCATCTAGTAGAACTGCTAAGGACTTGGTCATCTCAGAGTCACTCTGAAGAGAGTAAAAGGCTCTGGGACCCTGGGGAAGCCCTACGGGAGTAGTTAATCATATTCTCTTCCACAAATCATTACTCTTTGCTAGGGTCTGCTTGAACTATAAAAATGAGACTTTGAAATCCCAGAATCAGGCCATTATGGATACTGTATGACTGAGATCATGAAACTCTGGAATTGCAAGGGAACTTGAAATAATGTGGGCCATCGCTCATTTGGCAGATCAGGACGGTCAGAGGTTAGATCCAGGGTGGTCAGGTAACTTTCTCAGTCTCATGGTTTGCTGGTAACAAAACTTGAAGTAGAATCTTTCCAGGCCTTGTGATTCTAAGTTCTTATCTCACCTCAGGGTTATTGTCATTACCATATTTAAAGATTGTCTGAAGAGTTCCTTTCAAGTGTCTAGAATCAAAACAATCTCCAGGGACAAAGCAATGTGGGACAACCCATGGGGAACACTTTGTATTTTATAAGGCCTTCTAGTTCATATTACTCAAAGTAAGTCTAATTTGCCATCGAGGGCAGAAATTAATTACACACAGTGGAGTTGTGATTTAAATTTTTAACTGCAAGAAGTGTTTTAGCAAGTATGTCACAATGTGTACACCCAAATGAGATTTTATTTCCAAATAGTGAATGTTGAAAGGTGAGAGATTTTCCCAGTGATGCTACCATTTATTTCAGCTGCTTCCAATAACAAAGCTATTCTCAGAGGTTAAACCTTTCCGTTGTTGAAGATGTTCTAAAAAATATGGAAAGCAATTTCAAAAGAGTACTTTGAGAATTTTTAAAGAATGATAGTATCATTTCAAGTCTGTCAAGGTTAAAATCTTTCAAGGTACCTGGCATGGTGGCACATGCCTGTGATCCCAGCACTCAGGAGGCTGAGGCAGGAGGATCACCACAAGTGCAAGGCCAGATTGAGCTACATAGTGAGTTCAAGGTCAGCCTGGACTACCTGGTGAGACCTGTCTCAAAAAAAAAAAAAATCAAACACAAAACATCTTCCAAGGTGACTGCTTTGAAGCAGCTAGTACTCAGTGAATATTTTATTTTTAAAAAAAATATTTAACCTTTTATAATGTAAGTATACTTTTTGGGTGAACTTCAAGTTTGCTGTTATTGTCTGCTTATGTATTTGCTTTAGCCTCAGATACAGAATGAGGTAGAGAGTACACTCTACTTTGGGTCTCCCCTGTCTTCAAAACCAGGATCTGTCTTGGATAGACATAACTTTGGAGAAGCTAACTGACTTTTCTAAACTCAATTTCCTTTAAATAAAGTAGCAAAACTTTCCACATAAAGGTGTTTAGGAAATGTAAGTGAGAAAAGGAAAGTTAAGTTGTTGTGTAAATTGCAAAGTATGCATTACTCTATGACTGTACACCTATCGTGAGGGTCACAGGGACAGAAAAAGCAGGGTTTCTATTCTTCCAGAACTCTCTTGTCATTTACATTGACAACTACCATTTGTTTCACTGCTGGGGACTGAACCTAGAGCCTTTTCACTGAGCTACATCCTGGCCCCTTTTTAATCTTTAATTTAGAGCCAGGGTCTCACTAAGTTACCCAGGGTGGGCTAGAACTTGCAATCCTCCTAGCCTGCAGAGTGCTGAAATTACAGGTGTGTGTCAAGAGGGGCACACCACAATTAACATTCTTAATCTACACTGATGACTATTACCAAGACAAGAGTATACTCAATTGAACTGAACAATGTCACCACAATAACTCCTACAATAACTCACTACAATAACTACTTATGAAATTTGCATTTGTCAATTTTCCTCAATATCTTAAATGGCAAGAATTATAGCTGGTGTTCACTCACCAGCAGGAGAAACCAGGCTAATGAAGGCAGTGGAGGTTGGAACATAATGATGAGACAGAGGAGCGTGTAAGAAGGAATAGTAGGGGAGTGGCTGAGCCAGCCTGAAGCAAGATCCTTGGAACAGGCAGCACGCAGTAGAGGGTCCAGAGTACTCGCCTTTGATCCACTGGCAGAGTCTCAGGCAGCCAGGCAGATATAATCAGGGAGGTCTGCCTGGCGTGTGATAGAGGCTCAGTAATGGTGAGAGAGGAAGAAAGTTACCTCTGGGAACTTGTGCAAGGAGGTGGAGTGATGGGAAGGATTCTTAAAGGGAAAAAGTAAAATAAGTCACACAGGACCTGGCCTTGTCTGAAAGGAAACAGACTCTGGATGTTAAGCAGTCTCATCTCCACCCCATTAAGGGTAACAAAGATCTGACAGCATCAATAATAAACATGAGTAACAATGTTCTTCTGACCCACTGTAAGACACCCAGCCCCAGAGAGCTGTTTGGAGGATCAGGAGAGCCATTCTCTCAGAAATCTTCTTGGGACTGAAGTACACCAGAGACTATGGAGGAAGGCACAGATACCACTCCACTTAGCAGAGTCCAAAGGAGAAAGATAAAACTGCTTCCATGAATGGAGCTTTATTTTCTGTCAGGCAAAGACCAATCACTTTCACGTACATTACCTTACTTAAACCGCACAAAATCTTAAAAGGCAATTATTATTATTTCTGTTTTAGAAATGGGAAAAGTGAAATTGGGCTTGTTTAAATAACTCATAAGATATCACTTCACTAGAAAATGGTTGAGACAAGGTTCAGGGTCTATATTCCACTGCCATGTTGTTTCACTTAAGTTGATTCTCTAATGTGAGATGCAGATTTAGCATTTTTTGTATTTCTTTAAGACATTCAAATTCAAAGTAAATGACAGATTTTAGTGACAATAACAGATCCCAAGTTATAAATACTTTCAGTTATTCCATAATAAAAGGATTCTTTTTCCATAGTTACAATGCCTACAAATCAAATTTCTATTTTAAAATTCTATCAATAATTAATTGGATTAAACAAGCCAATCTCCTCAAAGTATTCAACTAGGAAACATACCCTTGGTAGGAGACAGTAAGTCCTGCCACATCAGAATTTTCACATCCCAAGGCAAATAAGGAAAGGAAGAGGAGGTAACCAAAAACAGATGATCCCAAGTAGAGTTTTGCAGCTCCACACATGCTGAGTCTGAATTTTTTCATGACTATTCCCCCAGAGAATACTCCAAGGGCCACTGCTGGTATGTTGATGAGTCCTGAGGATCAAGGAAAATACATCATTTTGTGAATCTCCAAAAGAAACCTATGTGCACTCACACAAACTTTCTAAGCCATTATACAGAGGACAAAATAAAAAACAAACAAAAAACCTATGAAATGGTTCCAGATATAAATATTAGAAAATTTTGTCTTTTTTAACTTACAGAAATATCCAATCATTATCATCTACATCATATACCAAGAGCATTTGATGAAAGTCTAGGTCAATATTTTCTTCTTTAGAAATCTGATAGATAAAAAGTAATTGAATGACTTTTGTGAATAATGTCATTTGAAACTATTACAGGTTGGATAGCCCTTCAGAAACTGAAGAAAATTTTTTATTCCTGATTATCTCATAATGAACACATAAATGATCTATATGTATAATATTGGGCAGGTCCCTGAGTTTCTCAGGACTTCAGCTTTTCTCACCTGTAAAAATGATCATTAAAAGCAATTTCTTAGATAAAAAGTATTTCAATTACTACCTACCCAATAAATGTGATTACATATAATTTAACTTTCTATTATAAGCTCCTCTATCCAAATAATGCTCTTAATTTTCCTTTGTAAAACTCACTTTTCAATTTGAAAATTTAAAACTTATTCATTATTCCAGTGAGAAAAAATTTAAATGCCCTAAAATTTCAAAGTATTGATGAATAATGAGAAATAAACATATACTTAAAGCCATGTCCTATTACTACTGTTCATGGAGAACAATGGTCTTTTTTATTTTCATTGAACCTTGACCCTTTCCTTCAGAAAAGATGATTTGAAAAGACTTATAACTATGTGAACGCTGAAAGAATTAAATACTAGATTCTAATATTCTTAGTAATGTTGGAAAAATAGTTTGATAACCTTGGAATTTAACAAGGATTTCTCAGAGCAATCAAAATCACACTAATGGAAAGGAAACAGATTAAAAATTGGACCTAAATACAATTAAGAAGCTCATCATAGCAGAATGAAAAGGCAAGAAGTTTGTGAGAAAATATAACACGACATTCAATAAAGAACTTGTATCATGGAAAATATACAGTATTCCAACAAATAAATATGAAAAAGATATATAAGCAAAAAGTAAAATGGGCAAACGACCGATTAGAATTAGTAAAAGACAATGTTGAAGTGACAAATGAGTCTATGCAAAAGTGTTCAACAACAGTAATAATCAGGTAAATGTAAATTAAGGGACAATGAGATACTGTATGTTATGGTTTAGATCTAGAATACACCACCAAATTCTCAGGTTTTCAGAGGCAGTGCTCTGGGGGAAGTGATTGGATCATGGGGGCATTGTACGCATCAGAGAATTAATCCGAGCTGAATCTGCTTTTAGGAAGTGGGATGTAGCTGGGATAGGTGTTCCTGGGGTCATGAACTGGAAGGGCATTTCTCCCTCCTCAGCTCCTCTTTCACACTCAGCTTCCCAGCTGCCACAGTGTGAGCCACTGTCCTCTGCCCAGATCTCCCACCATGCTGTTTCTGCCTGGAGCCAGCCAGCCATGAACTGAAATCATGAGCCAAACTAAACCCCTCCTCCTTTAAGTTATCAGTGTTGTATATTTTGTCCTAGCAACGAGAAAGTGATAAAGACACCACCCCATATCCCAGAAGAATGGTTATAATGAGAAGATAGACCATACCAAGGGCTGACAAGGATGTACAGCAATTAAAATGCTCTTATATTTCTAACAGGAATACAAATTTGCAGAACCACTTTGTGTTTTGGCAATATCTACATAGACACATGCTCCCTATGGCCCAGCAACTGTACTCCATGGTGTAGCCAAAAGAAATAGATGTATCTGTTCACCAATATATACTATGTAGAATAGACACAGTAATGTTATTTTATAATAGCAAAAGGCAAAAAATAACCCAAATGTTCATCAGCAATAAAATGAATAAATTCAGATATATTCTAGTAGTACACTGTTGTACAACAGTGAAAATGAACAAAGTAACTGCTATATACAATAACATGGATGAATCTCATAGATTTCACTTCAGTTAAAATGCTTTAGACAAAAAAAGGATATTCACTATTCAATTTGTATGGGAAGTTCAAAAATAGCAAGACTGATCCATGATGATAGAGTTTAGAGTGAGTATTAGCTTTGTGGAAAAGTATTGACTAAAGAGATTCTTCTGGGGTCCTCAAATGTGCTATGGGTTCTACATAGTGGTTACTACACAGATAAACATGTAAACATATACATGATACACATAAATATGTAAACATGCATATGTAAACATTTATTCAATTCTGTAGACTAAATTGCTGGTTGTAAGTTGTACACCAATAAATACATAAAAGCTACAAAGAAAAAGAATATTTCAAATTTGCATTCCTCATATAGTCTTCATAAAACCAACATAAAGCATCATTGGCATAGATGGGAGTTTGAGGAAAAAATCTGAAATATTTCTTCAGGTCAAGCATAAAATAATATGATTCAAGTATTTGAATCAGTTAATGTTAAAAGTGAAAAAGTTCAATAATCTAACTTCTTAACTTCTAGTATGTTGGAGAAGAGCCCAAACAAAGGGTCTTTTTGATTAGCATTGGCTAAATACCCACTAGAGAAGCTTTTTATAGGAAAAAGATATGTCCCCAAATAGGCTCAGCAGTTTGGTGTTTTTGTTCCTTTGGTTACAGAAACAGACACATGGAGTGATTTTTCATATCTCCCATGAAGAAGAAATTATGTTAAACCATTGGACTCTCTTATCATAAAGGAACACGTCCAAAGACTATATTATCCAAAGAAATAGAATATATTTTATATCTTGAAACAGTAACATTAAATGACATCATCCTGGACCAAAGAAACAACCCCAGGTTTTTAAAGTATCCAATTACTTCTGGGGTAATAGTCATATGTTGGTCTTTATTTTTCATGCTTGTTTTGGCCCTTGACTACCATTCTGATTAGTGACTTAACAACTGGTAGAAACACATCTCTTAAATAACTCGATCACCAGAATCAGAAAAGTCTTTGTGTCATGGTAAACATCTCTTAATCTATCTAATTCACCATTTTATATCATTCCAGAAACTGTCCATGTGTAATCACTACTCTTGTGAGGCTTCAGCTAAACTTGAAACACAGTTACTCAGCATTACCGATTTCCTAATAAAATGCTTATTGGGTCTATAGGGTGTTACTTCTTCAAGAACTCTGAGAAGTTCTCTCTAGGTCTCATACTCACAGTTAGGAATAATACTTGCTATACAATTGTGCCACAGACTAAATATTTTATTCTGCTATATTTTTTCTACTTACTTTTTGATATCACCTAAAATGCCCTAGATTACCTTCAGTCTATAATTGTTGGAACAATTGAAGATTACAAAGAGTAAACAAGATGCGTATAAGGCAGTGCGTGTGGGAAAGCATGGCGGACAGACAAGCATACCGATGACAAAGTTGGCCTTCGAGGATGACTGCCCATACTGCTGCTCGATGTACTTCGGTTTATACGTCACCATGCCAAATAGAGAATTGAACTGAACGATGCTTGCACACAAATATAAGAGGTACACGGGGTTTCCAAAAAGACTCCTCAGTGATGGAAGAAAATCTGTAAGACAATATAGAGTAGTGCACGACAGTGTCACAAATGGTGGAAGACACGGCCATGCCAGCACGATGTAGGTGGCTGAGTCCCATTGTCCTAGAGTTTAGGAGTGTCTCCAGGGTAGTTTGTATCCACACTGAAGGTATGTTAAGTCAGTGGCACAAATCAAGGCTGCAGTCTGGCCATGTTCAAATACAGACATAAGCCCTCACTTCTGTAGGCATACAATACAGACTATCACAGCAAAAAAATCAGAAACAGATTTCTCTAAGTGATATGTTGGTCAAAGATAAGAGACTGAGAGAATTCCCCCATCACTCAGTGGGAAGCTGTGGATAGGGTGTCAAGAACTTCAAGTTAGGGTCTCTGTTCTTCAAACTGAAGTCTTGGGTACACGGAAAGAAATAGGAGACTTATCTCCTTTAACCTTAAGGAATATGGCTGGTTTAGCTTTAGAATAGAGCTTTGGCATTCTTTCTTCTTCCTATTTTGTAGCAAAGTGAAGAATGTCTACAAATATAAATATAGCATTGCTTGAAATGAAGGAGTGGAGCTAATCTCTTGGTAGCCCACTTCCACTGAGAGAATTCATTAGAATGCTTCTGGCCTTTCCTCCTCCCCTCACCATCTCCACCCCTGCCACATACTCCTTTGATCATTAGTGTAAGACGTGAATTAAAACACAATTCTCAAATGGGCACATCTCATCTGTTAAAAGGCTGCAAGCCCTGAAGATTCATTCTTTTTTTTTTTTTTTTTCCTGTCCTCCAGACTTAGACAAAGCATCAATCCTGGGTAAAAGCAATTATAGGGACTCAACTGAGGAGGTATGAGAGAGAGGAGATGCATGCAAGGAAGGTTATCAAGGTTTCTGGGCATGAGCTTTAATCAGTTTTCTAATAAGAATACTGATTTTTGATCTTCATTTCTGCTTCCTGTAAGGTTTCTAATTTTTTTTTTTTTTAACACAGGAGAGGAAGAGAGTGGTATTGCTTGCAAATCCCCTAATATCCCAACAGGAAAATTGAACTTACTTCAAAATCAAGGAAAATCTGATTTACCTCTTGCCATTTCCATTATTTTTCCTTTTTCTTCAGCATGTGTTTGGTATTTTATATGATCATCTATAATAAACTTGGATTTCTCTGAAGAATTAGAGTCTTCTCTACTTTGGGGTCTTGATAGGCTCTTGGGTAAACACCAGAAAGGCACAGCTGCAAGAAGACTTATGACTCCTGCTATCAGGTAACCAAGCCACCAGGCCCCTACCCACTGAGGGTCCTTCGGGGTAATGGTAACATGGTCTGAAAGACAGATAGGATGGTTAAGTAGCATATAGATCAAAGCTAAGGTGTTGAAGTATGCTACTTAAAAAAAAATTAAATCCTAGCACTATCTCTATCACATCCTTAAAAATACCTAATAATTCATACATGATACACGTACATGCATACACACATACACATATATTTATTTTCAATATCATTATTTTGCTTGTTAAAGGGAAAAGGGTATTTCTGAAAGATGACACTTCCTTCCTTGGTTCCTTCAGTTTAAAGTAAATTCTACAAGGGGTCTCATGGTTTTCCATCTGCAGTCTGGTCTGCTGTAGGACTCCAGGCAGGAGGAAGGCGATGTGTGAGGGAAAATTAGGATGGCCCAAAGCCTCCTACACCAGCCACACCACATCAGTGTCACTTCCCTTTGGCTTGCATATTGAATATCTGTTTAAGATTTTACTTAACAAGTTACACTCTGCAATGCCCAGCCCAAACCTACTGGAAAGCTCTTATTCCACAGGTGGTAAACCTAAGGCTCACTGTGCTTATATTGGCAGAATGATATTTATGACATGGTTATTAATAATATTTTAGAGCCACTCTAGGCTGAAGCAAGGCATGTATATGTAAATAAAACTTCAATTTTATCGCAAAAAAAGTTACACCATTTCTGACTTAACTTTCAAAGTGAACACTTGGTTTTCTGAATCCAAGTAACTGGGTTTTTTCTTTTATTCTCTGTAAGAAGCTACAAAACATGTCACTATACATTCACCACACTCAAGACCACAGCATATAAACACATGTCCTTTGACAAGCAGGTTCAATACCACTGCACCATACTAGGTAAAATGTGATCAGTAGTTCATCAGTGCATATTAGCTGCTTCTCCTGATCGATTCTCCTCCATACCGGTCCCCACATGGATACTCAGTCTCATGTATATCGGTCTCCACTAATGAATTTTAAACTGCATGAAGCCAAAGAACTCAACTTTTGTGCTCACTAGTGTAGAGGAGCATTTGGGACAGAGTACATATAATTTTGAGGGAGGTTATGAATGAATAAATAAAATTTTGAAACATATTTCAGTTTGATTGAAAAAGTGTAAGAATCTTGCATTTTAACACACAATGACTTCAACATACCTTACCAGGTGTTTTTTTTTTTTAGTATAGCATATTTTCTTATTTTTAACTGCTTTTTGGACTTATTTTTATAAAGAAAATAATGGGTGACTGGTATCTATTTCTAAGGGGATTTCTCACAGGGATGGAAACAAATGAATAGCCCTGGAGAAATCAGCCCCTTACCATTTGTTTCCTGAACAAGAAATCTCCTAAAAGGAAAGCTAGGCTAGATATAATATTCCTTCACTTTAAAAAATGTTCAGTAAGAAATGAAAGCTTGAGGAAGGTTTGGGTGCCAGAGATTTTTAATCCTTGGTGTTTCTGGAAGTTCCTAAATACATTAGAAATTGATGAAAGTGTAATAAATGTTAACACACCTGAAACCAACAAAAGTCAACAAGTAGCCATAATCTTAACTGTGCTTGAATGCATTTCAACTGGTCAACCAGAAGAGAAATAGGATACATCTTAACAACAAGCCATGGGTCATCTAGTTGTAATCACCAGCAATTTTTCATAGTTCATCTATTAATGCATGTGGTAGTTACAGTGATACATTTCCCATGGACTCTTTCCATTTTATAAAGATTAACACCCTCTTATTTACCATTTATAAACATGGTAATTTGATATTTTCCACCTTGCTCCCATTGAACCAAATAAAATGAATAAATAAAAATAACCCCCCTTACCTAGGTTTACAAAGCCAATATCCACATACAATTTGGCGCATAATGAGCCTAACAGGAAGCCAAAGATTGGTCCAATAATTGCAACCGTCTGCACACACCCTGTACCAAAAGAGAAAGAAAAAGCTGCCATTTATTTTCTTTGATAAATTAATAACATTTTAAACAAGAAATGTGAGTGAGATTCAGTAAGTAGCTGCAGATGTTTCAGCTTTTCATTTGTATGTGTTTAATTTGTCCATTTTTCAACTGCACTGAGTCAAGAAATAAATCCTTCTCTGCTTTGGGAGAAGAATGAACACTTTTAAAGCATTAACTGCCTCTTAGAAAATAATGCCAAGAAGACTCTGAAGAAGTTAATTTCCCAGAAGGAGGCAAATTTTAGTCTCTAGGATTAGACTGTCCACTGCTAAAATTTGGAATTATACTAACTTTGGTAGCTTTTCAAAATGTTTTAGGGTCAGTTAAACATGAGATTCATCTTGACATTAAAATTGACTCCTTCCACCTTAGCGAAAAAGCGCATCCGTTCATGCTGAGGTCCTGGGGGACTGACTTTCAGAGGAGAGCTTGTGCGTATTGCAGGGAGCAGCCAGCCAAGGAACTGGAATTTGCAGCGGGAAGGTGCAGGTGAATGGAATAGATCACCTAAAAGGACACCATTTCCGGTAGCTCTTGCTACAAAACATCTCCATTTACCTTTCATTTCACTGCAGAGCTCAAAGTACACACGCCCCACAGAGGCCGATTTAAATTAACTAGAGGAGTAAATACCATTTACCAGGCCCTTTGCAGAATAGAAGAGAAGGCAAAGAGAACAAACAGGCTTCTGGAGAGAGAGGAAGGAAACTCCCGCTGCCACTTCTCGCCAGTCTCTAGAGTATTTTCCCAGTGCATATGATGGAACTTTTGTTCCATTGCCAGTTCCTGATTTATGCTGTAATTTTTTTTAAAAGCAAGTGCTCTGTTAGTAATTCCAGCCTGCTTGGCTGGAAGCAGAATACCCTGGAGTTCTGTAGTTCATAGCCGGGGACAGCACTACAGTGCACTTATGTGAAGATCCCTTAAATCCTCCCCACTGACCCTGGACGGTAGGCTTTCAAAAGATCAGAACTCCAAGAAATCAAGACTGATGTGAAACAGAACAAATTGTAGTCATTGCTGTAACTCTAGTTTCTAGCTTAATTCTAGTGCACAAGAAGGGCCCACTAAGTGCTGCTTAGATGCATCTGGCCTTAAAAGTTTGCCTCTGCTGTCTTATTTTGAGTTTTGTGACTTCAGCGGTTCATCTCTCCTCTGAAACCTCTTTCAGAAATGGGGTATCCTCAGAGCTTGCTTCTAGCCTGTTTATGGTTTTCTTTATCATTTCTGTTATCAAGACCCTGGAATTAACCTTTGCCTATTCCTCACAGGAGAAAAAGATGTTTTAAGTGATCATTGTGTATAGAATGGAAATCAGTTTCTAGAGTCACAGGAAAAAATGTACAAAAAGTCATCATACTAGATGCCTCAATAGTATACTTATTCTAATAAAAATAATCTATGAAATCTGAAGCCCACAAAGATATTTTCACAAGGTCCTATGTCACTGCTGTTGAGCTCATAGCTATTTTCTTCTAATCTGGTGTTCTTTACATAATACAATAGGTCCTTCTAATTTATGAGGTATCTTAATCATCCAAATCCCGAGTGTATACTTCAGAAATGTGTTCACTGAACAAAGGAGTGGCGAATGAAGTAGAAAACTTTCCACACCTAGTATGGAAATACTACACACATCAGCGTGGAAGGGCATTGAGCAGCCTGGGCACCCTGCTTCCCAAGATGCCTGGGTGGGTATTACCAATATAGAAAGCAGCATTCTCTTCACCAGCAAAGTCATCCAGATAGGCAATGCCCAGTGGCTGGATAGGAGTTTCTCCTAACCCACGGAGAAGATTTCCTAGGAACACATACACCCACATGGAAGAGCTGGCATCCACGTCACATTCTTGAAGGGAAAGCAAACAAGAGGATTAAAAGGAGATCACTATCAAAACTAAATATTTATTCTGAATTTCTACAGTTGATTCTAAAATCGAGCTAGAATGCAAAAGTAAAATCTGCAGCAGTCCTAATTTGATAGGAGTTTGGATAAACTCGGAAAATATTTTGTGACTTCAGTCTCGTATGCAGTTAAATACCCTAGAGACCTGACCTGGGAGCTCTATTGCTTCATGTTTCTGTTCGTTCTTGTCTTAGTTTCTTCTTTTCCTTTTGTTCCCGTACAGGGCTATTTGCATTCCTGTACTCCAACAACATCCAGTAACCTACCTGGGGCAAGACAAATTTTGAGCGAAGGCTTTCTCACCTTAGCTTTTAGACTTTTCTGTCTTCCAACAGAAATCACATGTAATTTTATTGTTTAGCAAATTTTAACTGAAATGCAAAATTTTGGGTGGTTGATGCTCAACATAAGGCAGGACTGTTTACAATTACATTTGTTAGCGATTAACCAATTTTAATACTCCCCAAATCAATTCCAAAATTATTATAGTTTAGCAGTATGAATATTTCAACAAAAAGAACTTATGACAGCATTTTGAGAGTAAAATTCAAAGCTAACAATTAAGGTGCATTCATAAAAGTCATACCATAATAGGACCATGTGTATTATAAATGAAATACAGCTCTAAAGAGATTAGCCACTTTAATAAAATTGATAGTATCAGTCACCTCCAGTACTCACATCTGAGTGTCCTCTCAGTTCCACACTGAGTTGTGCTTTGCAGACATTTTTTTTAGTATTTCTTTTTTTTATTCATTAAGTTTATTCATACAATTTAGGTATACAATATGATGACATTCATCATTGGGAATTTGTACCTTTACATGATATATCTTGGTTCTTATTTTGTTCCCATTCCCCTGCTCTCCCTTCAACCCCTCCACTCCTCCCTATTTACAAAGACTTTGTTTCTAATTTTTTTCCTTTTCTCACATTTATTGCATTCCCTTCTTTCCTTTGCCCTACTCCTCCCACTTCCCCTTCCCCTTTGGACTTTTTCTTCCTGTTTCACATTATCTATTCTACATTTTGATCCTTATTTACATGTTCAGTTTTGTTAGGTAGGGTGAGACCTATTACTAACCCTTAGAGAGACTTTTGATTGTGAAGTATGGGCTATGAAGAAGTGTGGTGAATGCCTTTGAACTTCTCAAGCAGGCTACACAATGGAAAAGAAAACTGAAATTGCATTGATGTTAGCCTGATTCTGCCTCTTCTAGAAAAGTAGCCAACTGACCACGGAATTTTCACTTTTCTTCTCTGGATTTCTATCTTGTTCCCCCAAATAGGATGTGAATTCCTTATGTAAAAATTAAATGCAATGTCATATCGAGCTCTAACATCTGGGTAATAGAGGCATGTTGATAAATTTATAGTGAAGCTCATGGGGACACTGTGGAGCTCTGTTTTGTAATGCAGTTGCCACAAACTACATGGGGCTATTTAAGTGTATGGAAAAAGGCTTTGAAAGACAGGGACCTACCAGATGTCACGTGGCATCACAGTTACTTCCACGGCCCCAGGATTGACAAGCCTGCCTACTTACTATTTGATCTCAGGTAGCTCAGTTCTCTCCTCTGACTACTTTCCCATTTGGAAAATGAGAAAACAAAGACCATAAAATTTACATTTAATGGTTGTCATGAGAATTAAATGATAGGAGGTAGTTTGTGTAAATTTCCCTAAAAGAATTATCGAGAGGTTACGATACACTATGCTTATTTATATATACATATGTATATATTAATTAAAATTAAATTAATATTTTAAAGTTAACATTTAAATCAAATAAAATTTAAAAGTCAGTTCTTCCCTACACTAGCAATATGCAAGTCCTCAGTAGCCACATGTGGCTCGTGGATACCACACTGGATTGCATGTTTTCACCATCATGGAAGGTTCTGTAGTGAGCCTTGCTTAAGAGTGCTGCAGGGGAAATGGCCGCTGTGTGAGCAGAGTAGAAGCAGCACATGCTGAGCTTTACTCTACAGCCATTCCATGTTCCATCTCTATCCTCACTATCATTTGGGGGGTAAGTATTGTGTCCACTGTATCTAAGGAAAAGAACTTGAATGGAGTAGGATATGAGGTATAGGAAAGAAAATAATTAGGAAGTGAATTGTATGCTCTCCACCTTGGTAATTTGTCCCTTTGCAAGAGGAATATTTTAGCTTCTTGATTCTAAGTCTTACGTTTCACTTTTTCACATTAAAAGTTTAAATGTTGGGCCAGGGATTTAGCTCAGTGGTTCCGCTGCCTGCCTCGCACATGCAAGGTCCCAAATTCAGTACCAGGTACCAAAAAAAAAAAGTTTTAATGTTTCCTAACTAATTGTGCTATCACTTATATGTCTCTATCCTGCTTGTCAAAAGCAAAAGAAATAAACAAAAAATTAAATGACTGTACAGTGGATAAATGGAGCTGCAAACTCTTTAGTCAGCAACCTGTCTTTATATGTGGACACAAATTAAGTTTATTATTCACTGTATTACTTAAACACATCTTTCGTTCTTTCCCTTTGATTTGAACATGTACTCCTGAGTGTATCTATCACCTTCTTTTAGATTGCCTTCTTCTAGAATGCTTTTCCTTCTTTTCAGATCACTAGTGAAAGTAAACATTCCTGCATTTTTATGTCCTCTGCTCTTCCTCCCCTCTCCCATATTTCCATATTTTTTAGCCCTCTGGCCCTTGTTTCCATTTGAACAGCCAGACTTTTTAAGTGTTCGTTGCCCAGGAAAAGACATCTCAACAGTGCTAAGGAAGATATTCCTGGGAGACCGAGGCTTTATGGAATAGATAGAGGTTTGGCTAGATGGCAGGTGTAGGAAAGGAAGGCTTCAATGCTGCCCACATAGGAATCGGTTCCCTAGGCGAGGAGCAGGCCATGAGATGGGGGTGGGTGGGAATCACCATTCTGCTAAAGGGAGGAGGAAGGCTGCATTCTCCTTGCTCCTGGAGATGTCACGACACCTGTGAATACATCTGTAGGCTCTGTGAGCAAGGAAGACCTGTGCCACCCTTGCTAGCAGCGCCCAGGGAGGTTGAAAGACCCCAGGTTTCAAACATCTGCACAGCATAGCTCAGCATTCCTGCCTGCAGCTCCTCCCAGGGCTTCCAAAGTTGAGAGTGATAGAGAGGAAATGATTCCCATGTTCATAAGGGTGGCTGACGTCATGTATCATTGCTGCTTCATACTATAGTCACACGGAACACCAGACATTGCATTCTAATGCTTGTGGAAAGTGAAATTATTTCCCTATACTCACGATAGTCTCTTCTCTCTCAGAGCGAGCTACTATGCTAAAATGGGTGTGGGCATAAACAGAAGCTGACCCCCTTTCACTTCTTGTGTGAACATACACAGTGACCAGAGGGTTCTAGATCTCTAAACTGACATAGGACTGATAAAACCAACCCCCTACCACCACAACTGCTCTTCTAACTACTATACAGGCTCCCTAGACTGTATGCAACTCTTGGGGAAAAGGTTGCAGGTTAAAGGACAAATAAGTATATTTTAATATATATATTTAGAAATTAAGTATATGCCATTATTGTGAAAAGGAATTGAACAAGAAATTACATGTACCTATGGGAGAAAATTGTATTTCTTTCACCTCTGAGCAATTGATTAAGATATGTTTGTGCTAAACTAGTATTATTTGGCTTACCAAGCCCATCTTTTTTGGAACCATTGGAATATTTTCCTATTCACCAGTAATAAGGTATGATCATCTGTATGCTTTCTATGATCCCATCATATACTACTTTACATTCTAGGATTTTTATGGCACTTTAATATCCATTTAAATAGTAACACTTTTAAGAACAAAAATCACAAAGATTTTTTTCTATCCATACTAAAGCATATGATTATATAAATATATGGTAAAAATAGTTTGCTTAGTGAAGTAAAATTAAAAAAAAAAATCACTTACCATCACTTGTTTGGGGTTGTGATTTTGCCATAACTGAAATTGGTAATTGACTGCTTGACTCTAGGAGACATGGAGAGATGCTAAGAGTAGAATTGGAGAAAGGCGAATATTTCTCATACCTGTACCTGTATGAAAAAAATATTTTCTTATGACAGACTCGCTAACATCCTGCTAAAAAACATTATCCATACACTCCCCAACTCAGTGGGACATCTGGTTGAACTTGTAGCTGTCACTGAATCTGAATTACTAATGGAACCAGCGTTACAAAGCTGTTTGCTGAAGAGGAAATAATAAGATATGGTCCACAGGTTTCACACTATACCTGGGATGGCCAATTACCCAGTGAAAGAAAATAAAACCAGGAATTACTCATAGATGCTCAGTGTAACAGAAAATAATGACTACAAATCACTTATTCCCTTGGTGCAAAAGTATGCAAACTTGATAAAATCATAGTTTTCTCTGAGTCAGAAAAGAAGCAATCATTTCATAATTTATGGCCATTAGGACACTATATTTAGAGTTATAAATTTAACAGAACAACTGGAAGGCTGATTTTAGAGAACAGATAATGATAGATGGGCTTTTTGAACAATTTATCCAGATAGGTTTCTTCTTTTTCTCTACAGTTTATTAATCTGGCTCCAAGTTAGTTCTAATTCCATCTTTTCCTCTGTTTCTAAGGTTATGAAGGCCCCCGAGCCAGTGTTCAGTGGTTGAACTGTGGTAATGTTCTCTACAATCCCCCACCTCCACAATCTCATTCTGACAATCCCTTATGAGCCAAGTTCTCTGGTCCATTTTTACCCTTCAGGGAAGACATACCTAGTTAAAAAAAAAAAAATCATACATCTTGATTCTTATTTTGTGCAGGTACTATATCATGAGCCTAGTAGGCATGCTAATGTATTGAAATATTAATGGTAAAAACCTGCATATTTTGTCATGGAAAGGAAAACTATATTGAGTTATTAAAATATTTAAGTTGCTAAGTGGGTACTTCATATCCATTTTGCATATACTACAATTCAATAGGTTCACGAACCCCACTGCAAATGTGAAAACATTTCTGCAGGTGTGTTTTCATGTAAATCTTTAAGGGAAGAGGTTCAGTTTTCATCATTTTATCAAATGGATCCTTGACCTAAATAGGTTAAGCGGTTGTGACTGACAGTAACTGCTTTCAATTCCCAACTATACGGGAGACATTTAGAATTGAAATCATGGGCAATATAATTTCATAAATTATTACAGAAACAGTTAGATAGAGCATTGTTAGTGCTATGAAGTATTTTAAAATTATTCAATTATTTGAACTTTCTCAATTATTTCTGTCCAAAGGTAACTGTGGCAAACATAATTACTTAGATTTTAAATAAAGAGAATCTCATATAAGGGTCATGTTTGTCACTTTCTGTCTTTGATGACCCTCACCCCCTCCCCCAATTAATTTCTTTGGGTTTAATGTACTTATCTGTAAAATGAAAGTTACTGATGTGATCTAGAGACAAGTGATTGAATGGGGGAACTAATGCTCTCATTACTTTGGGGGCTTTAGTTCTGACTTGTATTCAAATTCCAATGAATGCAATCTTGACTGTACTGCATGAAATTCTGCAGTAGACTCCTACTTTCCATTTCTCCAAGCTTGCCCTACAAAACTCAATTTTTAAAAAACTGTAAGTCAGATAATCTTACTTTGTTCCTGATTCTGTAGTTTAGAGGAGAACCTAAGCTCCTTGCAATTGTTCCCAGCCTACTACTAAAAGGATAGTCTGAAGACCAGCAGGGTTGGAAAGTCTTAGCCCTAAGCCTGGAGCTATTGAATCACAATCTGCATTTTTGAATGAGAGCCTGGGATCACTCAAATGTCCATTTAAGTTTGAGATATATCCCAAACACACTCTCCCTTTCCCACTGAGTTCTCAGCTTCACCTCTGCTTTCTCGTTGCTGTTTCCACTTGGGTCCCGTAGGCTGCCTTGTAGCACATCCACACTCCAGACTCTCCTGCTGTAGGAACACCGCACTCTTCATTTAGGCTGGAAGTCATCTTCCCCAGATATCTGCATGGATCTTCCCTTTTTTCAGGTCTTCCACAAATGTTACCATCTCCTTGAAACTAAACTGCAACCCCTGCCCCATACACACACTCCTCACATGTCTTCAGTGGGTTATTTTTCTCTATAGTTCTTCTTGTGCTCAGATACACTGTATAATTATTTATTTTCTGTCTCCTCCTCATAATATCCATGAGGGCAGAGATTTTTTTCTGCCCTATCCTAACCCTATTACCCAGAACATAGATTTGTTAAATTCATGAGTTAGATGAGCTAAAACGGGAATCCTAACTTAGCCTGTTGGTTGTAGGCCATTAATGATTAATATCCATGATTAGTAGATTTTGTTAGACATCAAAGGTATTTCTGCTAGGGAGAGTATAATAGCCTTTCAGAGAATAACAATAACAAAATTATATTATGGATGTGTACCCTTTCAGTGAATTAGGCTACAAAAAGTTGAAAAGTTCTTATATTAAACCTTGATAGAGAGAAAACTTTATGAGAGAAAGTACTGTGTGTGTTTCTTTGTATTGTTTTCTCACTAAACTGCCCCATTACCGGGAATAGTACCTTGCATGTGGCAGACACTAAATAATGAATAAACAAATATATCCTTCAACTTATAAACAACACCTTCAAGACAAAAGTATTGCTCATTACAGTTTAAAACTAGGTGGTATAGCTGGGTGTGGTGATGCAAGCCCATAACCCCAGTAGTACTTGGGAGGCAGAGGCAGGAGGATTTGCCAGGAGTTCAAGGCCAACCTGGGCTACATAGTGAGTCCAAGGCCAGCCTGAACCTCAAAAAAATAAAAAGGAGGTGGCTTAATTTGCTAAGGAAGGTTGATAACCACACAATTATAAAAACACAAAATTAATAACAGCTATTACTTATGTTAAGAATTGTGATGAGCATTTTATCTGTGTTATTTAAGATGTTAACCACATCATGACCTAGGTATTATTTTTAATATAGAGAAACTGGAGCCTACAAATATTAAGCAACATGATCCAGTATTTATATCTATAACATTCACTCCACTCATGACCCACTTGACATTTACTACATATGCTAATTTCTTTTTATTTATATATAGTGCCTTTACAGGTAAATGAAAGCATTTGACTCATAATATATTGGTAAAAATTTCTTTCTAATCTTGAAATCAATACACTGTAGTATGTCAACATTTCTTACAGATTATTGCCACTATTACAATGGACTCAATTCGTTCCTGAGGGCTGTTTGTAACTCAAATTGGTCAATTGCCTTCAAAGTCTCTCCTTATAATTTTAGGCCACACTTTCTTCCAGGCAGATCTCAGTGTCCTTAGAGAGAAATTGGCCACAAATTTTCTCAATTAACTTCACACAGGAAAGGTTGTTTTAATGTTCCTTCCAGAACTCTTTAAGGGTTAAATCTGTATCTGAGACCATCTGGAAGCACAAGCAGCTGGCATTTGGGTCAAAACTCAAGACTTTGGTCATAAGTTAAAACTAAAATTCTGGTCATAACTCAAGTTGTTCATATGTAAGGTCAGTCATAACTCGAGGGTCCACTGTATTATGAAACTGTTCTGAAACTTTCTCCAAAGATGTAATAAGTAAAAATAAGATATAAAATCACCGTGTTTTAAACATCAATTTAAATAATCAATTGTAACTGTCTAAGGGAGAAATGAAGTTGTTGGGCAAGCCTAAAACAAAATGGCCACCATAGACTTACCGCTCCATGAAGAACTGAGGCATGGCGATGAGCAGCGTCCCTACGCCCATGATCAGGCACCCTGCTCCAATTATTTTTGGCCTGTGAAGTTTGGCTCCAAAGTAGCTAACAAATGTTATAACCAAGAGATTTCCTTTAGGAGAAAGAATAAAGGATTTGTAACTCAGAGAATTTAGAATATAGTCAGTAGTAGAACCACATGAATGAATGCACATAGCAGGTTCAGCCATATTTTTGTTTTGACTAAACCATCTCCCGACCAACTCCCTACCATTTACCCTTCTGTACTTTACTCTGAGATGACTGGTGAAATTGTCTTCATATTCATCACCTCAATCACCTCATTCTTTTATCAAAATATTTTAATTACTATCCCATTCACCTTGTTTCACCCAATCCAATTATTTATCCTTATAAAGTATTTTATCAGTAAATTCAATTATAGGTTTCTTTCAGTTACTCTCTTAAATTTTCCTCAGTGATTTTTGAATCCAACTTTAGTAGTTCCTTTACTCACTTAAATTTTCTATTAAATCTTCTATTAATATTCCAATTGCTTTTAAAATACACAGCACATATTATCTCTCTTGCTTATACCCTCTATAGAAAAAGGAAAACAAATAAAACTGTATCTCATTTTACATGAAATCAAATTATGAAAGTCATATTCATATAAATGATAATTTATAATTTGTTTATACACTCTTTACAAAAATAGAAGACTCACAATAGAAATAAAAATTACCTCACATAGAGAATTTCAGGTTTACATGAATTCTATAATTTAATGTATATTAATAACACAAATTTTATCAAATACAAAATTTTCATAAAATATACCCATTTATTTTCTTTTAAGGAAACAATGAAAGAATATGGGATGTTTAAGGCTGGAATTAGATTTTCTAAAATGTCTATAATGAAGCATGTGATAAATTACTTTTTAGTTAGAAATGGTGATAATTAAAAACGCTTTCAGTAAAATTTCTTATGCTTTGCTCTGTATAAAAAGTACTGGAAGGGGGTGGTGAGGGAAATGGAAACTTGGTAAAAATGCAAATTCTTGGCAAGTCTAGACAGTTTCTGATTCTGAGGAATTGGGGCAAGCCAAGAAATCTGCATTTCTAACAGGAGCTCAAGTGTATTGATGGGGATGGTTCCGGTAACCAGCTTTGATAAATATTGTTTTGGGTCTTAAATTTTAAGGAGCTTTAAATTTTTAGATATTTTCATTTGAACTACCTAATTTTTAAGAACTGCAAGGATAGATAAAAACTTAACACTTTCCCATCAACTGATAGTGATAGCTGATGATTGATCTCACTTTGAAGTCCTGGATGTTTCCAATTTTGCAACAAGAATGTGTTTCCCTCCATCTGTAGGCAATTGTCTAATTTACTGTTTGTTACACTGCCAGCTTCAGTCAAGTAGAAAATGAGCAGTAAATTTTATACCCTTGAGGACAGTAATAATGATGGTGAGAAAGGCAGTCCATACAGTGGCTCTAGGCTTTCTGGCTTCAGGAAGAACTAAATTCTTCACAGTGTTCACATTTTCAGAAAAAAAAAAAATTAAACATGAGATTTCCAATTGGACATTTAAACATTTAAGAGAAGATATTTGAAATTGCATTATACTGATAATTATGTCTATATGTTTGCTAATGTGCCACAGTAAATAAATCAAAATAAAATGGAAACTGACTCTGTTTACAGGCAATGGGCCATCCTTCAGCTGCTGGCCACAACACTTCACAGTAAGGGCTCAAGTTTACAGGCTGGGCCTGTGCTGCAACCATGGCTACGCCCAATACAAGAGGATCCCACTTCGGAATCGCTGACACCTATAGCAATTTTTGCTTCTTTTACTTAGTTCCTTTCCAAATTCTAAGGAGATATATTTGGAAAATAAATGGCAATGAATAATATTTTTAAAAATTGAATGGAATATCAAAATGCCTACACACACCCATCATCAAAAAGAGCAAACAAGTCCAGAGTGTTTTATCAAACTTTAACGAATTCTTCCACTTTGTCTGTCTGTACACAAATTCAAATTTCTCACATGTAGAAAAGAAAGAAAGCTACACAGGTCATTTAGTAAGATCCTTCAAAGCAAATCTGGACAAAGCCAATGCAAGAAACAGTAATGAGAGCCCAATCTAAACTATGAAGATAAAGATTCTAAGCAAAATGCATTAGCAAACAGGATAGTTATGTATATACAAATGAATACATCTGGCCAGTGGGGGCACATACTTGTAATTCCAGCACTCTGAGAGGCCAAATTGGAGGATTGGAAGTTTGAACCCAGCCTGGGCAATTTAGCAAGACCTTATCTCAAAGCAACAAATAAAAAAAGGGGTTGGGGATATATAGCTCAGCGCAAGGCCCTGGGCTCAAACCTCAGTACCACAAAAAAAAAAAAAAAAAAAAAAGGAATAGAAAAATAAATAATCTGAACAGCAAGTACAATTTATGCCAGGAGTGCAAGAGTATGACCAAACAAAAAAATCTCCTGATTGAATCATTAAATGACAGAAGAAAAACAATTCCATGTTTATCATAACAAAAGCATTAAAAGCACTCAATAATAAATCACCCATTAATGCAAGAAAATATCAGAGCAAATCAACTTTTAAAGGAGATCTGGGGATGTAAGGAGATGAAAAAGAAGGTAAAGTAAAGGAATCAAGACCTGATATGTATATGTACCATTTTCCCATGATGAATGTATTAAATATCACAAACATACTAGTAGAAAGGGAAGGAAAAAGAGTATATATAAAAACCATACAGTGAGTATATTGCTGAATAGTAAAATTATAAAACCCATTGTTTTAAGTCAGCCACAAGAGAATAATGTCCACTGTCATTGCTGCTTTCAATATAGTACTGAGGTCAGTGAAATAGGGTAAAAGAAAAAATAACAGATATAAGAATTAGAAAGAAAGGTATAAAATTGGCTTCTCTTTCAAATACTATGTTTGTCTCTTCTGCCAAAAAGCAAAATTATTAAATGTTTAAAAGAAAGTACATAGAGAAAGATTTAAAATAAAGAATATCTAGAAAATATTAGGAAATCATGGTATGGAAAACCTTTTATGTTCCTGGTGACTGTCAGCTTTGGAAAACAACTGTGTTATGAAAATATTGTTGAGGGAGAGCTTGAATTTCCTGTGTGTGGCCATTAGATGAGAATGTCAGGATATGTCACCGAGTAAAGGGCATTATTCTACAAAAAAAGAACAGTTGAAAGTTAGAGGTTAAGGATGGTAACGGGGCCAAAATTCTGGAAGAAAAATACAGAAAGAAGCAAAAGAGGAAACTCGCTCATCTGGAAATCTGTGGGTTGTAAATAATTAGAACAAACCTGTAAAATTTGAGATGAGGGCTTTCAGTGAGTGTAACAGAACTTTAAGCCATTTCAAGTATACAACATAATAGACAATTTCTATCTTTAGAACAGTCTGGGCGAATTAATATGAATTGAGAGGCAGAGTCCTTTGCCACATCCTATGGAAACTTAGTACTCTTGATCAAATTCAGGCTCTCTCTCTCTCTCTCTGTCTCTGTCTGTCTCTCTCTCTCTCTCTTTCTCTCTCTCTGATTCTATATGACTTGAGAATTCAAGAAAAAGTTTAGGCTAGGTGACTTCTAGGCATCTTCAGGTCCAAAATATTATAATACAATAATCTAGACAGAGAGGAAAATCAAAGCATCAATAAGTGCATAACTTCTTGTTTTTTCTGGGGGGGGGGTTGGTACCAGGGATCAAACTCAGGACCTTGGGCTTGCAAGGCATGCGGTGGAACCACTGAGCTAAATCCCCGGCCCTGGTGCAAAACTTTCATCTACTCATATCCACTTAATTGAGTGTACACCAGCTGCTGTGTTGACTTCCTCCTCATGGTGCAGTCAGTCATGCTGACCTTGACTTTCTATGGTCCTTCAATCAGGACCCTCAGTACAGCTGGTATCAAGGGGTAAACCAGCTGTCCAGGCCTTCAAAGGAGATTATGGGATGAAGTGATGACATGATTCAGGATGGTGTAGTCACCAGATGACAATATCAGCACCATCTGGGAGCCCAAGAGAATACAGACACTAGCCCCTCCCTATAGAATCCACAAGACTGCCCAGTCTTAATACAACATTAAGGTTGGGTTGGCACTGAACATAGAAATCTTCTTCTGGTAGAATGATAAAAGATGGATTTTGGAGGCAAAAGCCTGAAGGCAAAAGATTACCTACTCATTCTTTTCATTTTTTTCTGTAATATTCAGAGTAACAACTAAGACCAACATTACAAACTACAAAAAAAGTTGGAATTGAAAAATATTCCTTTAGTCTCCTGAAAGTTCATGTTAAAGCTGAAATTGAAGTGGTGAGATTTTACTATAGTTTATATTTGAATTCCAAATGGCATTAAGGACAACATAAGACACTATTTTGTTTACTTTGACAAAGAATTAAAGCTTCTCCTTTTATCAATTCAGGAAGCAGACTAATTGGGATTATACTCTTTTAAAAAGTCCACAACAATGATTAAAATATCTTGATCTTTTCAGGTTGCAAGAGGCAGTCTACAAATAGTTGCTAATCAAAAGTTCCTGTATTCTTGTTAGTAGACTCCCTTTGCTCTTCCTTCTAGGTCACTGTGTAGAAAACTCCTTTATAGCTTAACTTACTAACTCATTGCAATAAATTTTTGTAGATTCAATTCAAATTCTCCAAATTTATAAAATGGAACATAAGACTACTATAATTGCTTGGTTTTTTATAAAGATACTTTCCCACATAGTTATAACTGAAAACACCAACTACCAGTGTGATTGTCTGTTCTGCCAAAGAGTAAAATTATTAAATGTTTTTTAAAAATCATGGAGAAATACTTGAAAAAAAATATGTGGTGAATATTAGAAAATCATAACATGGAAAAGCTTTTAGTGTTTTCATGATTGTCATTTTTGGAAAATGTCTTTGTTCTGAAGGATTCTTCAGGGAGATGTCTAGTCTCCTCTTATATGCATATTAGATGATAATCATAGGAGATGTCAATAATGCCTCACTCTCTGCTCTAGAAAATTCTCTCACTCTCATTGGAAACTCTGAATTGGGTGAGTCATACAATAGTGACACCAGGGCAAAATATTGATTGTCGGTTATTCTGAGAAAGAAAATTACCTTCCCTGTAGCATAAGGTCATGGCAAATTCTGTCCAAATATTTAACAGTTGGGATCCCAGCAGAAAACAGAATGGAAAGCAATATTATTTCACCATGCCTAAGAGGACCTTGAGTTTAAAAGTACAGCCAGGCATCTGCAGTACTTACCAATTTCAAAACTCCCATCAATGACTCCTACCAGTGAGGAGGGAATATCAAACCTTCTCTCTATCTGAGTGATGGTGCTCTTCAGATAGCCTTCAGCCAATGCTTTGGCAAAGAAAACAAAGGACAAGCCACCCAAGAACACCTGGAACATATGACAGGTCACACTTAGTCTGCCTACAGCTTCACACAGCTTAAAAACATGCTAAGCAAACAGACAAAAGCAATAAAGAACACGTCTGCTGTCACTGAAGATTTAACTCAAGCACTACTATAGGTTTCCTGCAAACTCAACCTCATGTAGATTTCCAAAAAATTTAAATTTTCTTGGAATTTGAAATGTATATTGATTTTCACTTCAAATGTACATTGAGTTCACGTTTCTCTTTCTTTCCTTTTCTCCAAAGAACATTCAGAGGAATCTAGATTTAAAGGGAAGATCAGCACATAGTGTAGCAGAGAGGAAGGTGATGTTGATAGATAAGAAAATGAATCAAATGAAAACCATAAGACAGACACCTGATGTCTTATCACAGTCTAATGGTCATAATTACATATTTTACCTTGATGGTATATGCACCAGCAGAGAACATGAAAAACTGAAAAATTGGAACTATTATTCCTCATATTGAACTTCATTCTCATGAAACTCATACTCAAATTATTTCTCCATAGAAAATACGTTTTTGATATCTGGCTTATGTACTTGGTGGATATTGGTGTGTCCTATGGTACCATTGCATAGCCAGGTTACCATGTACATGAAAAAAACATGGAAGTATTTGCTGAGTGAATATTAGGTGTAAAGGAAGGAGGTTTGAGTCATACAGAACAAGATTTAAAGAGTAACCCCATCCTCTATTATGTAACAGTGGAAGCCACAATTTTCTTTTATAAAATGAAAATGTTATGGATGTTTCACTGATTAAATGTTATATCCGCACTTAGTACAATACCCGGTATATAGAAGTTTAGTATTAGTTTCTATTATCTCTCCCCTTTGTGTTTAGGAGAAGAAATGAAATGAGCCTAGAAACATAGTTCAGCCTACATGGTCAGACAGATTTGCTTTCATTGCCAGGTATGGTTTTAGTAAATCACATGCAATTTTCACATTTTAGAAAGGAAATACTTCTCATTTTCAACTTCTTTATACTGAAGATATCTCAATAGAAAAACAAGGGTACTAACACTACCTAGTTCATTACTCTACCTTTAGTTCACCACAACATGACTGTTTTTCCTCTGAAGAGGGATATTTTGTTTTGAAGGAAGGCCTTCCAACAGGTTGCACTGAATTTTTGCAGAAAAACTGGATATTTTCTTTGGATGAAGTATCCATTATGAAAATGTTCCTTGACTCTGATCTGTAAGAGTTGTAAAGAGAAAAAAATTAATTCAAACCGGCACAACTTATTAAGTAGTATTTTATTTTGTAGTAGACGCCAATTCTGTAGACAGAATTTAGAGATGCCACCTTTTGTTACCACAGTAAATTGGCAAATCTTTTCAATTAAACTCAAACAGGATATTTGATTCATCCCTCCATTGGGTATTTGGATCCAGTATTCTTTCTCAAGCCCTCCACTGTAAGATTCATTTTAGCAAGAATAGGTTTAAATGTTGCCTTTGGAATAAAGAATGAGGCAGAATTTTGCTAACTTTGTGGTCTTGCCAAATTAAAGTAGGAGCAAGAAGTAAAGAAAGAAGAGGAATTCAACCATTGAATATTGATTCATTACAATTAAGACTTCAAAGCCTTAAAATCTATCTTAGAATAAATGCAGGAGGTTGTCACCTATCATAGATTCCTAAAGCACCTTCTAACTCCTGCAGCATCCCAAATAAGGTTCAAACTACTATAGTAGTAAAGAAGTCCAATTTGTATATTACTTTAGTTCAATAAAGAAGAAAGATTTGTGCCTCAGGCTGAGACTTAATTCAGATGAAAGTACATTTTTTGGGTCTGCTTTAGAAGTAAGAAACATGGTCTCCATTCCCACACTAGATTCCCACCCTCCTCTCACTCTTTTGTCTGGACCAGACCCTGAACAGTATCACATACTCTATCTATTTCTCCCTGTTCACATCAATGTTTATACATCCCATTCCCCTTCTCTTTGGGATTCCATATGGCTCAGTGCCTGCCTGCTAAGGTAATCTATATCAAGGGTTGCAAAAAATAAAATAACTTCTGGATCGCCCCAATGATTACTTAATAATGCAATTGTACATTAATAAAGATCTTCCATTTCTGCACACTAAAGAAGTGACATTTGGAGTAGTGTTTCATGTATTGTGATAAAAATTCTGGCTTGTTTTGCTTATCTATATATGATCTTCATTTAATTCTATGCTTGGTCTACATTTACTAAACCTTCATTGTTTGAATTCACAGATGGTATCTCCAACTGAAAAAAAATAAGTAATAGTAGTATAAACATTTTATTTCAAATATATAACTTAACATAAGAAGATCTAAACAGTTTCAAAGTTTAGTGGACTCTTCCAGGGAGGGAAGATGAGTAGAGAAAGGGTAGAGAAAAGGTTTGTTTTTTTAAAAAAAAATTAAACTTACAGAGTTTTATTTCATAAATATGCATAACATTAATTTTTAAAAACTAGACAAAGAAAATAACAGTGATTGAAACAAAAAATATAAAACCAAAATGCTAAAACTATGCCCTAAACAAAGACATGAAAGACAGATGATATGTCAATAATGTTTTATCAAGGGATGCCCAGAAAGGAAAGAAAGTGGATAATGGAAACAAAGCTAACTTATGCTGATAATGAAATCTCATACAGATAGCACAAAAAACCAAACTTTAGAAGCCCATAGATTATAAAATCCCAATGAAAATGATAGCAAATCCAAATTAATTAACTAGTATTTTAAAATTAGGATTATCCTAAAGACTTTAACCATAACTAATAAACTTTATTCACTAATTAATCACATGAAGAATTTAAAACTATAAAATGATAAATTGTCAGTAGATGCAAAAACATCATTTAATCAGAGGCAACATCCATTCCTGATTTAATAACAAAAACAAATTCTAAGAAACTAAAAATATAGATTCATCTGTACAGTATCTGATAAACAGCCAACTTCATTTATGCACTGAATCACTGATTCTTTTTCCAGGATAATATTTTCCTAGAATATTTTATTTATTAATTAAATATATTAATATTTTATTAAAAGGAGATTTGAAAAACACTGAGTTATACAAAGTTAAGTAGATTTCTTTTCCATGAAACTACCGAGAGTTTGTAATTGAACTCCAGAGATCCACAACTTATCATGAAAAAAAGTCAAAACAAACAAATGACCTAAAAGTAAGGTTCAGAAAATTTATAAGCAGAAAATTAACACAACTCATTGGTATCACTTCATATGGTTTTTCAAAAAAAATTTGTATATCTATATTTTCTAATTTTTCTACAATGAACATGCATTTCTTCTGTGAAAAATAGTTTGACATGAGAGATAAATATTACCACCAAGAACAAATGTAGAAAACAGAAAGATTTTTTAAAAAAAGAAAGATTTTACAATATAAAATATATAATAAGTTTCCAGCTAAAAATGTAATTTCTCTTCAAGGATTAGCCTTTCTAATTCAAACTAGCTTACTGTGTTAGGCGTTCAGATGTCAGATGGTTTACCATTAGTCATAATATTAAAACCAAAATGCAAAGAGCAAATGTTTAATAATATTCTACCATTTAAACTAAATGTATCTTTTTTTTTTTTTTTTGGTACCGGGGATCGAACTCGGGTCCTTGCACTTGTGCAGCAGGTGGCGAAACCACTGAGCTAAATCCCTGTCCCAACTAAATGTATCTTTAAGGGTTAATTCCAGAAGGTCTATAATGTTAAAGAGAGAAAAGATTGAAAATAAAATATTTAAAAACTTGAAATATGAAAGCACATAAAACGATTTCTTATATTTGGAAGGGCTGACACAAAAATTACTCTAAGTTGAATCCAGAGGCGATAGCAGAAGAGCACTATAGTGATCTCAGTTAATGTTATATTAAGATAAAATAGCACCCAGCTTAAAATATTGACCCTTTGGGTTCTGCTGGAAACATAATGTCATCTCCATGGCTAATGTGCCAATCATTATAAGAGCAGTAATGTTCCAAGGGGCCACAGCTTGTGAGCAGGGACCTTTTAAAAGAGGAGGTTAGGAGCTCATTGACATGAATGCAAAAATCTTAGGCACACAGTCTCTTCATTTCCACTTGCACAAGTGGGGCCAGAACAGAGTTATTTAGAAGGACTTAGACCTGCCACATCCTTAACTGCTCTCGGGCCACCTGACTCAAGTCCTCCAAGAAAAGACATATGGCAAAGTTTTCATTCAACACCCTCAGGTGAGATACAATTAATTCTGGAGGCCAAAGTAAAGCAAGCCAAGCAGTTTTTCTTTATTTTAGTTAAAAAAAAATGAATTCTAGGTTCACACAGGTTGAAAAATCAATCCTTCAGTCTTATTTGGGGGCTGAGAAGGCCATGGTTGGATCACACAGGTACTTGGAAGTGTTGTGACTGAGACTCCTTCCAGCTGTCTGCCTCCAAGGAAGCCACAGGAGAAGGCAGGGAGACAGCCTCTCCCTTCTCTCCCTTGGGCAGCAGCCCTCTGCACCAGCCTGGCTCTGGATCCTTCCTTTCCAAAGGCATAAAACATCATTTCATTGTCACTGCTAAGAGGAGCGTGCGTAGTGTAGAAAGCTGACCCCCCCCCTTACAAATTTTCATTAGTGTCAGATTCAGATTTAGTAAGTACTATTTTTAAGCCAGCTGATGTATGTATTGTTTTGTAATCCTTAAGTCTACCCAGCAAGTTTAACACTATAATCCCCATTTTCAAGGACTCAAAGCAGGTACGTGGCTTGTCAAACTACCAAACAACAAGCATCAGAGTCTAAATTTGAACCCCAGTTTGGGGTTTTTCTGACTTCTCTAACCAGTCTCCCTCTTACTAGCATCAAACTAACAAGGGGCTTATCAGCTCTCATTGAGAAGGGCTGGAGATAAACTACAAGTAGTACAGAAATAAAGGGTTTATTAGCTTCTCTCCTGGTAAAACCTGGCATAATGCTCACAAAATTCAAAAGAAGAGAACCAGATCTTACCTGGAGGTGGAGGTCAAAGACAGCCTGTTCCTATCAATGAGCTCAACAAGAGGCTGAACCACACTCCACAGACTGAAAGAGGAAACTGAGGGAAATTCCACAGCAATTTTGGGCAGTTCTGCCAGGTCAGGACAGGCTGAGTGGACACGGACAGAGCAGATTAGGGAAGAGAAAAGATGCAGGGCATGGTCTCAACCCTGGGCAATCTCTCCTCTTCCGTCTTTCCAACTGGCCTCTTTTTTTTCTGGCAGTCTGCAGAGAATTGGCCACGCTGGCAAGGCCACTGACATGCATCTCAGCTCCCAGGGCACAGAAAGTGCTGTAGCCTTTGAGCCATTTCTTTGCAATTTGCTGCAAGTTTAAGGCCACACGTGATAAAGCCTTCTTTAAGGGAGAGAGTGAAAAAAGAAAAGACCACTTGTGATCTTACTTGCTGATTCCCAGAAAACACAACTCCACAGGGGGCGCAGGGTGAGGGAAAAGAAGCCAGAGAGAGGATGGAAGTTTGCAACAAAGATCCCTCCTTCTCCTTCCAAGAAGTTTTCGAGCCAGCCATTCCTTAGGGATGTCACTGGGATCCTTGTGTTTTGTTTGTTTGTTTTTGTTTATTTAAAAAAAGCTCTCTGGCAAACTTGCTGCACAGTTTCCTTTCTCACGGGGATTCTAGAATCTATGGGGACCAGGTATCAGGTCAAGTTCAAAGCTCTACAAAACTTGCTCCAGAAGGATTTAATCCCCAAAGAGACATGATCAGTTGTCACATTCATGATTTCTATGAGCCTTGAAATTAGAAAAACAATGATTATTTGGCATTTGGCTGTTTATTCTACTTTATTCCAAGGGAAAGAGAACTCCTTACACTGAGAAATTCTAAAATTCTAATAAATTCTTTTTCCAAGGAACAATTTTAGCAGATTTTGAGCAGTATTAGTTTGCATTTGGTTCCTACCATAAATGAATTTGACTCAGAATTACCCAGGGCTCACCTTGTCCTTAAATGGCTGTGACTCTGGTGTAGTCACTTAATTTTACTGAATCTCAATATCTTTCTTTGTAAAACAAATTTTGTTTCCTTTAAAAAAGAAGGCAGATATTTACAGGGTTGTTTTAAGGATTAAATTATGTTATGTATTCAAAAGCATATTGCAAATCACCAAGCACTAAATGATCAGAAGGTATCATTATTACTTATGTACTTTCAGCTCACATAGGATCAAGATAGTTAATATTTTATTAGTATCTTTTATTATAAAAGAATAAAAGAGGGAGCAAGGAAAATTTGGCTTATTTTAAAGCTTACAATGAGGCAATGTCATATCTGAACTCTGAAAGACCAAGTATTTAATTTTAGCAATCAAACCAGGCTTTGCCTTAGGAAATAGCGAGCAAACAGCTCTAAGTGATATCGTTTTGAGTGTGTATATCTACATGGCCATTGATGAATTAAAGGGAAGATAGTATCTATGAGTCAAAAGAGCAAAGTTTCTATTTTTCCTAACCAAGACATGTAATTTGTCCTTGTAAATGTAATTTGGTCCATTTTCATCTTCCTCAAATTCACTAACAAGAATTCTTTCCTTATTTCTAGAGGCCCCAGTTAATGTTACTATTGTGAATGTGCCTAGTGCTTATTCTGCATAATATATAGAGCTCTTTATACCAGCCTTGCACTAGATTTTATCCAACCTCAACCTCTCATTCCCCCTCCAGACTATGGGTCAGGAGACTTTTTCTGTGAAGCTTTCTGGGGCCATGTGATCTCTGTAACAGCCACTTGACTGTCATTTTTGTAGGAATTGAAACTTGGACTGTATATAATGAGTTTCCTAAGGCTGCAGCCACAAAGTAGGTGGCTTAAAACCACAGAACTATATTGTCTCACACTTTGGAGGTGTTAAGTCCAAAATTATGGGTAGAGCTATACTCCCTCTAAATCCTTCCTTGCTGAAAATTCTTGGCATTATTTGACTTATGGATGCATCACTCCAATCTCTCCCCCCACAAAACCATCTTCTCCTTTGTGTTTTTGTGCTTTAAAGGACACTACTGGATTAGGGCTTATCCCAGAGACCTCTTCCTAACTTGATGATATGTGTAAAGACCCTATTTTCAAATAAGGTCACGTTCCCAAGTACAGGAGATTAGAACTACAGCATATTAGGGAAAGAGGGATCATAATTCAATCTACAACACTCAGGTTCTCATTTCCCTTCTTACTTGAGTTGTATCAGGCAATCATTTTAATCATGCTCTTCTGTACATCTTTGATTCTATTGTTCTTTATATTTGCTGTTCTTTCTTGGTAAACTTCACTCAAGTTAATTTTTCTGTCTAAGCTATGTTTGTGTCTATACTCATTTTAAATGATTGGAGAACAAGTCACTGATATATCCTCAGGGTTTATTTTATATTTATGATCAATAACCTTACTAGCAGTGAGTAGAGGCACTGTTAAGGGAATACCATTTCATGGTCCAATCATTTTCCCTCTTTCCTGAATAACTGCTAAGATCTTTCACATTTCTTTTTTCTACTCCTTTAGCTGGTGATCTTAAGGAGTTCAATAATAAAACAGAAAGAAAAGGGAATGTTACAATCTGCCATTGCTATATTTACACACTCTATTTATATGTAATTTTTATTTATATTTAATATATTATCTATAAACATATTTATATATTTATATTATTTATATATTTATTTAGAGATAAATATGATTTGCCTTTCTTCCTACCCTGAGGGATGCACAGCCCATGCTACTGTGCCCAACCTTGAGTCTGTACTTCTCATCTAAACTTACTTTCCTCCAACTCTTTGTCTATCAAGTCCCACCAGCTTTTGTCTCCACCACTCCACCACAACTATTTTCATCAATAAGATCAAAGATGTTCACATTAATAAACCCGTGATGACTTGCCAGACCTCATTTTAATTTTCTGTTAGTATAACTGTATACAAATCATGCTCATTTCTTTGATCCACTTTCTCTGATTCATTTTTTCCTACTGGGTTTCAAAACAATGTACTCCCTTAATTTTTTTCTACATCAGTGGTCATTTGGTCTTAGTCTTCATTGCTGGAAAATCCTATAATTCAGTCCTCAGAATATCTTCTGGACTCTACCCCTTAATGACCTCATCCAGTTTCATGGCTTTAAATATCAACTATGATATAAGATAAATGAGGCTAAGAAAAGCTATGTAGTTCCAAATTAGAACTAAGAGGTTTTCGATCTGAAAAAAAAATACATGTAGGTACACATACACACACACACACACACACACACACAACTTTTCTCCTAGTCCTCTCCTTTGAAAAGGCCTATAAACAATGACCAACTAAGTAGCAACATGTGTGACTAGAAATGAATTGTGGTCTACAAATAACATAAATAAAGAAGTCATGGATCCCTGGCATGTGACTGATCCCCGGTTTGGGTTTGAAATATCTTGTCAAAGAAAAAATCTAGGAGTCTATGAAAAAGAGATTGAGCCAATAGGACTCAGGAGCCAACTCAAACAAGCTTCTTCTAGTAAAATATAGAAAAATTTGAGCATGAATAACAATAAATGATTGAAACATGTAAAATATTAAAATCCATGAATTCACAACATCGCCATAAAAAAATCACATGGTCTGTCACCTTTGAATGACTTTAAATAACAACTTTAATAATTTAAAACTAGTGGTGCTTAAGGGAAAATTATGCATCTATATGCCCTTCCTGATCAATATATTCATTAGTTATTAAAAGAAAATTATATGTATTATGAATAAATAAAAAGGGATGAAAAAATGACAATATCATAATTTTCAAACCTCTATTTAATGAATGAATCTAGATAATGGTCATCAGTTATCAATAATATCACATGAAAAATAACACAGCCATTTCTGAACATCTTGATGGTACTCAAAAGCTTAAAACTTTTCCTTTCAAACAGTCTTTCTCCTCATTCCCAAACAAAACCCTCTGACTGGACCTAAATTCCAGTTCTTTAGAAATACAGGAAAAGAAAAATGTGCTAAAGGATTCTATAAAGATGCAATTAGCAAAATCCAAATGGAGAATGTCGTTAGGACAATCCATTTTTTCCCCAAATAAAAAGTTCAGAGAGAGAGAGAGAGAGAGAGAGAGAGAGAGAGAGAGAGAGAGTTGACCAACACAATGCATGTTTGTAATTCTACTCAAAAGGAAATGCTCTGAACAGGAAGATTTTGAACCTTGAAAGTTTTATACCTCAGAAATGTGAACATTTTATCAATATTGGTTGTTTTGAGGAGTTTGTGTTCATTTTTTAAAATAATAATAAAGGTGTTGCCTTTGTTTAAGGAAATAAATCTTTTAGAAGTCCTTACATTTTCTGTAAAAATTATTTTTAAAGAAAAATATATTGCGTTGGATATCTTGAAAATAACTTTGGGGAGAACTGCTAGATATTTTGAGGTAGAGATGGAAAAGATTGGCCAAATATTAATTGTTTGGGCTAGGAAGTGGTAGCATTCACTATACTATTTTCTCCAGTTTTAATATATTGAAATTTCCCTAGTTGAGTTTTAAATAAATAATAATAGACAGGTAAAAGTGTTTGAGAACAGATAGTACACTTGATTTTAGACAACAGGACAGAAAGTGATATAAATGACCAATAAATACATGAAGAAAATGTTCAATATCACTGGCTCTTTGAGAAATTCACATTAAAACAACACAGAGATTCCATCTCATGCCAGAAAAAAATGGCTACCATCAAGAAATCAACCAATGACAAATGCTGGCAAGGTTATGGGGAAAAAGAGACTTTTCTTCATTGTTGGTGGGAGTCTAAACTGATACAATCACTATGGAAATCAGTATGAAGTTTCCTCAAAAAACTAAAAATAGAAATTCCATTTGATCCAGCTATTCCCCTTCTAGGTATCTTCCCCAAAGAGTTAAAGACATCATATCACAGTGATGTATGCTTACTTATGATTCTAACAGCACAATTCATAATAGGTACAACTGGGAAATAGCCTATATCCATCAACAGAGGAATGGATTAAGAAAATGTGATATCTACACACAATGGGGTACTACTGTGGTGTAAGGATAAACTTGAGTCATTTATCAGAAAATGGATGCACTTTAAGACCATAATAGTAAGTGATGTAAATCAGATACACAAGATTAAATATAGCATAGTTTCTGGCATATGAAGAACTCAATACAAAAATAAAGTGTGAAATAAGAGATAACAGGCTAAAAGAGAAAGGAGGAAAAAGTCATTGTTATCCAGCATAGACAATGTATCTAAAATTTTACCATGATTTAGTAACATTGTCTTTTGTGTTTTTGGCCTATTAGGCTGGTTGTTAATCTGTATATATAATTAACTTTACAATGATTTATAAAATAAATGAATCTGATGCTGGCAAAATAAAAGGGGAGTCGAAGGGGAAAAAAGAATTGAGATATGTTATGTACATGTGCCAATTCCCTACAATGAAAGTAATCATTATGTACTTCAAATGTTCTAATAAAAATTAAAATTTCAAAAAGTGTTTGAGGACGAATTTGATTTCTATAATTACCTACAAAGCCAAAAATCACATATGCAAACCCTATTTTCCACTATTCATTCTGTGTTTTCTTTGATTTCATTCAACACTTCAGTTAGTTGAGGATTATGTTCACTGATGGGATGATCCAAACTGCATTCCTGCAGGGTCAAGTTCCTTAGTGGTCCTGTTTTTATTGGGCAGATCTAGTTTCCCACTACATTTACTATTCAGTGTGGAAGGCTCCTTAGAGTATTCTGTGTTCCAAACATAGTATCTCTTGCCAAGATTTAGTATCAGAAAATAATTCAGCTTGATAATTTGGGATCAATCACTTCTTTTCTTGATGGTGCAATAAGAAGCAAAATGATCCAAGTGGTGTCAATTCCACAGTAATGACACCATGTATATTGATAAAAATATCCCTTGCTTGGAAAATATTTCCTCTCAAAAAGCAGAAAAAAAGGAAGTTTCAGAGGTAGCTTGTTACCGCTTAATGCTGGGTCATTTTTGCTTCCCCCATTTCTGGCTTTTGCACTTGAACTACAAATTTCATGATAGGCATGAGAGCACCTATGGAGCTCATGTACTTTCTTTATCTTTATTGTATCTCTCACTCTTTTCTTGATTTGAGGTATCAGAATCATAGCTCCCAAATATATCCAGGAAACTGTAAATTTATTAGGTTACATTTCAAAGGAGATTTTTTTCATACATAATTAAGGCCTCAACCTTAAAAGAGAGAGATCATTGTAGATTATTTGGGCCCCAAATAATTGCATCAACACTGAAAAGTAGAGAACTCTTTTTTTCAGTGGAAGACAGAGATACTTTAGAAGAGAATTTGAAAGCATAAAAATCAATCATGTGCCATAGCTGGTTTGCAAATGGGAAGATGAGAAGAGCAACGTTGGAAGGACTACAGATGCCCTTAAGAAGCCGAGAGAGGTTCTCAGCAATAGCCACAAAGGATAAGGGGACCCCAGCCCTATATCTGCAAGAAGCTTCATTCAGCCAAAAGCTTCAATGACCCTAGAAGCAGTTTCTGTCCTGAGATTTCACAGAAGAGCCCAGACTAGCAAACACATTGATTTGAGGTTTGCAAGAGACTCAAAGCAGAGAATCCAGTAAAGCCCATCTGAACTTCTGACTTACAGAGCGGTGATACATTTGCATTATTTTAATCCAAGTTCATAGTAATTTATCATTGCTGACATAGAAGGCTAATAAGTCATCTCACTGCTTCACCATCTCCAAAGGTCAAAGGTCAAGCCCTTAGTGAACTTACCTCTGACATTTGGAAAGGAAAAGCCAGTCAAACTGACCATACAGCTAGGAGCTTTTCCACCTCAAGTATTAACTACAAAGAGTAAAACAAATCCTCAATCCCTGACCCAACCCTGGTCCCAGTTTCCCAGAAGACCTCATTTGGCATGAGCAGCTCAGAAGGACTTCAAATCTGACCAATTTCAGTAAAATTAGGTCTGGGACTCCTTTAAGCCAGCAATGATGCCAGAAAGAATGTTCATGAAGTAGCTCCAGGATTAAAATAAACAAGACAGTTCCTTAAATGTAGCCTAACAAGTAGATCTGCTGACTACTTAAGTTTTTTTCCTTTTCATTGGTCAAGTTATCTTACCCATATCCCAGACTCCTCCTTGTGTGTAACCCCAGGCAGAGGGGGTGATCTGTAGAGCTGCATCAAGTGTGGATGAGTGAGACTAGGGACACACTAATCTGATCTGAGCCTTTCAGTTTCAAACAGTGACTCCTCTTTCCATTCCTTTGGCTGAGATCTCAGGCTCTAACAGACTTACTGGGTGTTACCTCTCATACTATGGGATTTAGTGTTTTCTCACTGAAGACTAGTTTTGAGACCATGTAATTACAGGAAAAAAGATGAAAGTTCCAAAGGGAGTGTTTGTTCGCTATTTTCTCCCTCCACTGAGAATGTCAGGGATAAAATGTACAGCTCAAAAAGGTATAGTCAGTCTTATGTTTTTGTGTTGTAGATGGGATGGTGGGGGTGGGAGAGAGAGAGGGAGAGAGACAGAGAGAGAATGTATAGTGAGAGTATATAAATACTCCTTTGAGTATTTGCCTGTATGGTTCCTTTTGGAGGGAGGGTAGTTTTGGGTGAGAGAATAAAGGGAACTTTAAAAATCATAGGCTTACATGTTGGGATTTTAACTCCTAGGTAACAGGGAAATCAATACATGTAGATTAAAGGACAAATTCCTAGGGTAAAAATCACATTTTTACATTTGTTTCTGAAGACTATTTGTGAGTTAGCTGAAATACTCATTTTGAATCATGTAAATTATTCTAGTTTCAAACACGTGGAACAATAACATCTAAGCCTGTAAAATTCAAGCACTCTATGTATTAGATACCCACAGACTTTATAGAAAAAATTGTAGGATTTATAGGATAAATGGAAGCATTGTTTATTTTACAGGATTATGAAATGGAATGTCAGAAATACGATTATCTTGGTTTGAGTCTGTTTGACTGAAGGATTAACTTAGTTCCAGAAAGTTAGATGATAACTATGTATCTAAGAGTGATAGCCACAGTGATAGAAAGGAGGAGGTCATCATGGGAATATGGATGCACCAAGGATCCGTGGAAATTCAGGAATGTCAGTGGATGTTTTACTGCAAAATAGTTTGGATTCTAGAAGCCTGCACTTGACATGAGAGGAAGATATGCCTTCAGAATAGTAGAGGAGTTGGCTTGCACAAATGATTACATCAAACATGATACCACAGAATTATTTTATATTATACATTATTTTCACATTGTAACATCCACATTGAGAAACTATGATACAATGTAACAATTTTGAATATATATGTACTGTATATATATAACCAAGAGGCACTTCCAGTAATGTGGCAAAAAGGGAGCATCAAATAGCATCTAAGCTAAAAAATAATAAAAATAAATACAATTTATCTATTATGTTTTTCTGTACAGATTCTACTTTTTACAAAACAATTATTACCAATTAATGATGTCTCTTAACAAATACTTGTGATAGGATATCAGGTATTGCTACATATATTAAGTCCATCAATATAGGTCAGAGGAGAAAATGTTTCTATTCGCAAAATGATCACTTATGTTCCAATACCTCACTCTTGTATTTCTAAAAGTTAATACATTGGACAAATTTATTAATTAATGAGAATATTCAGTTTTGTTGAGAGTAGTAAGAATTATTGTTAAAAATTGTCAACTAGAGGGAATAGCACAAAGGATATCCCTATGGAGTCACCTTGGTTGATAGTTTTTTGAAAATATTACTGTTTAGGAAGAGTAGATTAGATCAATTCCATACTCTCTCACTTACAAATATTATATGAGGCTAAGTATTCAGGACATGCTAAATTAGAACTATATAATGACACTGGTTTTTGGTCAAGATGAGGTAACTCTTCAACAGGCCTATCAGAAATCAGAACACATTTTCACACCAGAAATCAAATCAAATTAACCAAAACCAAAACCACTCAGGATCAAGAATAAAGTTCATTTAGTTTCTTATACCAAAGTCTTATACCAAAGTCATTATAGAAAAACAGGGAGAATCTTATATTCATTGTGTTTCATTCAGAGTTCTAGAATACTTATAAACTTATAAACACACCAATTTTCATTTTGTGCTTTGTATGATGAAAATCTCTAGGAAGAAATATCAAGGTGTAGGTTCAGTGATATTTATTTCCAGTGCTTGCTAACTAATAACTAATTGCTAACTAATTTGCTTTTTGGAGCAAAAAGTGTATGCATTCTTTTGTGGTAATTTATTAAGATATAAACTGACACGCATAAGTGAGAAAAAGTTAAGCAAACATAATATGCTAAAAGTCTCATGCAAATATTTTATAGTGTATCAAAATTAGTCATTTCTTAAACTAATGAACAAATATTTATTAAAAGTCAAGCCATTAAAATCTCACTAACTGGTAATATATAGATATGTTAGTGTTATTAAGGATAGCAACACTATAGTACTAGATTACACTTATAAATAGCTAAGGTGAAACATATAGATTTGAGTCATAAAAATAACGCATTGAAAATTTTAAAAAGAGAGGTGGCAGGAGAAATTCTATCAACCAACAAGTGATATTCACAAAAAGAACATTTTAAAGTTATTTTTAATTTCACATTAATAAACATTAGAGTATTTTGCTATTCTATAGGGAACAAAACCACTAGAATAAAAATCCTTCTCTTCAAAAGGTATTTAAGCAGCAGTTTCTAATCCCTAAAGACTAATTCACATTCAGAAACATGTGTAAGTGCTCAAGACAGTAAGTGAAAGAGGGCTGAAATATGGATCCACTATGTCATTTTAGTCCAGAGTAGCTAATATCTAAATTGGTTTCTCACTGAGATGAAGGAGTGTCTTGGAATATGCTTTGAGTTCTATGTAGTATTGGCTCCCAGTTCTCAGCTCTGAAGTTTTTTCTTCTTAGTATCACGGACTTCACAATGAAACCAGAGGTCATTTAGATCTTGATGTAAAAGTCATTCCTTTTTCCTTATTATGGTAGAGAGAATTTCTGGTTACTTTTCCTTTATTAATATTTAGTCAGAGAAGTGAAACTGGTGAGAAGCCATACTTTTTTTCTATCAGAATGACTGGGGCTTGTGGGATTTTTGGATTTTCTTAGAAGAAAGGATGGATTCCTTGCTGTAGTTTGTTTCATTTGAAAGAGATACTTTCAATGTCACTGAAAATTTAAAGCATAAAACTTTAAAAATATTTTTAAACACCTTTCTATCAATAAGTTTCAAATTCCAACCTACCATTTGATCATGCTTCGCAGATGAATGTAGATGAATGGTTATTCAACTGGTCAGTGCTTCATCTGTCAAAGTTAAGATTAATGCTTAATTTTTTGTAGTGAAGTGTTTGGGCTTCTAATTAGGTTAGTGTTTAGTAAAATAAAATCTATAGTAATACACCATTTATTTTGACAATAACCTAAGCCATGATAAACTGCTGGATAATATATTATTTTCCCTTGGGATAACTCAGAAAACTTAAATTTTAATTTTAACACTTAAATTCTTGGAGTAAATGTATTTTATCAATCTTATGTATATATTGGAACCTTTATAAAGCTTGCTCCACAAAGGACAAGAAGGCATTAGAAAAATAAATTTCCAACAGTTTTGTTACACAATACTAAGTATGGGTATGGCAAAGTATTCAATATCTCAGTATCATGGAAAGTCATTTTATGGGTCTCAGATTAATTTAATAAAAAAATTAATGCAGTTTTGGTTCAAGAGAATTAAAATTTAAATATTGGTAGTGCTTACATATGAAAATTTAACATTACTATCTTCCAAACAGGTTGTTTGGCTAAATTATTTTCATGACTGAAAAATCACTTCTTGATGTGAAGCAATGAGAAAGTTTTTGAAATGGACACTCATTCAGCATTTCTTTTCTATAAGGAGAAGTGCTGGCTCTTCATCTGGACACCATAATTCCTTGGAGAAGCAGAAATACAGGGATAAAAACACATGACAAGGTACTCAACCTTAAAGACGTGATACAGAGAAGAACTAGCTGCCTTTACATGAGAAATCTGGCCTATTCTTAGAGCTTTAAGCATATGCCAAAAGTCAATGTTGCTTTCCATCCATACATAGTTCCATATACTTTAAGGTTTCATCTACATTAAAATAACTTATATTGGATCCATAGTTTTTGAATCAGTAGACTGAGTTCCACCAAATAATTAAAGCCTTAATCATCAGTTTTGCATCATCAAACATAGAGTGCACATACACACACATACACACAACACACAAAAGCTCAATGATTTCTGTCAATATTGTTAACCTGGTATTAGAATAATTTACTAGCATACATAACAAGATCAATTCAGGTAAGGCAGAAAGCACCTATTAGGTAAGGTAAAAGCAACATTATTTTAACAAATGCAATGTGTGAGGCAATAGCACAAATTGCCTAACATCTGTGGCATATAACATCAACTTAAAAATGTTCTTATTTTCTGACAATGGGTTATTGGTGTGAAACATACAAATATTTACATAAAACTCAGTTTAAGTTATCGGAATGATAGTTTATAGTCAACTCAGTGTTTATAGTTTCATTCATTCCTAATTGAATTTCCCAGAAGAACTTGAATATTTTCTAGAGAAATAAATTGTGAGAATATAAAGTGCATATTGGCTCCAAACTAATACATTCCCTCTTTGATTAGAAATCCTCAGAGTAACTTACTTTCAGAATACTCTTCACCTCAAATGCCTAATTGGTTTCTTAAATCTGAACTTAAGCAGGTTTAAAAAATGGGCAATATCATAGTTTTATCATGGGAAATTAATAGCTTTTCTTCATAGAGATGATGAGAGAAATGAATAACCTAGAATAATGCTCTGAAAATTTTTCTTGCTAGTTAGGTAAGATGATGGTGGAAACCCAGTTTGGTTTCAAAGTACATATGTTAGATCATAATTATCTGGAGTTGAGCTATTAGCATCTAAATTTTTTCCTGATATGTTTTCTACACACACTATTTGGTAGTTTGTAGAATAAGAAGAATCTCGATTTTCTTGACTATGAAAGTTCACAAAACTCTATCAGACTGGGGTCTCCTGCTAGTTTGAAAGGCCATTTGCAAATAGCATATACATCAGGAAAGGCATTTAATGGGAATCAAGTAGGAAAGAAGAGAAGTATAGTAAGATCCTTTCAATGATTTTCATTATTATTTTAGAAATATTATAACTGACAAGAATGGTGGAGATCTCCATAACATGGAAGCACCAAGAATTCTCTCCAAGTAGAATATAAATGATTTGGGAGAAATTCAATTCTCATTAGTCAGGATTTGTTCATCAAACAAATACTTCAAATTTTTACAGCAATCATTTCAAACTTTAGACTTTATTTACAATGATAATTTTCATATTTTTATTACTTAGAAAATAATTTATATTTTTCCATCATTGAAACAAAGTTCATGCCTTCTGCATGGCTTTTACCTTCAGGAAAATTCTCTGGGAAGGGAGGGAAGGGGACATGGGAAAATCGCACATAAACTGTCTACGTACAGCTAATGAACAGTCTCCGTGACATTCCATGTTTTCTTTAATACTACTGGGGTTGCAATGGTTAGGATTTGTCCTGTAATTCAACCAAAATAGAACAGACAGAATTATGAATTATGTCCATAAAAAGTAGATGCTTTCTGAAACGTACATGAAGAAACTCCTTCATGTTAGATGACCAATATAGATATATTCCTGTACAGAGCTACTGTCTTCATCTACTAAGAACAAAACCAAGTCTTGCATAAATGACAAGAAAATAATAATTTTTCAGTTAAGAAAAAAGCAAAAGTGGTGTTTTAGCCAAGAAAATAATATTCTAAATAAATATTCGACTTAGATCACTGGAAAGGCAGCCTATTAGCATGTTGAAAATGACATAGATAATACACAGAATACACTTGGACTTTTACTTAACAGAGAGCAATGAGTTCTAATTTTTCCTATTGATTTTTATGGCTGTCTATACAATTATCCTTTTCCCTAACTGTGCTAGAAATCCCTTCATTTGAGAGACCTGAGTTTATCTAATGGCACCTATAAGTAGGCTCATATAAAAATGTAGTAAATTGCAACAAATAACATTGGCACCACAGGAAGTAAGCTCTGAAGATGGAAGTGAACTCAATAATATTGCTGTCGCCAAGGAGGGGAAAACATCACTAGCAGAAAATACCTTTATATGTTCCTAGGCAACCTTGGAGATGTCCCAGGTGTGTATCAAAGTTATGCATTTGGTGGATCTCCATCCTTTCATTTCAGCTGACATCTAGTCTAAATATAATGGCTATTTAAAAAAATTATCCATTTGCCTGGATTGATGAACACAAATCTGGAACCGAGACATTCTAATTGCTTTGGCCATTAATACTCCTATTATTTCATGTACCTTAAAACAAAGCAAATAAACATAACCAGGCTGTGGCTAAGACTTCCTGGCTGGCTTAGGCTTTGCAGATTTAATAAAACTGCTTATATACAGCTATGGATGGGTTCACAATGGTAGTGTCATTCCACTCACCTAGCTTTTCCCTATATTTATATTAACTATACAGACATATAGCCATTTGGAAAAGGGAAAAAGATTAAAGTAAATACAATGCTATGTCAGTATAAATGCCTTTCCCTTTTGTCTTTTATTTGCAAGGGATGGACAACAGTTCATTTCACTTAAGAAATATATTTGACTCACAGTATACTGCAAATGTAGAGACACACAGGCAATACTAAGAAAATGGAAACAACTCAGTAAGCGCTAAATAATGAAGACTTGGTGTTAACACAGAAATAACACTGAAACAGATTTTAATTATTTAGGTAAAGCCTGTATCCATTGGATTGTTTTTACATTTTCCTACATACTGGAAATTTTGCCTTGAAACCATGTTGATTATCTTATTGTGGTATCTTTGCCTAATCAAAAATGCTATGGATTATTACAAAATCATGCGTTGGTAGGGAAAAATTTACATTTGTGAAAAACAAAGGATTTTTTAAAATGTAAACACTCCCTTCTATGACTTCAGAGAAGGTAAAACAGTAGAAATTACAATCGAGGTTTTCTTGGAAACTAAGGTTGTTTAGAAGATGAGCAAATCTGTATATAGAATGGGAGGAGGAGTTATAACCAAAAACTATGGTGGAGAGAAATGGACACCAAGTATAAAAATTTGGAGCTGGTTAACTTTTTCATCTTGAAGACAAAGATTCCAAATGCATTCAGTTAACAAAAGTTACTACTGGAAAAAAATTCTTTTCAGCATCCTCATTAAACTGGCAAAAATAATTACATGAGATTATCTTTAAACTAGAATAGGTAGGTGAATGGATACCCACAGACCTCCATGGAAACAAATTATCATCCTCTTCCTAGGGTTGGAGATAGCTACCATATATAAAAAGGGTGATTAAAATATAACTTTATAAAAATGTTTCCCTTTTTTGTTTTTTAAAAAAGAGTTTACTATCTACAGAAACCCAAAAGAATCTTTATATATTTACATCAAGATAACTACTCATGACATACATCATAATATGAAATAAAATATTGAAAGTGAGTATCAACTTTTTAAATAGAGGTTTGGCTCACAGCATAAACAAGTGTAGATAAACAAATAAAGAAAACCCTTCAAAATAGCCCAATCCCTAAACAATCCCTCTGTAAACCAAAAGAAGCATGACAATAGGCCAGATTGCAGACAGAGGTTTCCATCACACAGTGTATGAAATACCACACAGAGGGTGTCAGAGGGAACTTCACCCTCAAAGCCAATCTTACAGTTGTCAAGGACCATGTTTTCCTTACGTCAACACCCAAACCCTAAGTTGCTATTTTCTACATCATCTCTTGCCAGGTAACCTATAGTGAATTTCTGTTTGCCTTTTTTTTTTTTCCTAATATATGTTTTGCAGCAAATTAAGAAGACACAGGAGATACTATTAAGTGTAATTTCCCATTTCTCTGGCATCCTTTTAGAACTCTTACCTGCCTGCAGCTCCTTTTGGGTGTTTATGTACAAAGAATGCCATCCCCTTTAAAGGTGATTTGATTTTAGGTAAGTGACATACACACTCACAAGCAGCTCGTATATACTCATTAGGGAAATAGACTGGAAAATGCCTCCATCTTCCAGGATTGAGCCTGGTGTTAGCGCGCCTCCAAGTGGTGGATAGCAGTAGTACCAGTCACGTGGCCCATGAATGCTCTCCAATTGAAAGGACCTCTATCTAAAGGGAGGGCCTATGGAATGGCTGCCCTACAGACTCTCCAGAGCGAACTTCCTTCTGTTTTTTCACATGTACTCAGTCATCTGCTACCGCTATTCTACAAAAAAATTTCTCTACTTTTACAAACACATGCATACAAACTCCCTCCTTCTCTTAACAGACCCATCCCCCCCACATACACACACACACAAAGTGTTGGCAGGATATATCAGAATTCAAATAATGCTCTGAAACTTTCATCCCACAGTCTAAAGAGCAAAAGCTGCTTAGTTGTAGCCTACATTCGCTGTACCCTTTTCCATGCTAAGCCACATCATTTCCCATGCAATTTGTTTTCCTTTATGATTTATTATCACAGTGACCACTATATATCTTAATATGAATGTTACTAACATGTGGAACCAATAATCCTGGCTTTCAGTGTGTGTGTGTGTGTATGCGTATGTGTGTGTGACTATGTTTTACATATATCTATGTGGAAGGTTTTATACACACACACACACACACACACACACACACATATTTCCTCCATAAAAAAAATATATCCATAGAAGCTGGTGTTGCAGTGTGAAAGCTTCTTGGAGCAAGAGTTTTTAACAATGTACCTCACTGTAAAAATAAACACATAAAATGCAAAGGATCCCAAAGTGCAATAGCCATTTTCCATCTTCTTTCATTTCTACAGTGTTGTGTCTAAGTACTGTGCTGGCTTGAAGAAGAGTCCATGACAAATCAAATCTGTTTGGAAACAGCCCATTGTATTCAGGGTCACTGGTTTGACTTTGGGGCCGGGGTTTCCTCTGCTCTTGGTTTCCCTTTTTCTTCCTCCTCTTCCTTGATGGCCTGGATTTGCTCTGAGGTGTGTTGCTGAGGAGATTGGTCCAGGGCTGGATTTGCAATGCCAGTCAATTGCTGCTCCTCTTCAATGACTTTCTTCCACATCTTATGGTTCTGCAGGAGGTGCTGAGTTATTTGGCAGTAGATTTTCCTCCTTTTGAAAGTTTTCTTTTCTAAAAAAAAAAAAGAACACCAAATTGTATATTTATTGGTAGGCTGAGCACATGGAAGTCATTTTTTTTCATATTAATAATGAGCTAAGTACCCAATGGATACATGTACCCATCTCCTGATTTGTATATTGTAATGATGCAGTTTTCAAGAAGGGAGAAAAGGATGATGGCAATAACTATTGAAGTGTCATTGAGAAATAACTGTGAACAGTATTTAGTATTTGGTAATGTCCACAGAAGTTTCCACCCATGTCTTGATATTAGTTTTCCTCACATTCAGGCTATCAAGACTTCTCACCTACATGATGGGACTAACTTTTTATCATCCTCAGTCAAGCAGTTCAACTCCTAGAAGTCTACAAGATTGATTTCTCTGAAGACATTTGTTATGTTGGTCCTCTTCATTGTGTAAACTAAAAAGTTAATTTTGAGCCAGGTGTGGTGGCACATGCCCATAATCCCAGCAATTTGGGAGGTTGAGGGAAGATTCCAAGTTCAAAATCAGCATGAGCAACTTAGTGATTTAGTGAGATCTTGTTATAAATAGACAGACAAATAAATGAAGGGCTGAGGATGTAGCTCTGTACAAAGGTCCTGGGTAAAATCTCCAGTATTAAGAAAAACAACAAATAAAAAGCAAAAAAACTTTCAACTTTCATTCCAAGTTCTTCTACAACTTGGCACAAATTCATGTTTTGCACACTTTCTGCAGATAGCTGTGAACTATGCTTAAATGTTCTATTTTCTTTATATGCAAAGAACTCATCTACTCATCAGCTGGTACTGCTTTTCTTTCAGATATGCTGTTTTTAATCACTAATAAAATTCAGATTCAGTCATAAGTCCCAGTCAGATTTCCCTGGATTCCTCTTCTAAGAAATAATCTTTCTTCTAAATTTTCATGCTGCTCCACATATATTTTCCAGAGTACACGTTATTTCTATATTTTTCCCTTCCTCTCTTTGTCGTTATCTCATCTGACATTTGTGCTTTCTAAATTATTTGGGGAGAATTTTCCTTCCTTCAGTTATATAGAAAAGGCTGTTAAACTTGACTTCTCTGTCTACCTCATGGCAACATAAGCTGTGTCACAGGGATTGGCCATGGTGTAGGCATGTGACCCAAGTCAGACCAATCACAATCCTGCTCTGTAATTTTTCCCAGTAATGGAGAAGGAATGTGGGAGTGAGTGGTGGGGACTGGAAACCCTTCATCCTCTGCTTGTATATCTGGAATAAAGTAAACTTACAGTTGGGTATAGTCCTAATCTCATGAAGAAATTAAGGTTGAAAGAACAAGTTGTCAGACAGGTGACATAGAAATAGGAGGAGCAAATAAGTGTTAATACTAGACAACATTATGTTTACATGAATCAAGTTTTCCCTTTTTGGAGAGAGAAAATGTCCTCCAAGAGAACAGAGATGGGGCTTTTGGAAGGTTATTGGATCATGAGGGTGCAATCCTTAGCAGTAGGTTAATTCATTGATGAGTGCCTAGCTGACTATGCTAGTAGGAGATGGAGCCTGGTTGAAGGTGCGCTACTGTCAGCTGCCTTTGCAGGTTGTAGCTCTTGCTCTCCCTGTACCTTCTCTCTGTCCTCCCTGATTGCCACACATTGAGCAGCTTTCCTCTGCCATTCCCTTCTGCTATGGGATTTCTGCCTTGGGGACAGCTGACCATTGACTGAACCTTCTGAAACCATGAGCCAAAATGAACCTTTCTTCCTTTAACTTGTGTATATCAGATTCTTGGTCCCAGTAACAGAAAGGTAACTAATACAGAAGCTTACTTTGTTCTCATTATTCTAGGTATCAGTTCCACTTTAGGCTACAAGCTCTTTGAGGGATCCTTCTAAGGATCAGCTCTTACACATGACAAAGGTCCACAGATATGCATTCAATAAAAAAATAAATTGCATGCTCTTGTGATCAATTTAATGTTTTCAGTTGAAAAGCATTAAAGAGAATTCTCAGAATTATATCTCTTTATTGACAAAAATAATCAACTTAATTTCAACAGAAGAAAAAGAAGATGTTTTAAAGACCAACAACTAATTTCATAATTGATTAATTAAGCTAATTCCTGAACTATTTTTTAAGAATCTGGCATGAATCAAGTGATGTCTTAGGGTCTGCAACTCACTGATAGACAAGAGAGATACAGGTTGACCTTTTCTAACCTAAAGACACCAAATCTGAAAACACTGAATCCAAAAGGCTCAGAATTCAAAATTTTCTGAGTAGCAACATGATGCCACCAATAAAAGCTTCCAATCTGACCACATGGGATAAATCATCATCAATACAGATCCATTAAAATTATATAAAATTATCTTCAGAATATGTGCATAAGGTATATAAATTAATTTTGTGTTTATACTTGGGTCCCATCCTCAAGATTCCTGATTACGTACATGCAAATACAATAAAATATGAAAAATTTGAAACACATCTGGACTCACTCATTTTAGATTAGGGGTATTTAATCAACCTAATGCTGCCAGCAAGGAGCTTTCACTCTACTGAAAAAGTAGGTACAATTGTAGTGAGTCTGACAAAGTCTCTGAAAGGTGGCAGAAAGACAAGGAAATGACCCAGTTGGGGGGATATCGCATCATGATGGTGGCTTAGATTAGGATAGGGTCAATGGAAATGGAGATAGGTAGATAAATATGAGATACATTTATGAGGTAGAAGCAATAGGACTTGGGAGCCAATTGAAGATAGGGAATAAAAAAGAGAAGGAGTCAAATACAGCCCAAGCCTTCAGGCCTTAGCAACTGAGAAGACAGTGGCCACATCTCCTGAGAAGAGAACCATTAGATGAGGAGCAGATGTGTGGGGCCAGGGCATGAGGTTTCTGGGAGACCTCATTGAAGAGTAAAGTAGGCAGTCAGCCTGAGTTTAAAAGAAAGGTCCATTCTTTTCTGGGTAATCAAAATATAATGTGACTCTCATTATATTCCTTCATCTGAGTGATCATTTTAGACTTAGGCCAGGAATTTGGAAGGTAAGTGAAGAACCTTCCATTAGACTGTAAACCTCCCTAGGACAGAAGCTCTTCTTTCCCCACTTGTGTGGATATCTACAAAGCCCCAGGCAAATTATTGAGTAAGAGATGAATAACGTTCTTTCCAGTTTCTGTTCTACCATTCCAGGTGAAAATGAAATGTTGATATCAAAAACATTAAAAAGTAGTTGACAGAAAATTCAGAACTAATTAAGACTATGTTAAATAGGTAACAGTGTAAGTTATCAGGATGATCAGAAGGGCTATCTGAGTCTAATTAATGAAGTGGCTATAATTTACAATGCAAAGCATAAGAGGAAGGAAAATAGGGGTGGGAGGAAAAAATTTAAGAATAGCAAAAACAAAAAACAATGCCAATTGCTGTGGGGTGTGCCAAAGGAACTAGATTCTCACAGGTCATCTACTAACACTTTAGTGAAGTACTAGTGATTCTTTTAACATACTATAGTAGTTTTTACACTAGTATTATAACACATGACAGACATTTTTTGCACTTTACAGGACTTTACAAGATGAATTTTGTATATATAATATAGAAAGAAAGACCCTATTTTTAACTACTTTTGAATCATGAAGACAGGTAGCAAAAATTATTAAATTGAAAACTGCTAGGAGAAATGAACACAGGCAGAGTTATCAACAGGAACTTAAAAACATTTATTTATTGTATTCATCATTTATTCATGAGATGAACTTTTTGATCAAACTGACATTGACAGAGACAAGCAATTTTCTGGATGCTTTTGAAACAAAGATGGATTAGGCTTCCCTTGAAGGAGTTTGCGCTCCGAAGGAGAAAAGGCCAAGAAGACAAAAATTGAGCACCTGTGCTATTTTAGACATACATACACTTGTGACCAAGACCATGGTTCTATTTCCTCCAGTTTGACTTCGTTGTTAAGCAGATATCTTTCTCTCGCTATTAGAGCATTTGCTTTAGAAAGTTTGTAACCAAAAATCTTTTCTCTAATACTTGCACAATGTATGCAAACTTCTCCCAGCCTCTAACTAGTTTCACCCAGGAATGTTGTTTTCAGGGACCTGGAAGTCATCGCTCTGTAAAGCAGTCTCCAAGAAAGCAGTGCAGCCAGGAAATCCTAGGGTTCTGGGAAGATGAGGCAGGAAGGTCACAAGTTTGATCGAAGCCAAGCAACTTAGTGAAACCTTGACTCAAAATAAAAAGGGCTAGGTTTGTGTCTTAGTATTAAAAAAAAAAGGGGGGGGGGAGAAAGCAAAAGAAAAAAAAGTATCAGGTGGATGTAATTCTAGTTACTTCGGTGGCTGAGGCAGCAGGATTGCAAGTTTGAGACCAGCCTGGGCAACATAGTGAGACCTTGTCTCAGAATAAAATTAGAAAGGGGGCAAGGTGTAACTGGGGTTGTAGCCCAGTGGTGGATCACTTCCCTAGCATGCTGGAGGCCCTGGGTTTAGTCCCCACAACCTAGTGTCTTTGACTATAAAAGCATAGTGTTATACAGGAGCTATATAATTTCTATATTTAAAAATTTTGTTAAGAGAGTAGAACAAATGTTAAATGTTCTTATCACAATAGAATTTAAAAAATAAGGAGAGAGAAGAGAAGAAAAAAGGAAAATGAAGAGAAGGAAAGGAAATGGAAAGGAAAGGGGAAAAGAAAGAAGGCAAGAAGGAAGGAAGGAGGGAAGGAAGGATGGAGGGAGGGAAAGGGCAGAGAGGAAGGGCAGGGCAGGGCTGGGCAGTGAAAGAAGAAAGGAGGGAAGGGAAGGGAAGATAGTTTTGTGGGCGAGTGGGAGTCTAACTTCAATATGCTCCAATTAGCACACGTGGATGTCCTCATTAAATTAGCTGCCTCCCCCGGAAGGTGCCTAGTATTTATTCCCTAGCTCACCCAGCACTTAAAACCTCTCCCACTTTGTATTTTAACAGAGTTCAGTTTCTCTCCCTCATTACAACAGTGTTGACTCCTACTGTAAAGGTTTGCTTATGTCTTCCTTGCTGTTTTTCACAAGTGTCTGCACAATTTCTCTTGGATACACCATACTCTGGCAACACACACACGAGCTGGAAGACAGTTGTAAGAATGCACCATGCTGAGAGAGAAGGGACCAGCCGCAGCACACCAGAGCAAGGCAGAAGGGGGCCATGAGGAATGACCTCACATCCCCACAAGTTTCCTAAAAAGGGAGATATTCAAGACCTAAAATTCAAATGTACTTTATTGCATATGCTTATTTATTGACTTCGGTCAAATTGTATTGATTTCTTTCTATAAAAATATATATTAATATATTCAATTTTTAATAGCAAATTAAAAATTACTGTTCGATATAAGCTATGAACTATTGGTCTATTTCTACTTTGTTTTGGGCTCAGGTTGGCACCAATGAGCTTCTGCTGAGAAATTTTTAAATGTTGACATGCTTTTTAACTCCATCCTTTGAATCACGAGAGTGACAGGCAACCTCTGACTGAAGGATAGATCCGAATCACAGTCCTCCAAAACACTGAACAGCTCAAGGTGATTTTTCCAGCTAAAAACTGTATGCATTTGTGGGGAAGAAGCTAACAAAGGCTCGATTTTTCTCTTTTTCCTTCCCAGGCAGTCCCCATGAGGGCAGCTGTTCTCTTATTAATGCTGTTAAACATTAGCAATAAACCTCTCTGGGATTGTATTGAATAAGGTGACGTAGAAGAAAGTTTGTACCAAATAAATTTGCGTAGATTAGAATCTGCAGGTGGTCTGTATTGGGAGGCAGATTGTTCAGCACTGGAACCTTTTGAAATCAGAACAAAGAGCCTTTCATTGCTCAAATTCTAAACGCAGATTAGTACTTCATTAGAAACTTCTTAGTTCACCATAGGAATCTTTCAGATTTAATTATGAGGTGAGTAAAAGCCTGCTTTCCCTAGGACACCATACTGAAACGTTTCATTCTGTGTTTCCTGGGAGATCTCCAAGTTTTACAAACTGCACAAGTTATCAGTACATATTTAATTTAATATTTTCTGAAATCTATGTATCAGGCTCAATCAAGGTAACCATCTTAGCTAATGTGAGTTCTGAAATTAAAATTACGAAGAGCCGAAAGCAATGGAGTTAAAAATTAAGAAACGTGGCTTTTTTTTCTGGTTCTTTAACCTTGAGATACCATTTTGATTTCTGAGCCTTAGTCTTTGGTAAAATGAGGTAGCTAACTAAATCCCATTACTGTATATGGCCAATATTTAGAAATACTGACATTGCTCAACGTGTATCATTTTCTTGGCTGTGAAGAAATACTACAAGGATATCATTTCTAAAGCTATGATATCAAATTATTGTATATGGGATATGTTATATGCTAATATAAGGTGGCCAGTGAACTTTGGAAAGCCATTAGTAACAGAATCCACAAAATTCTCATCCATGCGTTAGTGCAGAGAGCAGGGTATCAGACTCTGTATGCAGTGTGGTGACCTAACCCTACAGACAGAAAGGAATACAATATTTGGATGTAGCACTGACTGCTAAAGCCTACATTGACAAGGTGAGCCTAGGAAATAAAATCTTGGGTTCACTCCTTCTGCTCCTGGTGCCTGGATTTTGTGTTTATCTTTTCAATGTGTTTGGGTTCAAGCAGCAACTGGTCAGGGCCCATGGGAACAAAGCTTTCCCAGCAGCTAAGCTTTATCAGCTTCTAATATCGCCTTCTAATATCATTCAATGAGAAATAAACTTTCCTCTCCTGAATAAGACAGCAAAATACTTGGCTGTCTGAAATGAAAACAAGGTAAAACGAGAATACTCACATATGCTTCTTAAACATACACATGAATAAATAACTCAGGAATCCCAAGTTTTGGCTTTCAACTCTGATCCCAAGGGCAACACGAAATTTCTAATAGAAGTCTTTTTTTTTAAATATAAGCATCAGAGAAATAGAATTATTTTGACTGTAGAATATTAAAGAGAAACAATTTTCAGTTTTCTCTGTTCTGTGCAAAAGTTAATAGGTAGAGTAGAACAACAAAAGCCTGGCCTAAGGATTGATTCGCAAAACTCTTTATCCCAAGTCTAGTTGGTGATGACCTCTTCACTTTCGCTTATGAGTGCTGCTAACAGAGACTTGAGGAGGACAAAATGGATCAGGACAACTGCAGGAAATCTCCTTACTAGATGGTTGATATAAACCAGGTCCTTGATTTTCCTAACTGTGATTAAAAACGGGGCAGGGGAGGGGTGATCAGATATCTTTCATTGGTAATATTTAATTAAGGGTCTGAAAAATATTAAGGTTTTACTTCTTTCATTTGTGGAGGCAGAAAGAAAACATACATACTGTGTTCTGTGAGCACAGAACAATTACTTTTATCATGTCACTGTAAGGCTCATGGACTTTGCTAATTATGCTATTAGCCATTACTTTCTTCATGGCAGCAGCAATAGAGAGTATATTTAAAGGCATGGAGAAAAATAATGCTTTCATAGCCAATTAAATTTAAAAAATAAGACTGGCCACAAGATGGACTCCAAGTCAATTACCAGATGTGATCTGTTCTCATTGCCACTGCTCTGACCCAAAGTCACAATCTTCTCATGCATAATTTCAACAGTCTTCTAAATGATGCTCCTGCTTCTTCCCTTGCTTCCACTCTAACCCCAAGAATATTCTCAACATAGCAGCTGAAGCAAGAGTTAAAATGAGTCCACTAACTCTTCTGCTTAAAATCACCGATGGTTCTCATCTTAGTGTAAAAGCTAAAATCCACACTGTGCCCTACATAGTGCTTCCTTCAAGCACTGCTTCCTCTGTCTTTCTCCTTCTACTCCTGCCACTCCAGCCAATGGCCACCTGGAGACCTTTGTGCATGTTGCTTTCTCCTTTCCTTGGAATCTTCTTTTCACATATCCAAATGAATCAGTCTCTTACTTCTTTCAGCTCTATTTTAAAAATCTCTCTCTTATTTAGAGTATATTTTCCTTGCCTATGGTTATCTTATCTAAAATTTTAACCTTTTTCTTGAGCATTTCATATCTCCTTTTTTCCCCCACTCCCATATCTGTATCTAACACATCATAGATAAACTGATGTGTCTTGCTTAGTGTTTCCCGACCCCATGAATGTAAGTCTACATGAGCAAAGATTTATTTGTCTGTTTGGTCACAGCTCCACTTCAGTATCTGCAAAGATGGCTGGCACATAGCAGGTGCTCAGTAAGTATCTGTTGAATGAACAAACGAATGCTATTTCTTACTGCTTAACATGGCTCTCCCACTAAGATGTAATTCATGAAAAGCATAAAATTCAACTGAACGTAATGAAGGAAACAATCTCCAGAAAACCTATCAGAACTAGATTTGATAACTTACTGGGAGATTCATTATTTTCACAAGTTTCTTCTTCATCCGCTGCTGTAGCTTCCTCCTCCTCTTCCGGGTCATCAGTGTCTCCTGACTCATCGCTGTCTTCAACCCATTTTCCAGGCATGAGTCCTGCTGAGTCATAGGAGTTGCACAGAGGCCCCACAATGTGAGAGATGAAGGATTCCTGCAGATTGGCCAGCTGAGGAGCAGAGCGGTCCATGAAGGGGCTGATGGGCAACCCAAGGCTGGCCTCCTCATCACCCTAGGAAGAGGCATTTACCATGAGTAGCCAGCTAGAAAGGTAAGAGGCACTGGTCTAAGACCCAAGAGAGGGCAGTGTTCACCTGGAAGTTAAAATGTATAGATATTCAAAACCCAAACATTCACGTGCAAACTCCTTTACTTCTTTGCTAGAAATTCTATCCAAATCACTAAGATTACTAGCAAAATGCTTAGTTGCTGCTACGTACTAATGTTGTGATCTTGAGGTTTTGGCTCCATATCAAGGGGAAATACAAGGAGTTGCTTAACATATCAGTAGATCAAATTTTATCACACTAGTCAGTGTTCCTTAAATTTGAATATAGATGGATCTTAAAAGGCAATACTTGAAATGATAATGAAACAAATATACAACCCAGCATGCTTTCCTTTTCTCCTTGGGTGCTTGAAAGCTTAATTTATTGCTCAATTCAGACTGCTATCTTGTTTGGATTACCATGTCTGTGATTATATTGCTCTTCACATTTTTATTTATTATAGGTTTAATAGTATTACTATGTGCATGTTTTGTTTTGAACTACTTCAAACTTTCTGGGATAAAATAACATCATAAACCAGAAGTTATCTAATTAAGGAAGGAAATATAGTATCAGCAACGGTTATGCCTAAGTAGTTGTATTATTGTTAGTGGAATTCCCTTTCCCTTCATGTTTTTTCTGCATTTCAATTTTTCAGGAAGGACCATGAATTAATCCCTCTGAAAGGAAATTCATTATTTAAAAATAAAAACACAAACGTTTTATTCTGTATGTGAATACTGCTTATAATACACACAAGAGTTCAGGAACAATTTATTACTTAATAAAGTACCTCTTCCTATTTTGGGACACCTTTAGTAATATATATTTCCTTCTGATATGGACTTCAACTCTGTCTCCCAATAACGTCTATAGAAGGGTTATATTTATATCTCTTTTTGGGCACTGGACAGGTAATTTACATGATTTACCTTCTTTACTCTTCATAGCAACATTATAATAAACCTATTCCTAAATTTGTATGTTAGTTTTTAAATATCAGAAGACAGTCATCTCTGTTTCTCTTAGAATAAATATCTTCACTTTTTCCACGTCTTTTTATGGCACTGATTCCTGTCCTTCACCCATGTACCATCACCTCTACATTCTTCTTAAAAGAGTTCATAATACTAAATAGAAAGCTCCAAGGATAACTGAGTTGGGTTAGGACTCCATGGGGAGTATCATCCCATACTTCTGTTATTGTCCTAGGTTTTTGGTAGTCTGTTAACCTCTCAGCACATCAAATAACATGTCCATTTTTTGGAGTTGTCTTATATGCTATTTTTTACTCTATTAGAAAAGTAAATGAACTTAAGTAATATATTTCTCCACATAAATTTAAACCTCTTATTATTATAAATTAATCCATAGAAGAACAGAATTTCAAAGGTCTTCCTAATGTCTCATTATGTCATTTCATTATCTCTTCCCCCAAGATGATTAAAATAACTTTATCTTAGAGCTCTGTAGTTATAGTTAGGTTTGATTTTTACCATAATATATATATTTTTTTTTTTTGGTACCGGGGATCGAACTCAGGTCCTTGTGCTTGCACAGCAGGGGGCGAAACCACTGAGCTAAATCCCCGGCCCCTACCATAATATTTTTTTAACTCCTTGATCAAAACTGTGAGTATGAATATGAAACAGAATAGTCATACTTTACAGCTCTTTGGAAGTTTTGGTGAATTAATGAGCAGCCCAAATATACCGCTTGAGATAATCTAAGCACTTAAGTTACCTGTTCGTAAAATTCATTGACAATACCCTCTGTCCACTGAAGATGAAGTTCTTTACATTTAGCTGGCCCATTGATATCAGCCAACTTTATACACATCTGACAAACCAGGAGACGATCATTTTCATTAGTCCAATCTATCCCAACATCATCATTCACCTGTTTGAAGGACAAAGTTAAATGTTTTATCTCAAGGAAAGCAAAAATTGAACAGGAAAAAAAAAGAACAATAGAATACTAATTCTCTTTCTACCATGTGGAGCTCAGAATACCAAATCACTGAGACCTTACCTATTTAAGATAATGTTATTGGCTTGTATAAATTAATAGTAAAAGAGTTCATCCAAAAATTAAAATAACTGATGGATATAATAATTATGAATTATAGAATTGACCATAAGTGCTATTGAAGTTAGCTTATATTAGCAATTATTATTAAAATAATATAGATATAATAAGAAATTTTTCTAAATTAATATTTGGGCATTTATGTTTAATGTAAGAGTTTGCTTTAATTTTTTGATCTTTAGTACTTCTAGATCATTTATATAAATATGTCATACAGATGAGAGCAAATTAAATGTGTAATGATACTCAGAATTTATTGTTCATCTGTATAAAAAAACATAATATACGCACACAACACTACAATTTCTTAGGTACCTAGATTCAGACCAATACCTTACATATCTGCTTCTGGTTAAATATTTTATTGCACTTTGTTTTCACAGCTGATGTATGAGAGCTGATGGCAATTGAATTTTGCTCCACACTTTGATCGTATGACATCTTTTAATTTGGCTATAATGTGAAGATTGGTACAAATCTAATTACCTTGGCATTAAATTTAGTTACGAAGTCAAAGTGTTTCTTCAAGTCAGTGGCCAAAATTGCTTCAATGACAAGGAAACGAAAATGCTTAAATTCCACATGGTCAAGGTTAATTAAGAAGTTATACTCTGGCCGGGACATGAAAAGATTCCATGCAGCAGCTGCATGATGATTCTCCAAAACAGAACGATCATTATATAGCACCGCCTATGCAAATAAGAAGAGAGTTAAGAGTTCAACTGTTTAAGTTTTTAAAAGAATCACAAAAATAAATAAGAATATGCAAAATAGCTAGTTTGTTCTTGGAACAACAACAACAACAACAAACAATCTTGCCTTTGCTGGTTATTTAGAATTATTCACTTCCATATCTTGACTGTTGATTATGTTTCTTGGTTAAATTTTCTTTTGTAATATAAGGCCCATTTTTTGAAACTTTTTGTGTTTTTCCAAAATTACAGCAAATAAAGGGCCCTGGCTTGCCTTATTAGAATTTGTTTTTTCATAAAATCTTTTTCTTTGCAAGGTACAAGAATTTAAACATAAACACAAGAATACACACATACGAAAATATATTATCAATTATCTCTATATAAGCTAATTTGGTTAATTTCAATATCTGGTGTAAGAATTACCTCCTTTTATAATTATTGAAGAGGAATGAAATCCCTAACAAGTCTACAAACAAAACATCTTCACCCCACAATCAGACATGGGAAATATCACACTTTACCTAGTACAGTATAGTAACATATATAGTAAACATCTACTTATTTTGGAATTCTCAAATAAAGCTGAGGGAAACTTCAAGAAAAAAAAGAGAGAAGTTGCCTACAAAAATGCTTGAAGACTAGTATGAGATTAAGCACATGAATATCAATACTGAGGTAAGTAAAAAATATGGAAGAAAATCTGAGTAGTAAATTATTCTGGCAAGAGAATTTCTGCCTATTTCTGGAAAACTAATTTTAATCTATGAAGGACTTGTGGAAAGAAGAAAAAATATGTGGTCAAGAAAAAACAATATTTTTATTGTATATAAATTCAAGAACTACTCTATAATTCAAGGAAATTCAAGGAATATTCTAGAATGGTTCAGAAGAGACGTTGTAGAAATGGATGAGAGTAGGATAAAACACAATAAACGAGAAAACAAGGTAAATACAGAATCATTTTAGATCCTTTAGAATGAGCAGAGGGTCTCAGAATGTTTTATTGTTATTTCTTGAATCTCATGTTTAGGTAAAAATTTTCCCTAAAATGAATGAAACAAATTGTTGCTAAATTCCTGCCAACCACCAGATATGCCTTAAGAATAATAATTGTCATAAGTATATTTCTGAGGAATATCATTTATATATCAAGAAAACTTACAGTCTTAAAAATCCAAGATAGATTTGGTTCTCTAATCTTTACAGTAAGAGACATATGTACAATTTGCCTTTTCTTTGTTGAGGAGTTCATTACTGAACTCAAGTAGATTTTCTTATAGGAGTAACTGAGAAGGAACAATAATGCCCTAAGTGTAAATGTTGCATCCTTGCCATGAATATCTTAGAACAAACTGTGATATCTTTTCACAACTAGCATGCCTCTAAGAATTTTATCTTGGGACTCAGTATAGTTTGGCATCTATTTAGTTGGTGCCTATTAGAAATCAGACTGATAAAATTAATTGTCTTCAGAAAAATCTCTACATTGAATTATTCCTCCTAATCAAAATGTAAAGATTTACCTGAGGAGCACTAGTAGCAACCAGGAAAGCATTAGTTCTCCCTGGGTGGTCATAGTCATGCATGGCTGCAGCTACATACAATGCCATCAACTCTAAGGCAGGGATGTTTCCAGAAAGACATCCATACTTATCATCTGCCGCATTATGCATTTTTGAAAACACAAATCCCATATGTCCATGTGTAAATCCACTGTCAGAATCTGAGAAGAGAAAGTTGAAGTAATAGAAAATTTAAGAAGTAGTAAACAGACACCATTTGTTTTTACTTCTCTTACACACACACACACACACACACACACACACACTCATTTCTGTTTTACAAGGGAGGAGAGATATACTTAATGCATACCTGAATCACTTGCTGATCCGGGATCATTAACCACGGTGGAGAGGCCTGGAATAGGCTGTGTGGTAAGATACCAAACAGCATGTAAGACGTCAGTGGCATGGATTCTGTTATGATCTGTGGCCAATGCAAAGAAATAGTCATCAACTTGTGAACTTTGGGGTCCAAGGTCTAAGAGTGCCATCTACTGGAGAAATGGTTTAGTCCAAACAGTTTAACACCCCAGTGAAAGCCCTCCAAGCTTTCTAGGACAAATATTCTTTGATTACTCTTCCATACCTCCAAAACATCCATAGGAACAACACTCACAGCATTAATTATGCGTTTAAATGTCTTAAATGGAAAAACCTCTGTCCAGAGTCTACTAGAAACCTAGGCGTATGCAAAACAACTGCAGTGTTTACTCTTGGGCTTACTTCCATGCTCCTGTAGGCAACTATGCAGAAGAACAGAATGAAATAAGGAACCACGATAGGCTCAATTCCTTGATATTCTATCTCTGACAAGTGGTGCCCAAATATAATCTATAAATAGAACATAGTATTCTTTGGCATCAACATTTAAACATAGCAATGAGGAGTAGCACATCTTTTTCACATAGGTTAAATTCACAAAACAAAATTCAAAGCCAAAATCAATTACATTCTCTGATCAAGAAATTCTAATTTGAGATATATTCCTAGAAAATCCCTAAAGAAAATGAATAAGAATCTCTTATATAATGATGTTGGGAGTTGGACCTACAATTATGTTCTTAGATCAAGAATTTGTACTTTGGGAATACATTTATAGGCAATATACAATTAAAAATAAGAATCTCTTTGTGTATTAATGTAGGTAGTGTATTACAGTTATGTTCTCTTGTCAAAATATTCTAAATTTGGGAGCACATTTCTAGGAAATACCTAAAGAGAAATATAACAGTCTCTCTGTATAATAATGCAGAAAAGTATAAATTATGGAGAAAGCAAAATCACTGTTCATAATATTATCATCAGGCAGAGTGAGATTCATTTAAATGTGCAGTTCAGCTTACTGTAAACCAAAACCAAGCCTGGCATGCTCTAGTCTCATCTTCCAAGTGCTCTTCTTATTTATCTGCCTCTCTGTAATATTTCATTAGCTGATATGGTTCACCCTAAATGCAATGTCTTTACACACTTATTTCCTCTAAGCAAACATGATACTACTTCCATAATAGAAGAGATTACATTTCTGAATAGTCAATAAGTGAAGAGAAGAGAAAAATAGAGGAAAACAAGAATGACAGTGGGACTATGAGAGAAACGCTTGGTTCTAGGTTTGAAACAAAAAAAAAGTCCTTGGCATGTGTGGCAATGGTAGCACCCAGGTACATGTAGGTAAATGGTGCCTATTTTCCTACCTGTCTGGGAGCTCTTGAACGAGTCTGTCATTAAGTTATAACATAGAGCTGAATCTTAGGTACATGTTACCCTGGAATTAAACTGAGGGGCTTGAGAAAGGTACACTCTGAACCCCCAAGAAGGAAACAGCAAAACTTGTCACTCAAGTTTTTTCTGCAGTCTTCAAAGTCTCCATTTTATTAAGATTGGAGTGTGTATGCCTGAATATAGGCCACTCCAGGTGTATGAGCCCACACTTTTAGATAACTTACAGATAAGACAATTACATTTACATTTTATTCTGTATCTGTGCCATGTACAAAGTCAATCACATGAGAATTTTCTGGCTTTGGGACAGATCTGGTTTTGTTTTTGTTCTGAGATTTGTTTTCCATGTTACACTGCATGTTACTTAAAATTTATTTTCTTTTCTTGAACAGTAGATTAAAAAGTCTCATTTCCTTATCTTAAAGATATGGAGATAAATAATAGTGCCAGTTTCATAGTACAATTGTGAGAATTAGGGAAAGGGCTGTATTTTAAAGTGCCGAATACATCGTGAGTTTTCAGTCAATGTCAGTATTATGCACACACAGTAAGTTGTTATTGTAGAACAAGATGGCAAACTAATGTAGACCACTTGCTTGCTCTCAAAATTAATAGGATTGAAGAACTCAAAACCTGTTCAACCAATGGTCTCAATTCCCTAACAGTTCATGTCTGACAAATGGCACCCAGATATAATCTGTGAATAGAATACAGGACTATTCTTCTGTATCACTCTTTACAAACTGCAATGAAAATGAATAGAACACCTCTTCTATGTAGGTTAAATCCACAAAGAACCCAAATGGTACTCTTTGGGAAGGTAGATGGCAGAGACAACCTGGAATAAGAAAAACAAAAAAAGGCATTCCAGGGATAAGGTATAACTCCTGGGTGCAAGCTTCTAAATTTAGTTCTTTTTCCTTGTTGCAAACTGGGAAGCTAATTACATGTGAGTTATTTCTGCTATCATTGTAAGTCAGAAAAACCCAGCATCGCAAGGGTCAAGGTGCTGGGAGAGCCTGCAGAGCACTCCCAAGTGGGGTATGTGGTTACAGGCCTGTCATCCTGGCTTCTTGGGAGACTGAGGCAGGAGGATTGCAAATTGGGGGCCAGGCTGGGCAACTGAACAAAGCTCTGTCTCAAAATAAAAAAGGATAGGGATACAGCTCAGAGGGCAGAGTACCCTTGAGTTTAATTCCCAGGACTAGGAAAAAGAATGGAAGGGGGCACCCTAAAAAATAATTAACTTGCTGATTGTCTTCTTTATTAGCCAAAATGCCCAACTGAAGGGGACTATACCAAACGTCATTTATCTCCCTGTATAACTAAGTATCACTCATACCTTAGTTTATCTGAATCTTTGCAGAACAAATATGTTTTATCACATTTCTATCAGCAATTTGCCTATTTTATTGTTTTATCAACTCCTATTATATCAAATTTTCTCCTTTCTTCCTTTTATCTCTATATCCAGGTTACTTTTTAGTCAAGATTCAACATTTGAAAACTGTCACATTTTCCTTAGCTCTTAAAAATTGTTAAAGGTGTGCTTACAACTAATGAAATATTTAGTTTGTAATATATTAGTGCATTGTTATATGACAGTTAATCTAATCCCATTTTCATGTTGGCTTCTAAATTTTCTTCAGCTAATTATGAATTCAATATAGCCATTAGAAATGTAATTCTTTAGGAGAAAATATTAAAATGGTTATACAACAAATTTTGGGGTATACTAATTATAATTGATAAAGTTTTCACTCAATACCATATTAATCTAAATGTACAACCCGAGTACATACAAATATTATTATTTAAAAGTGATAATGAATCAAACTACAGTTTTCCTGAGAGATGTAAATAAATTTCTCTATAGAAAGTATCTGGGATTTCTAATGCAGGCAGGTTCATTATAACAAACTCTCTTCACATGGGATGAAGAACTCCCTATTTCACAAGAAAAAAAATATTCACTTATAGCAATGAAAGTATAATAAAATATAAAATGAACAATGTCATTTGGAATCTGGAAACTTTGTACTAGAGTACTAGGCATCTTTCTCTATGTCTCTCTCTCATTTACTACCTAGAGAAAAGTTGATAATTATGTCATTGGGATCGAATATCATTGTGAACTCCATAAAATTTTTATATAGAAATATATTTGGAAATATTACATCAATTTGGAAATACAGGCTGTTGACTAGCAATTCCTTAGTGTTTGCAGGGGCTTCCTTTCTGTAAAAGTCTATTGGGGTAGCTCCTTAACCTTGGAGAAATCACTAACACTTATGTTAATTACTGGCATCCAACCAGCACAAGCCTTGGGAAAAGTGCATTAAGAAAGCAAGGCTTATCTTGAGAGGCTAACAACCCCTTTTTAATATCTCTTCCAACTTCCACAGCCAGGTCTGCCAGACTTTCTCAAAGCATTCAGTACTGTTAAGCTCTGCTTTCCCCTACGGAAACTGTCCTATGTTATCTGTGTTTTTCTACCCTATTTTCCACAAATCTCATTTGCAGATTCAATTCTTCATTCTACTTTCCTATTACACCCTTACTGGCTGAGCACTTTCATTCCAGTTTTTCACCATGCAGATAACATGTTAACAATGAATCCCAAGGTTCATGTGCAACCCCCTTCTGGACAGACTTGTGCTTTATCTGTATCCATATATGTGCATTTTTATTTAATGTCAACTCTGGAACTACAAAAAAAACCTCATTGCTTTTTGAAGTCTATTGTGGCTTGTGTCTAGATGTCCCTCCAAACCCTCATGGGGTCATAGGTGGCACTTTTTCAGAGGTGGTTTGATCTAGAGTGTGTGATGGTAGGATTAAGGGCTTGCAATTACTAGATTAGTCCACTGGTTGGACACAGTTCCAGGTAGGATCAAGGCTGCCCCACCATGGGAAAGGGTAGGTGGCCTAGATAAAAGGCACAGAAAGAGGGTTGCTGCATGTTGCTTGTCGCTTGCTGCTTGTTACTTCGCTGCTTTGCTGCTTTCTGCCTACCATAAACTGTTTCTCCTCTGCCATGCCACCATACCTTGAAGCCAGCCAAGAATGAACTGAAACCTCTATGAACCATAAGCCAAATAAACCTTTCCTCCTTTAACTTTGGGTGTTGGATATTTTGTCTCAGCAATGACGAAAGTAAATAAGACAAAGTCCAAGATACATAAAACTAAATTTATCTTAAAACATGATTGAGTAATACCTTTCTAAAAACTGTTTCAACCAATATATTATGTTTGACTATTTTTCTGTGTATGTATACCCTTGAAGTGCAGTTGATTTTCTATTTATTCCCACAATTTCAGTGGTTAGACCTACAGCCATCTTCTCCCAATCCATATATTTTGTAGTATTAGAGGGCAATTCTATTTAGGCATTCTGATAAATGGTAGCTGAAACGTCACATATTGGAAATTCAACATCTCTGTATTCTAATTTCATTACTATTAATGACAAGCATTCTCAGAGCACTCAATGCTTAAATACTTGATTTTGTCCTCTCTTGCATTTTCACATTTACCTGTCTTTTAAAAAAACTTTATATATATATATTTTGTGTGTATGTGTGTTTTGTTTTGTTTTCTTTTTGGTACTGGGGATCAAACTCAGGCCCTCGCATTTACGAGGCAGGCAGCAGCACCACCGAGCTAGATCCCCCGCTACACTTTTATCAGATTTTTAAAATGTTTCTTATCATCTTTCCATAAGTATTTCCAGATGTCTCTTTTCTACTAGTGATTAGGTCACCATCTTCTTGTCCCTGTAAACACCACCTAGATTTCTCTTTATGTTGAGGAAAACTTAATATTTGGAGATTTAACTCTTGAGATGCCATAATAAAAGTTGAATCCACTCAATAGAAGAGGCAGATTATTAACACCAATAAGTTTAAATTGAAGATATAATTATGTACTAAATCAGATTTGTTATAGAAAAGGTACTATTATAACCTCTTTAAAATTATTACCTGACTTCATCCCAATAATCTGATAAAGCAGCAATTAAGGTCCCCATTTTCTGGATTAAGGAATGTGGCACCCAGAGGTTAAAACCCAGGGACTCACACAGCTGTTAAGTGAAGGAGGGAGAATTTTAACACAGGCCATTTCTCCCCATTACATATGGCATGGTCATACTGAGTTCTGTAATGTGTAATTCTGTGCTTATGATTTAATACCCCACTACCTACAGCAAATATGACAGATGCAGGTAGTATTATTTCACAAATAACTTATACTTACAAGGAATATCCCTGTATCCAATCTCCAAAGCATGAAAATAATTCATAAATTCTCTAACTGGAATCTTAAAAGCTTCAAAGAGGCCCATGTCTTCAAATAGTCTGTAGGAGACCTGTAAAACAGAAAGACAAAAACCTTACAAATTATACCTTAGTATCTTAATCATAAAGAGAACAGTGGGGCAAAAAGTACATATTCCATCAACAAGATGGATTTACTACCAGTACAGATACTCATTGAGAATAATGAATTAAGTACACATTGAAGACTTCTATGTGCTGAGCCTTTGTGGTTTTGTCCTACAAGAGGTATATAATATATGTGTAAGGGTAAAGATTGAACATACACCCAAGAAAACAACACTACCACCACCACCAACAATAAAAAAATAGATTCACTATAGCATTGTACCAAGTGATTAAACTGAGTAGACACTGATAACTAGAAAGTGACACTAAGCTGAAAATTGTATAGTACATGCAATAAACATTAAATAAAGGATGAGAGAAATTTCAATTTAGATGAATTCTTTTTTAAAAAAGCTAACTTCAAAAAATAGTGGCTTCAGAGCTATGCCTTAGTGAAGAGGAAAGGACTGTGGAAGAGGAAAACAGCTGCTCTAAAATATAAGGAGGAAAAAGATTTATTCTAATCCAGTATAAATGACATTGTCTACTTTCTCTTATTCATTGGATCTCTTTCTCCTCCAAATATCTGTCTCCCATACAATTATTTGTACAGTTCTGATGACTCAAATAATATATTTGGAAATAACTGGCATATTTGACATATAAATGATGGAGAAAATGATGAACATGAGAAGGCCATGAGGAGAAGTGACTGGTGTCTTTAACACAGAGTAAATGAAGACAGGAGGAAAGCTTCAAGTCTCATGATGAGCAATTGGTGTGGCGAAGTCTTGGGTCTGAGAACCACATCAACCTAAAAACACATTGCTCTTGTGAGGTTGTGATCCACTGGAGATACTGGAGCAGAGAAATGGCTTTGTCTTATTTATAAATGAGATACCCTTGCTGAGCATTGAGAAACAGATAGTATATAATACCTTCATCTCAACTTTTATTACTTTTCTTCCACTGGGAATGCACAGATGTTGAACTTTTCCTTTTTTCTGGTGTAATTTGATGTCTCTATCTCCTCTCTTTAAAATTGCAATAGAAAGTTTGTGGTTTCTGTCAAAATATATTTTAAGCTATATCTTCTTTTAGTTATCTCCTCTTTACTGTTGTTTTAGACTATACTTAAGCTCCCATTTATGAACACCTATGGGAGTTATGTTTGCAGGTTACTTCAATAATAATAGGGACAGAGTGGCGGGAGCTTCCATGCATACATACGGAGGATTAAGTGTGATCCTTGCTCTAAAAAAGTTTACACAGAATAATTATTTACATATAATTAATCTTCACAGCACCATATGAGATAGGTAATGTCAATCACTAATGTCTGAAAGTAGAGGAAAGTAAGATAAAGAGAGATTGAGTGTCTGAGGCCATACAGCCGATAAATATTAGAGCTAGAATTCAAACCATGCCTTTCATTTTCAGATTTTGTACTCTTAACTGCTGTAAGTGTTACTGCCACTATTTAGAAACCAATGTTTCTAGAATTGCAAAAAAAACCTAAAGGCTGCCTGCAGTTCTGTTGAAAATGTTTCAAAGCTGACCTGAAAAATTAAAACAGGATATTTTAGAGTTTGATATGAAAACAGAATTTTCACCGAGAAGCTATTAAAATCAACCACATGTCACTTTACATATGGCAATTCCAAATTCATAAATGAAGAAAAAAATTATTAACTGGATAAATACTGGTAACTGAAAAGAATAAACACTATTCCAAAATCTGAAGAATATCCTTTTAAATTTGTCAAAATAAACATAATCATCATCAAAAGGCAAGCAGTACGTTAAGGCTGAGAAGTTATTTCTATTGCACATATGTCTCTTTAAAAGTCTTTTGATGTGAGACATTTTCTGTGTAGTCTCAGCCAAAAGGTGATTTCTTGGAATGCCCATGTTAATTCATTTCAGCTGTCCTAACATCTCATAATCAAAGTTTTATGATTTTCATACTTATGAACTCCAATCAAAGGAAAAAAATCCAGAAAGTTCTACTTAGCAAGGCAAATGAAACTGCATTTCTCAAAGTTCAACATTTTGTAAATCGGGAAAGTAAACTGTGATTCAGAAGGACCAAGTAGTAATGTATTACTCATACCCTGAAAAACAAGAGAGAGATCAGTGAATCTTGTTGGAATCTAATTGCTAACAATCCCTAATCTTTCTAACCATTGCTGGTATTTGTGACTCTCAGGAAACATTTTGGGTAGCTGAGGGTGTACCTCTGTGGTACAGTGACTGCCTGGTATCCATGAGGCCCTGAGTTGAAGCCCAGGGAGGAAAAGAGGGAGGAAGAAGAGAGAGGGAGAGAGTGAAGGAAAGAAATATTTGGGCAATGCTGGCCAATTCTGAACCTCCAACACCCTATCTCTGAAAATTTGGGGGGGGATCTGGATACCTGCAGCCACATCTGGAACACTGTCACTAATGTTGCAAACCCAACTGCTGTAATAACAGTTCTTCTACTCGGTCACATTTTCCATTTGGAGAGGGTGAAGATAAAGTACAGAAGTAAATGCATTTTATGGGTTTCTAAAAAGCACTTGAATGTTAAAAGCCTGAGCTTCTGATATGGATAAATCTACATTTGAATCCTGGGTCTAATATTTACTTCATAACTTTAAAAGAAAAATAGATTCTCTTTCAAGTCCTAGTTTCTTCTTTTGTAAAACAGACATTTTAAAAAAATACCTGTACCAAAGTTACAGTGAAGATTAGAGTCTAGAAAACTCTTCTCTGTCAAGGAACATAATCTCTAATAGAAGAGATAAAAGACTTTCTGGACCACTGCTAGATTGTGTGGCATTGTCACAGGTCTCTTCCCAGGCAGGTCTACTCTGTCAGAGTCTTAAATTGGCTTTGATTTTCAGAAAATGGGATATGAAACCTCCCGGGAGGAGGCTAAGTTGTAAGGCTAAGGTAGATTGGAATGTGTCCTCAAGCTCAGTGGGCATAAGAGACATGGCTTAGCACTAGAGAAAGGAAAAGATGACAAACAGGACTCTCTATGCCTAGTAAAAGTGAAGGGGTGCTATGCATTCATCAATGAATTCATAGGATAGAATCGAGAAGAGGCTGAAAGTACATTATAAAGACTGTAATTATTTTCTAGTTCATAGCCTACCACTAATTTTAGTATAACCTTATTTTATGCTCCTCAATGATCTGTCATTATTTTGACACCAATCTATTTCCTTTCTAGATTGTGAATTTCTTACAGCAATTTCTTTCTTCTTGAAGATTTGATAATACATCAAATAGAGTTCTCTGTAGGTGAAAAATCAAAAACACCTTTATTTATGACAAGAAATATCCAATGAGTCTTGTTGGTGCATAATAAGCCTTTTAGTATTGTTTCCTTAAGGTAGACTACTTTCAAGGCTTCCCAAATAAAGAAATGTTTGGTTTGCTAAGGGAGGAAGAAAACATATAGAAATTAAGAATGTGGACATGTTTGTTTTAATGCATGCTTGTTTCCAGCGTTGAACACTAGAAGAAAGAAAGTCTGGTATCTTCTGCCTTCAAGCCTTCATGGATGGAGTTGTACTGGGAAGTTCCACATGTGGATACTTGTTGAGAAGTCCGAAGAAAACGGGTCTGTGATGCACAGAGGAGAAACTGGTATTTCACTAATTCCTAGTATTTTGCAGAAAAATGTTAATGGCCCCAATAAATCTGGGCTGGTTTCTGATCTCATCTAAGTCTTATATTACCAAGTTTGGTAGTCTTTAGTATTGCTGCTGTAGAAATTTATCCACATTTATATTTTAAAATAAGGTGATACATTATTGTACCACACCCTTTAATTGTTCCTATCTTGATAGGTACCTGATATATAGCAAATTCATCATTTTGTTTTGTTTCATTTTTTGAAAAAAACATATCCAAATTCTTCATTTCTGTTTTCTTCCTTCCTTAGCAAGCCAAAAATTTCTTTATTTGGGAAGCCTTGATAACAGTCTATCTTAAGGGAACAATACTAAAAGGTTTGTCATACAACAATAGGATTCAATGATTTTTCAAATACAGAGAACTGTATTTGGTGTATTTCTCACAGTACTAGGGGAGAAACACATTTCTGCATGATATGTTGTTTTTGATGAGGGCTAAGCAACATAATATTCAGAAGTTAAAAATAATCACTGAGCTAATTACAGAAAATAAATATCTTGTACATAGGCATTTGGACAAGGGCTTCTGTCAGCTTTTGTTTTGCATAACTCTGAATTTTACTTCATTTGTCCATTTTACTTGTTTTCCCTAACTTTCTACTTTTCCTTTGGAAAAAAAAAAGAGAAAGTGGTACTCTATCTACTCAATGTTCCAGTTTCTTCATTAGTCACCACCATGGGACCTACAGAATGCTGTGTGCTAAAATTCCCTTTCTCCATACAATGCATATCCACGTGTGTAAAGACTGTAAAAAGCATTCAGCAACTTTGTTTTGTCTTCAAAATCATATGGTGTTTCTTACCTGACTAAGAATACGGCCACATTTTCTTCCTATAGTTTCCACTAAATCAAAAATGGGGAAATTCCAAGTATTTAGCTGCTCCATAATTGAATCCAGGTTATCCATGACAAGAGGTTCGGGAGCAAGAATTGGTTTATCCTGTAATGAAGATTAAAATATTTTAACAACATTCAGTTGTTCTACAAAACAATTTGTGCTTTGATAAATCCAATCAACAACTGTGATTATGTGAAATAAATGAATTAATACTCTAGGATGAATCTTAAAAAAAAAAAAATTGACAAGCTCTTGGCCCTAGAGTAAAGAGAAGGCATCTACAGAGCTACAGACTATGAATCCTGCACTGTTATGTGACTGCCTATTGCTGCTTCACATACTCTCCAGAAAAATATGGATGTTTCTTCCAGAAGTTAACATAACTGCCTTTGGGTCCACTTCGAGGTTCTTCAGTAAAGATTCAAAGACTTTAGAATACTCTGAAACTATATGTAAACTTATCCCTTTCCATATTTATGTAAATTTTTCTGGGATAAGGAACTGTATCTTATACTGAATTCTCAAAAGAAATCCCTGAGTGGAGGGAGAAACTTAATCATGCCTATTTTAATTGACTGAATTTATACATTAATCTTTCACATTAGTATGAATCCTGTCAAATGAGCTGTCACATTTTTCAGGGACTTGAATTCAATTCATGTGAGCCAGTGTTTACTGAGAAACATGTACCATGTAAATGCGAAGACATTTTACAAGTATTCATAAATTGGGATAGTCTTAAGACTACATCCACAACCAACAAATAAATAAATAAATATCCCTTTACCTGAAAAACTGTTTTAAAATGGTAAATGTGGTCAAAGAAAAATGATAATAGCATCATTTAATGACCATGTTATCAGTCAACTATTTTCTAGCATTTGCTGCCTTCCCCAAATTAACTTGAATCAAATATATATTTTCATTCTTTTTAGATAGATATCTTTAAACACACAAAATAAGACATTAGTAAAGAATCTTTTAATAGGTAGCCAGTGTGAACATAAACCCATTTTAATATAACAAGGAAAATAAATATTGGCTAATACATCAAGAAAGTGCTGAAGGAGAAAAAAAAATAACATCAAATACCCTAAAAAAGTCATTCTTTTTCTTTCTTCTTCTCTTTATAAAATTGTATTTAATTGCATGACATGTCATTTTCTAATGCATAGTTATACTTTTTGATCAGGTGAAGAGATATCTGTCATCATTTATAAGGATAAATACTTACCCATGTTATCACCAAATAATAGAAACACAAAGAGATCTACAAGGCTTGGAGAAAAAAAAAACTGTATTGATGCGTATGAGTAGGGCCACGATACATGTGGGATCTAAGTGAGATACACGTACAGATATAATGGTATGAAGTCTACGTCTACACCAAACTCCATAATAAATACAAGGGAATTTCTCAAGGAAATAAATGAGATAAGGAACATGGGGGTACCAGGAATATCATGGCTTCAGGGCCATAGGTGCCACAAGCCAGCGTTTCCCTCAGCGACTCTCTCGGGCACTCAGCCTCATCTTCGTTCTGTAGAATGTCGCTGCTGTCACTGTTGTTATTGGTTTCATAATCAGAGGTAGCTTGGGCAGTGTCATCTGCAAAGCAGAAGAGAATAGCTTATTATGAGACCTACAGTGGGGAAAGAGATCTAAGATAAACAAACTTCCCTAAAAGCTGTCACTAACAATGTTTGGGGAAATATTGCTTTCATGTGGTTTCTCAACAAAAACAGAGAGTCATAGGCTAGGAAAAAGAATACATCTTTTAACCCAAGCAAACAGATGGGGATTATACTCTGTGGATATTTGTGACATTCAATAATCTCTCAGTAATAATTTTTAGATGAGTAGTATTTTTAAAAAATCCTAAGACTTTATATTTGTTTCCTCTGTTCCTCTACCAATACATTAAGCCACTAAGAGGCTAATATACTAATTCTAGAATGCACACATGGGCATTAGAAATTGAGTCTACACACGCAGGAGTAAGTGGTCTATAGAACACGGTATCATAGCATGTGCTTAAGAGCATGGAGGTGCCAGGTACTCAATTTGTTCCTTAGGATTATGTGACTTCTTCCTCACTAGCACCCATTACTTCCCCCATTTCAATGATTAGTAAACTCTGCTAACTAAAATACCAACCAGAAAATACCAAGTATCAAAAGAATACGCTTCTAGGACAAAGCCATCACAGAAGATTTTCAAAGCTGAGCAAAGTACCTGGATGAATTTTACTGAATGCTTATTACAGGCTGAGGCCACTTAAAGCACTTTACTTGTACTACTATATTCAAGCCTCTCAAGCATCCTCTGAGGTAGGTATTATGGTATTACTATTATGTTCACTTGCAGGTAGGAAATTGAGGCACAGAAAGGACTACTAAATTGCCTAAGGTCACATAGCTACTAAATTTTGGCACTAGAATTTCAAGTGAGTTCTGAAAATCTGAGTGGAGTTCCTATACCTTTACTTTTGATAAAGTCTAGTTTTCTTTTGTTTTGTGGTTATTTTTTCCCGTGGTCTATAAAACCTCTGTCTTATCCAAAGTCACAAAGCTTTTCCCTTGTTTTCTCCAGAAGCTATGTTCCATCTCAGAATAATGTTTTGCATAGTGTGAGGTAGGGGGAAAACCTCACTGCTTATCGAGCTCGCTGGATTGCATGAGCATATTTGCTGAAAATCAAATGACTGAGTTGGTGAGATTTTAATTTGGTAATTTCTACTCTATTTCATTTTATCTACTTGCTGATCCTTAGGCCAGTGCCACACTGTATTGATTGCTGTAGCTTGTCTTAAAGTTGGGAAGTGTGTATCCTCTAACTTTGATTGCTTTTGTCAAGATTGCTTTGTGTAGTCTAGCCTATATAGTCCAAGATAAAATAAAGATAAATACTTATCATATATATATATATATATATATATATTCTCTTTTTTAAGTTGTTAGTAAGTAATGGCTTTTCTTATAAAGTCTATTCCATCTGAAATATCTTGTAGAATTTTTTCAAGGACTCATTGTTCTTCCATTATCCTCATGCAACTGCTTGTATATTAAAATTAGATATAGTATGAAAATTAAACAAGTTTCACTATAAGAATCTGCAGAAAAATGAAGACGCCAACTCACGGGGCCATAAAGACCCTACAGGTGAAACATTCCCCTCATTCATTCTATTTGACCCAGTAAAATTAAGATCAGGGTCACAGAGTACAGAATACTCAGTCTTCATAATGCTACACCATCAGATGAGGGCCACAGAGAATTCTCCTTTGAAATTCCCCTTGCTTATGTCCCTTTTCCTTTGCATATTGCCATCGAAAAATTATATCAGTCAATATTTATTGGGGATCTAGCAAGAAATGCTGAAGTATACTGTTCAAAATAATTAGGTAGATCTATCACCCTAAAGTCTATGGAGATGTTTTCTTTTCTACCTTACCTATTTCTTGCTTAACAAAAGCAAGTCCCTACATCTGTGTCAGTGAAAATAAAGTAATTATTACAATAATAGTAGCAAACACTAGCTAGTATATAGTTACTATAGGTATACACACTATAATAGGCAATATATGCTTTACATGCTTTTAGGTAATTCAATTTTTGTAATGGTCCTTTGTGGTAGGTACTATCATTACAGTGGTTCTCGGTTCATGAACTTCATTCATTCCACGATTCTGAGGGAAATGATTGCCTTTGTGTTCATCACCGGATGCGAATTTCGCCAATGGAAGCAAAATTTTGCTGAACGCTTCTGTTCAAGAACTGAGGTATTGCTGTATTCTAACAATCTGCAGGTAAAGAACTAGGGTAGAGGGAGATTACTATTACAGATAAGCAGCCTGCAGAATCAGGGTGTGAGGCAAGCTGCAATGTCCACCATCTGGACCTCTCCATTGTGCTGTCTCAAAGGAAATGTGGGATACGTTTACAGTGATACCAGCAGGGTCATTACGCAGGGTCTGTGATGGGGAGTCCTAGTGACACTAAAATATAAAGCAGCAAGATATAAAAGCATTTTTATATAGCTCTATAAGCTATATAAAGAGCCTTTCATTAAAAACATGGATACATTTCTAAACAGATGTACAGAAACATTTTGGACACCTCTACACCAAAACTGCACCATGATTAAACCTAGATAGGAGGGTTATGGATGATTTTTAGTTACTTTTTCTTATCATTTAAGTTTTACAAATTTCTCCAAAACAGGAATACATGTTACCTTTTAGATCAGGAAAAACACAATGAAATAAAATAACTTCCATTGTGAACACTCAGGATCCAACACGGCTCATTCATTACCTGTTCGGCTAGATGTCCCAGTGGCCTTGCCACTCTTCTCCAAGGGCCCATCCGCAGGAGTCACTTGGGAGTAAGGTCTGCCACAGCTGGGGAATATCACAAAAGCTGTAAGTATAGCCTTCTCTTTTCAAAAGATCCTGGGCACACACTGTCTTTGTGGACAGTAAGATAGACCACTCTAAGGAAATATTTCTGTCATTTACTTCTCCATCTCATGGAAAGGTTTATTTTGTACGTGGATGCTCATAAGAGATCACTACCAGAGTGGTCAATTTAATGGGTTAGAAACTTCATTCCACTCTTGTTTGCAACTTTTGCAGTCTCAACCACACAGAAGTGAAATTGCTGGTAAACTCGTGTTACCTGAGCCCATACTTGAGGTGCCAGTGTCACCTTATTTGTGGGATACTGGGACAGGCTCCCACACATGCATAGTGGTATCCTTGGAAATACCGACACGTATTTGGTCAAAAGTATCTTCCCCAATGGAATACCTGTATGCCTGCTTAAAAGTCTGTCAGATTTATTTAAGACATTTTATATTCTGACAGATTTTTAAGCAAAGACAGCATATGGTAAAACAGAAAAATGGAATATTAATTTTTTGGCAAAAAATAAAAATGTGTTCTTTTCTTCAGATTGATCAGTCACCTACTAAGGCCCTAAATAAATGAATAAAAGATAGGAAGATTTTGGTGATGAGTGAATACTCATTGACAAAAAAAGCCAACAAAGTACTGAGAATAACCATGAAAACTGAAGGTTCATGAAAAGTGGACAGTGTCCCATAAGAGGGGATTGGAGGGTTAGAGGATGGAGGATATTTTTTTCTAATACTTTGACCGTATTCTAGTTAAAGAATAACCCCACAATGACTTAGCAAAGTTCCAAATTATTGCCTCTCTCTTGTTTAGACATGTCATGATTAGATTTTAATTCTGCATTTTGTTGCTGGGTTTTTTTTCTCCTGCCTAATATTACAAAGGGTCTCAGAGGATTTTTCATCTGTTTGTTATTTAACTACAAATTACTCACTCTCAACTTAGGAGAAATGAGTGATATTTTATTGTTCAGTATCTTAAGTGGCTCATTTTTTGTCCTTAATTGTACTTGTATGTTCTGAAGAGAAAAGCATTTTCCAGCTAGACATGTTCATGCTAAGTAAATTTTCACCTTTGAATGCAAATAGAAAAGCATCATACATAAAGTATTTCTACTGATGAAATCTAAACATTTTGCCTTGAAGAACCTAAAGAAAATGACACAACAAAAAAAATAAAAGAAGAAGAAAGAAAGAAAGTACATGCAACTGATGGGTTAATATTCTCAGAGGAAAGTTGGGAGAAGTAGAGTTTATAAGTTTGAAGATTTTTCATTGCAAGATAATACCTAAAAAGAGTATTTAAATTAGTGGTTCAAATCTACCAACTCCCGGGCCAAAAACAGAGCTTGCTGCATAGACATTACAGCAGCCAAGAGGCTGAGATTCAATGCCAAACCTTTTGAGTTCAGCAGGGGAAACCACAATAATTAGTTGTGTGTTTCTGGAGCTCTCTGTGCCTACATGGGTGGCTGCCTTGAAGAGAATAATAAAACCTGGTTTGAATTACAGATTTATAAAGCCCAAACAAATAAAACACACACTACTGGATTTATAAACATTACTGAACAAGTAGACAGTGAAATCCCCTTGTTTTTCTCTGAAACCTCTTTTATAAAAATCCCATTACATTCTTCTTGCTAAGCGTGCGCGCGTGCACACACACACACACACACACACAAGAATATGATGAGAAAAGCTATGTGAGTGGTAGGTCTTTCCTGAACATCTCCCTCCTTTCTTTAGGCAGCTTATTTCCCACAAGTTTGGAGTGTGGAGGGGGAGAGGTCCCTAGGGAAGTAGGAAGCAGATGTCCTTGAAGCTGATACTTCACTGAGCTTCATATCTTAGCTCAGGGTGCACATCACAAACAAGGCTTCTTCTCCGCGTCCTGCCTCACACTCAATCTATGGGCAGTTATAGGGTTTTAAGCCAAACAAATTTGGTCTGCGGTCAGATAAATTCAGAAAACATTAGAAGAAACAAGAATCAAGGGGTGGTGTTTCAGCAAGATTTCTTAGGACTTTTAATAAAGTAATACGTGTTGTGAATCACTAAAAAGGAAATATAATGTGTCTGCTAGACATTTTATTATAAAAGGTATATTTTGAGGGAGAGATTAACAGCCCATTGTAATTGGTTTATTTTGAAAAAAGAAGGCGGACGTAAGGGCAAGAGCTGTAGCTCATGGCAGGGTGTTTGTCTAGCATGAGTGAAGTTCTTGGGCTCAATCCCCAATAATACACACACACACACACACACACACACACACACCTGGCATGCAGGGAGTGGACAATTTTTGGATGGCAGAATAAGTTTTTACTCTGGCCTGGCCAATGAAAGAAAACTGATTTTTCATTTAAAAATATTTATAAACAGAAAAAAAGTAACAATAAAGATTATAAAATAAATGGCTTTAAAACAAAGTGTTACATAGTTTGGGGTTGTAGCGCACTCCCAAAAGCCCCATAGGTTGAAGGCTTGGTGGCCAGCCTGGGCTGCTATCAGGAAGTGGTGGAGCCATTAAAGGTGAGGCTACTAGGAAGAAGTTAGGTCACTGGGTGCCCTGGTGGGGGATATTAAGGCCCTGAGCCCAGAAGGTCTCTCACCCCGCCACCTTTCTCTCTCCCTTCTTCCACCATAAGGGGAACAGTTTACTCTACCACACAATCTCCACCACGGTGTACTGCCTCGCAGGCCCAAAAGCAATGAGGCCAAGCAATTATGAGTGGAAACCTCTGCAATCATGAGCAGAAACACATCTTTCTTCCTTTAAATTGGCTTATCCCAAGTGTTTTGTTACAGTGAGATAAAGTTAACTAACAAAAAGTTCATCGAAATGAAATTTGTGAAACTTGCTAGGTCTTAGCACTGAGCATGATAATAAAATCTAGGTCTATAAACAAGTATTTGACATTAGAAAAACAATATGCTAGTAATGTATTCAAGTTGTGGTCCTCATTAACATTGAAAAGAAATTCTTTTGAAGGCACACTCATGTTATACTCAAAACACTCAACTATTTGGTATTCAAAAATATTCTATGCTTCAAGATCAGTTATCTAAGATGAAGCTATTATTGAAGAACAATAAAATACATTAAATAGTAAGGAAATATTTCTTTCTTATTATGACAATGTTGGGAAAATAATTACTTCAGCCACGTTAGGCTCTCTTTTCTTATGCTCTGTGACCGACAGTTTGTAATTCTGTTTTTAAAATGATAGAATAGCACACACAATGCTGCATTGTATTCAGAAAACTGTTTGAGTCAAGCAGTAATGTGCACATATTATTTGTACAATTCCAAAGTGTTAAAATGGGAAATGCAAACTTCAAGTGAATATTTTTCAAATCAGTTTAAAATACCCCCTGGAGAACAAGTAAAAAACATTCCAACAAAGGATCATATCAGATTACTTGGTATAATTTTTAAATTATATACACTATGCATTCTACATCAGCAAGAGGATAAAATGTACAGCTACTGATTTTGTACCATCTCTAAAGATTTCCATTATGGACTGTAAGGGGTATGAACTTTCTATTAATAGAAAATCACTTAAAAATTCAGTTGCTACTATATAGCCTGTTCGATACAAATTGTATTATCCTATGCTTCCTTGTCAACTACTTTGGCAAACATTCACGAAGCTATATGGATGAGTGGTGGGTGTTCCTATGGGGAAATTATGATAGGCTTTACAATTAAACTCCAGTTAAGAATGCGACTCCTTACCTGCTACATACAACAGGTGGAGCCAGGGTCTGAGGGCACAGGTCAGGGGTGCTCTGAGTATAGGTTAAAGTCCTATGAGAACTTGGACCGTGTTTGTCAGCTGTCTCGGCAGATTCTGGAAACTGCACTGCAGAAATTTTGCTGACAGGGCTGCTGGCAGGAGTCCCTTGGAGAGGTGAGGAACAGGGCGACTGAAGAGGTGAAATCTTAGCAGGGTCACCTGGAAAAGAGTTATGAAGTCTCTGAACAAACATCTTTGAGATGCAAACATGCAACACTTACACTTCACCTCCACTCCAGTAAACTCAAAAACAACTTTGTGGACAAGAAGGCCACCAAGTTGGTCTCCCCCCGCATGCCACCATCTGGCGGCAGAGTGTGTGGCTGGGCTGTCTCTGAAGCATGAAAAACGAGGAATGAATCATCATGAAAAATCGGTGACCATACTGGCAGCGCCCGCTGAAGCCTTGGTACCCTGGAGTAACTTCAGGACAGAAGGATATTATTTTCTCCTCCCATTTTTGTTTCTTGTCATTTTGACTTAAAAATAACAGTTGAAATTTTATCATATGTCTGTCTTCTCATAGGCCTCAGAATTTTAGCAGGGACAAGATTTTATATTGTTTTCAACATTAAGTGGTAACTGGAACACAGCGTGGCAAGCAACCAACACTTCAAATATGCAAATAAAGGAGATAATTTGGGGGGAAGCTATTAACCTCAGCAACCATTTACATTTTCAGTGAAATCGGACCTTTTTATGTGAAATAGCACTTTGATCAAAATCATTTTTGAAGAAAACACTAAAAAATCTAACATCCACTTGATATCAGACAATGGGCCTAAAGATTTGATTTCAAATGTGGCCATTTGTACCAGACTGGCCATGTTTACTGTAGATTGTGAGAATTGTATAGACAAAGGCTTCAGTTACAAAGCACTGGGGTTAGAAGGCAAGGATGATATCTTTTGAAGTTACACTCTCCCGAACCTGTGGGCTTACAATTGGAAAAATAAAAACAAAAAACAGACACATAACTTCCACATGACTACCTGCTTACCGATTTTCACAATTTATGGTTGAACATCCTAGTCTAGAAGAAATGAAATGAATCTATCTAGAGTCATTCTCTGTATCTCACCATTTGGGAAAGTCACAGCAATGGACAGCACATTGCAGAATGATGGATGTGATGAATAGGAAGCTGGCTTACAGGGAGGTTGCTTGTTAAGGACCAGTTCCCTCAAAAGCTTGATTTGTCACACCCAAAAAGGTTTTCTGCTCCACTGAACGGAATATTAAACTTGCTGAAGGCTTTTTGTATTTTTCTTTTTAATATGTCTTGTTGGCACTGTTATTTCTTTTGTTTGGTTTTAAAAGCTGAAAATCTCATTCTTTCTCTGTTTAAGTTTGGAGAGCAGCCACCATCCAAGTCATTTGCTTAACATTTCTTCTGTTGACTCCTGACCAATAGATCAACCCCCTGCCTTTATACTTAACAAATGAAACCATTCAGACTCAGAGAAGTTAAGAAAACTCGCCAGGGCCACAGGACTAGGAAGTGGGAAAATATGGAGTAACCCCATTTATGCTTAGCATAAAATGTAATTTAGTGGCCCACACTTCTCTGCCCAAGGTGGAAGAAAAACCCACAATCTATTAGGCAGCCTCTGTACTGCTCCTTATTACATGTCTGATGGTTTTTATTTTGATTTCTATTTTGACTTAAAAGATTGAGCTATTTTACCAAAGATACTGACAAATCTCCATGTTACTTAGTCTCTTGAGCCAAAAGAAAATTAAATTCACTAAATTTTAAACCCCGAGTTTCCCAACCACTGCATCAATGTATGTGGCAAGTGAAATAGAAGTGTGCTGTGAAGAAATTTATAGCTGTAAATTAAAAGACAAAAGAAAAACATTTTATTCAGAAGCTGCAGAGTAAACTCAATTTTAATACTATCTCTAACATTTTATAATTGGATTTTCTCATTATGAATTTATAAAATAAAGACATTATACTTTTTTATCAAGCTTTAAATCCCTTCTCAATTCCCTGTGCTATATAATACTGACATGCATTCACAAATATGATTATACATCTATGGTTGCTGTGATGTAAAAAAGGTTGGAAATGGCTGGTCCAATTTAGAATAGTTCGAGCAGACAGATACTGGATACAATCTTATAAAAGTTATGTACCATTAAGGAGCTAAATCCTGGTATAAAAAGTTTCCAAGGTATTTGCAATGAGTAAGAATCACAATGATTTATTCATTTAACAAATATTTATTGTGTGTTCCGTTGCAGGGATGCAGTCAGTAAAGGGCTAAACAGCATCTCTCCTCTCACGGAGCTCTCGTTCCTTTGGCAAAGACAGAAACAGCAAAACAAAAATCAATAAATAAGAAGAAAGGAAAGAAAAGTCATGTAATTTCCAATTATGTGAAGAAAAATAATGCAGAGGTAGAGCACAGAGTGCTTTATGCATAGATAGTCTAGGAAGGCCTCCCTGAGGGGGAAAATTTGAACAGACTGATGAAATGAAAGCCATCCAGACTGGGGAAACCATGTTCTAGAAAGAAATCTTACACGGGATAGTCACAGGATCTGTGGCTGGAGCTTATCACATGGAAGGAGAAGGGCCCAGGCTAGATGGAGGTTTGTAGGCAAGTTTTAATTGCTCTGTCTAAAACATGAAACTCCTGGTAGGTATTGCTTTAGGCAACTGCTTAATTATTCCAATGGCAAAATTATGAGTTTGGGGACAGTTTTCAACTATATTTTTTAAAAGTAGAACTACAATATATTTCAAAGCTCACAGAAACACTTCTCTGTCTCTCTCTTGACACGTTTCTTTCTGAAGGTAATTTATGAGAACAGTGATTGTTTTCATTGGTAATTTTTAGTAGCTGCCAGCTGATAGCCTCAGAGACATGCAATTCACTCTTAAATACACACTTTAAAATCCACACAACCCTTAGGGTTCTTGGAACTCAAGGATTAACTAAATTTAAACCAATAAGCAGACTTTAAGACTCCTGGAATGAAATCTTAAATAAACCTGTAACAAGGAAAAGCACTTTGCTTTTATAGTATTTCAGTCTACATATTTTTGAACTCTTTTAACAAGCATGGGTCTTGGCAACAACCATGAGAAGTAGAAATTTTTTTAAAGGAGATAATGGTGTAAACTTTAAAGTTAAAAAATACAAAGGATAAAGAAAGCAACCAGAAGTAGATATATATTTACACATAGCAGTCTTCGAATCCATGGAGACATAAATGCAGATACAGGCTGAGCAGCCTTTATCCAAAATGTTTGGGACCAGAAGTATTTCAGATCTCAGAGGTTTTGGAATTTTGGAATATTTTTATAGACTTTATTAGTTGAACATATCTAATCTAAAAATTTGAAATTCAAAATGCTCAGATTTGAATTTTCAAATTAGGGAGTCTCAACCTGTAATCACCAAATAGTCCTCCTTCCTAGAAAGGGGTAAATGAGTTTTAACATCAGAAGGGGATTCTCCCAGGAAAAGAGAACTTCCTTAGCAAGTCTTTAAAAATGGATTTTGTAAGATATTATAAGTGTAATCACTTGTAAAGTTAGAAGGATGACTATTACGACTTTGCAAAGTTTCATCCAATTTTATATTACTCACATGTTCACACACACACGGAAAGTAAAGGATTAGATAAACATGCATCCTTTCAAATATGTTTGTCTTCATTTCATATTTGAGTAATTTTAAGATATTCCAAGAAAAAGAAAAAGCTCATGAAACATAAATAACTAATACTGTTGTAACATGAAATGCAGAAAAATAAAACAAAAATACAACTTAAAGTCTAAAATACCAAGTCCTTTGATGAACTGAGCCTTTAATTCTCTGATCCTGAGAGCATGAGAAAATATGTGTCAAGAAACAAGGAACTTTGGATAATCAAAGGGAGAAGATAAAACAGTACTTCAGGGGAATTCTTTAAGTGAACCCATCTGTTTTGTTCTATAAAACTAAGTTTAATTTTAATTGAACAAGAAAAGAATCAGCTTGTCTGATAAATACACATCCCTTCTCCATGCCTACAAGAAAATAGTAAGCTCTAACATTTTTCCAAAACCGAAAAGGTATCTAACCTAAAGCAAATACCAAAAGAACAAACAAAAACTAAACAAAGTTGTAGTATCATAATTAAAATTTTCTCTCATTTCAAATTTTCTATAGGAAAACCTCAGACTAGCTTACAGGTGTAGAGATGTCCATATTCATTGCAGTAGGCAGCTCAAACTTACAAGAATTCAGGAAAAAACAACTGTAAACCCACTATGGATTAGAGGAATTTGCAAAGCAGAATGACATAATGGTAGTTCCCCATTGGCAGTGACTTACACTGCAGAAGCAAGATTGAAAATGCAAATTATATTTAAATCCCCTGTTTTTATGCTTTAATCAGAGTACTCCTATGTGATTTCATCCATTTATTTTACATTAGTAACTGCATAATAATTGCTTGCATTTCAGCTATTTAAAATGAAAGCCAATTGATTGAGTTAGAGGACACACTGTTTATTTGATGTGTGCAAAGAACAGATTCATTAGTCCCCTCCAAAATGGGTCATTTATCTCTGTTTGCCTGCTTTGTGCTCAGTGCTTGCTTTCTCTCCATCTGTCTACAGCTCTTTCTTCCCCCTCAGACTCTTCGTGCCCCACAGGACTCCACTGGCTTGTCCTCTGCCACATTAGGGGCTTTCTCACCTCATTCCACGTAGTTTATTGAAAAGCAGGTGGTATCATAGCTGTATCAAACATGGTGCAACAATGTACTTCCCTTGACTCAAACATACCATCAGTGCAGGAAAACAGAAGATTTTAAATAGAAGGACCCATTCGACCAGAGAGAACTGAAATTTCATTTCAGCTCTGATTCTGGATGGATGCTTTTCTACCTTTTGGCAGACTTTCAGAAATTTGTTTAATTGAATTCAGCATGCTTGAGATATAGGTTATTTTATAAACACTTATCTCTTCAGTGACAGCAGTCTGAAGATACCACAATGCAAAAGCTCCTTTAAGGTAATCACGATGGACATACTGGTGCACTCCACGGCAATATGAAGAGAGCTCTTCCTGCACCTGTGGTTTAATTCCCAGGAACAGCCCTGGGGCATCTTATGTGGTATTCTTTTCCTTGTATGCTTTGCCCTTTATTGTGAATGTAGTCATATCTCTTGGGGAGTAGGATAACAGGGAGATGAGGCTGTTCTGTCAGTCATTTGCTCAGTTATTTGCAGTGTCTGCCCTAAGTGTAATTACTAGTTTCTTGACTTTATTATGTTCGGTGAGAGAGAGAGAGAGAGAGAGAGAGAGAGAGAGAGAGAGAGTAAAAAAAAACCTAAGTCCTTCTACATCCTTCTATTACCTGATATTAAGCCAAGGACAGAACCACAAAATTCTAATTGTAAATTATGTCAGTTGCTGTCCTGAATTGTTTTTTAGTATAGTCATAAGGATAAAAGAAACAATTGACAATTACGTGGCCTTGGGCAAGTTACTTAAGTTTTCTGTGCCACAGTTTCCTCATCTGATTCCCCTTTCTGTTCTGCACCAAAACAGAATACTGGAATCCATATTTCATCCATTAAGTTACATGTTATTGTCCTATATTTTGATTCTGTCCTTACAAAAAAAAGAAAAACCTTCAAAGACTACCCCCAAAGTGAGGCATGACAGAGCACACCTATAATCCCAGATATTTGAGAAGCTGAGGCGGGAAGATTCCAGCCTGAGAAACTGAGATCATATCTCAAGATAAAAAATAAAAGGGCTGGGGATGTAACTTAGTGGTAAAGTACCCCTGGGTTTAACTCACAGTGCCAGGAAGAAGAAAATGAACTCAAAACACAATAATAGCAACAATAACAACAAAACTACCCACAAGTCTGGAAATAATATTTATGCATAGAATGTTTGCTTGGATTAATCCTTGTTTCAAATTCATTTTTAACTTTTATTATATCTCAGACTTCTTGATGTCATTTTTCATCATAGAATATATTCATCATAAATACCTTTGTGAAAAAAATCTTATTTATTGGTATATGTTTGTGCTACATAATAATTATGTAATTGGTAATAATAATCATCATAATAATCTTGGGTAATCGGTACATATTAGATCTCTAGAAAGATTTTTTGTTGTGGTGGTGGGATTTTTTTCTGGTACCGGGGATCAAACTTGGGTCCTTGCGCTTGCAAGACAGGTGGCGTAACCATTGAGCTAAATCCCCGGCTCTGCTGTTGTTGTGTTTGTTAACTCCAACTCATGATGTTTCTTTGTGCATATAAGGAAGGTGGTTGTACATTCCATGTTTGAACTTGATCTCTTAAAAATCTCATGGTTCTTAACTGGTAATGCTACCATTCAAAAATTATACAGATTTTTATAGGGGAAAGAGGGGATCTACAGAACTAGGGCCACTTTAATGTCCCTATAAGAGTGTCTTGTTAATGTGGAATTCTCAAATTCAGTTCTTTCACTTTCCTGGAATCCCAAAAGAGTCTTCTTATTAACAAGCTAATTTGCGTTTGCCTTCTGGGCAATCTCAGTTAAGTATTTGCCTACATTATCCTACATTGCCTGGTCCTAGTAAAAGCTTAATTCTATTTCTCAGGTCATTAATGACTTTTAAGTTATAAAGTTTAATGAACATCTCCAGAGCAGAGAGGACCAGATCATTGTTGCAAAACCAGATTACCTTTAATGGTTTCTTTCTGTAATGGAATTCCAATACAACTGCACCTTTTGAAGGAAGTGCCTTCCTACACTAAACAATGGAGACTTAAATACATCAGGCAATGATATCAAGGAACAGGTACCTGTATAAAGTGGGTAATCAAAAGAAAAAGTACTACATGTTTTTATCTAGATGTAACGACAGTTTCCTTGAATCGTGCCTTCTAAAATTAAAAGTTTATATTTCAAAGTGGTCTCTAGACTATTAGTGAAAGGTAAGCAACCTACACAAGTTCCTCATATAAACATTGCCATTTTGGGGACTTGTGTTTTTGGTGAAAATGCAGTCATTTGTAGTAAACTTATGCTTCATTGAGAATAGAAAGTTAAAAAAGGTTAAGAAAAAAAAAACAAAAGCTCTCAAGGCAGAGTTCTGAGGAACCAGGTTCCCAGAGAGAAGAGCACCACTGAGAGTGGATCAATGCGTTGCAACCCATTCTCCCCTGAGAACATTATTTACTGACTATTGGCAGGGAGCAGGAGGCTGAGAATCCACACATAGGGGGAAACTATTACAGAAGCAGGCCAGCAGAGCTTTTAGCGATGTCATGAGGGTAATGACAGGGAAACTGGCAGCCAGAACTGGCATGTCCAACATCTCGACAAGAAGGGGCACTTTCCCCTTGAGCCATTTGATTTTTTATGCTGCTCAAGAAAGGAACTGAAAATCTCATGAAACTTTTCTATGGTGTGAGAGGTAAAAACTTGGGAGTTGGGAACTTCTAAGAAGGACGAGGTCAGAGTGAACACCTCAGGCTCTCTGTTGAGACTGTAGGAGCAGAGCAATTCAGAGACAGAATCTGACAAAAACTGTATCCCAGTTTTGAGTCCACATAAATTCTGATTGCACAAGGTAATCTTTTTGCAAATCCTTTTACTTTCCTACCTAAACTTTACCATTCTTAATTTTGATATCCACTTTCCTTATCATAGTTCGCATATAGTAAATGAAGCATTTCCTCAAACTCATATAAATACCATAATCCTGAAAAGCAATTTTCATTTAATAAAGTCTAAAAATAAAACTGAAATTTATAAGATGATCCTCTGAGAGCTTATGAGGAACTGTGACACTTATTTCTCATCCTTCCAGTACTTTCAAGATAGGAAATCTGGTACAACAACTTCAAGAGAGCTGTATCATCACATAAAGTGGAAATCTGCATGACTAGTTCGTTATTAGTTATTGAAGCTTTTTTCTTCTTTGCTTGATTGCTTCCTTTCTTTTTGTGTGTGTAAAGGGGAGTGCTGGTAATGGCACTCAGTATCTTATCTGTGCTAGGTAAGTGCTCTATCACTCAGCTACATCCCCAGTCCCCAAGCTTTTTCACTTAAACAGTCTAATCGAAAATATCTGAGTGTAAGGCACCCTCAGAATACTTCCACATTTAGGAAATACTACATTTACTCCCTGACTGCCTTTTTCCCAGTAGGTTACTTGCCTGGTCGATTTTGCTTCTTAGCCTTTACATGGTTAGCTGCAGAAACAGCATAGGAGGAAGTGAAGGACCTGCTTTTGGTGAGGGTCATCATCACAGGGCTATTCCAAGAATCAGGATTAACAGTACTGTAAAGATAAGAGTGAAAGAAAAATGAATACATTTTTTCATTAATAGGCAAATCTTGACAGAACCCAAATATTATTTTCCTAATAAACTTGTCAATCTGAGCATGGTCCAGGTTCACTGATAAACTGCTTTAATCCCAAGTGACCAAATATGATATCTAAGCTCAGTCTCTGCTGCAGGGATGCATCAGTCACTCATCAAAAATAAGTTAACAAATAATAAATGAAAACTTGTCCATTTATCCAATTCCTATGAATCAAATCCTTTTTCCTACTTCTATAATATTCCTCTCAGAATTTTCTAAAAAAGTCTTGCAGATCAATTGGTGAAAAAAATGGATGAAGTTAATGTCATAATGCATAGGTCAATGCTCTTTATTATGTATTATTCTTGGTGAATCTATATTCAAATATTAAATCCTTATAAAACCCTTCAAAACCAATGCTTTATTGCAGTATTTGCATATAAAAGAAAAAGTGAACAGTAGACCTTTCGCCTGTAATTTTTCTTTACTGAAAATGCCATATCCTCTTTTAAACATGCCAGTTACAGACATGATGCTAAGCACACTAATATTTACTATGAGAAAGGTAAGGGACAGTCTTCTAGGACATGCATCCTTGAAGGGGTACTTGGTCTGTCTAGGTAACTTACTGAAAATAAATCTGGAATTAACAGATCTATGGAGGAATGTTATATAAGCTGTGGAACTAATGGGATGGGAATTTTGGAGGTATTCCAAGTGAAATTTTTGCTCCATGTATTGCACAAAAACACACACAGACGCCATCCCAATTTGGGAGAGAAAAGAGTTCTGGAAGCTGTGTTGACACTCTTGGACTGCTCCCAGGGAAAGGGGCTTACTCTTTGTTTTGCTAACACCTGTGTCCTTTCAAGCACTAGTAAATCTGGTCCTGGGTAAAATATGTAATTTGCATGAATATAATCTGACAATTTGATTTTCTGCCAATCTTAGATTGGCCCTGTAGGCAGGATGTGTCTGGTCTGTCTGGGAGACTTACTGAAAATAAACCTGAAACTGATGGCAATATGGGGTCATGGACATATGGAGATTGAGATATAGCTGTAATTAATGGAGTATAATTTGGAAAGGTTCCATAGCCAAAATGGCTCTCTCTGTGCTACCAATATTATGCATGCTTTGCTGAGAACCCTGAATATTGAATCCAAACCACAACATATGCTAATGTGGAATAAAAGGACATTTAGGGAACTACACTAATAATATCAGATCTCACAAAAGGAAGAATGCATGAGTATGTGCTTTGCTATCACCATATCCCTTGATTATCAGTAAATTAGGCAATGAATAACATCTATAGCTTGTGTTAAAGCTGACTCTATGGTCTGCTACTTGTATCATGTTTCATTTCTTCTCTCTCTCTCTTTTCTACTTTTGAAGAGGTTTTTCTTGAACCATGGACCCAGGTATTTAAAAGCTTCATCTGTTTCTTATTTTTAGTAGTAGTTTATTAAATCTTATCATAAAAAGGACATTTGAAAAATAGAATGAACTTCAGACATTATCAAAAACAATTACCAAAAACATATAAAGTATTTGTTTCATGTCCTTCTTAGAAATCTTATCCTAGGTATTTCACAAATGTTTGGAATTTTGTGAATAATAAGATCAAAGAAATCTTTGAGTCTGAAACAGATATCTAACTAACCAACTATTTCCTTACGGTGCTAGTTTCTCAACTCATTTTGCTGGGCTGATGAATTGATAATAAGATTTACTGTGAAGAAATTTCATGTTATGCATATGTAGCCTAAATAATTTCTGAATACGTACATAAAATAATGAATAGATTATTACTCTTCTAGGTAGACTTTTAAAAGGTAAACCCCAAACATCACTTTTACTATCTCAAAAAGATTTACTCTAAAGACTAGCTCAAAAACTAACCCTGTTTTCCTTGATTCTTACTTCCTGATTCCCGTCTATACATCACAATTTGGATTCTGGAGAGGAAAGCAGTTTAAGGAAAGCTTGACTTGTTTTCCTCAAGTTGATAAGCAAAGGACAGCTCTCTGTGTACTTGTTAAGGAAGATCTCAACCCTATCCACAAAAGTAGATTTTACACCTGTGTTTATCCAGATAACAACTCCATCCTAAATCCTAGAAGTCTTACTGAGTAGGTAACAGCCTCTTTTATAAAGTTTACAGTTTTCTTTTTGTCTCATATACAAAGGGAGGGTTCAGTTCCATGGTTCATTTGCATGATTTAGGCTATGATTCATGTCATCCTTTTCTATTCCTCAAAAGCTTTTTTCTAAGCACCACCTACCTCTACTTTTCCATCTACTTTTCCTACTACTACTCTTCCATCTAATTATGCACCAGATCTCTTCTACTAATTGTTCCCTGTAGTGGGAATGAAGGCTCAGCCCTGCTAATATCTGCACAGTCCAGATCTTTCTGATTCTCAGTTCTCTCTCTTCTCTAACAGACTCTTTTTTTCTTTTTCTTTTTCTTTTTTTTTCTTTGGTACCGGTGATCAAACTCGGGTCCTTGCACTTGTGAGGCAGGTGGCAGAATCACTGAGCTAAATCCCTGGCCCCAGACTCTTTTTATCCATTTCCCAGGAGGAAGTTATACAGCTGCATACATAGAGTTATAAGGTATGGGCTGTTTTTAATTTTTACTCCTCACTGTTGTTTTTCTTTTGATCACTATAGTCTTCAAAGTGCCCTAAGGAAAGGACAAATATGAAAAGGGAGAAAAGAGGGCTAAAAACAAAGAAACTTCAGGGTTAAAACTCAAAGCAGTTTTGAAGTTAATCAATAGCTTGAACAATAGATCTCCACATGAAGAGAGTCTTCACTTGGGTTTATAATCAAGGACCAGTTGTATTTTACAGTGCTAGGGTCACTTACTAATTTATGATTTTCCCTTAGGATAGATTGGTTGCGAGATGAAAAAGTTGTATCACTGTCAGATTTTATGTCAGGACTTTTATGGGACCCTGAAATTGAGGGCTAAACAGTAGGAAAAACTACACCCATGCAAGACCTCTGTGACTATTTTTAGAGGAGAAAGTGAGTAGGATATGCAATATTTTATCTCTATTGAAAATATTAAAGCCTGAGTATTTATTTTGTAAGGACCCTTACAGGAGTTAAGTTAATGACAGGACCTTTTGGAGTCACGCTCCTAAAGTTTCCTGGAAACTTATTTGTTGTGATCATTTCAATTTCAATTTATTTGACTGAGAGAAGAGTAGGGAAAATGAGATCTGACCAAAAGCAACAAAGAATAACAAAGAAAGAAGATATTTGAGAATGGCTGAATGGAGTTTTCATCGAATCATTCTATGGAAAGAAAATCATGAAGCATTAACGATATTATGACAGAAAATTTGGCAGGGCGTGTTGGTAAATTAAGAAGCTGATCTGGTGATTACATACTGAGAACTTAATTCATTTTCTTAAGCATATGTAACTATAATACTATTAACTACTATTTAGCAGTATTTTATGCTATACAAATTGACAATAGTCAACATTTTTAGAGGAAAATATTACCAATTCAACCTTTAAGAATATAACCTCCCTCTGTAGTGGTGTTTAAGAAGTTCTATAAAAGGTAATGACATAAACTGGAGTAAACCTGATAAATGACAGAATTGCTTGAGTTTGCTTCTGATTCTGTAGGTTTACCGGAACACAAACAGTAATATGGAAGAGACCAATTGAACATTTTTAATCAAGAAAGCAAGAGAAGTCAGCAGTCATTAAGTTCTCATGGTTTGAAAGGTATCTATTTCTCTGCCAACCTCAGCATGGTGCTTTATTTATATTAGCAACTAAAATAAGGAAGAAATTATTTCTGATTTAACTATCTTGTAATTCAACAAAATGTGGATTTTTTTTGTTCCTTGTTGGATCATTAATTAAACTGATATATGTGTGTGTGTTTCAAAAAGCTGAAATTACATGATAAATATTCCTGCCAATATTGTATTTATTGAAAGTATGCTATTTATATTCTAATTTGAAAAGAAGAAATACAATAGCTCCCTTTAAATGCACCTTTTTAATACATGTTTTCTTCAAAATTCTTTACAGATCTCTACATTACCTTGTCTTTAGATTTAATTCTAGCTTTTAAGTCATTTTGTAAAATTAGAGTATACAAAATAAAGTTAAAACTGTACATACACAGGTATTTTTAGGAAGATGTACTTTTTGATCTACTTTTTTGCCTTTCCTGCAAGGCTAGGATAGCTCATCTAGTGGATTAGAATTTTAACAATAATTTGCAAATGTCAAGCTGAATGCCTTTGACTTAAGGGTCCCAGAATGGACTGAACTTCAGAGAGGGCAAAATCTAGCCTATCTTTATTCTGTGTTTAACTCTTTCTGTTCAAAATGACAAGGACTGGCAACTAACTACCTTGGGTCACTCTTCTCCCTTGTATTTAAGGCCAAACAACAGAAATTAAGCCTAGTTATCTGCTATGATTTAGAACTAATATGTCCCCCAAAAGTTTCATGTGTGTGGAAGATGATCGGGTCAGGAGTGCACTGTATTCATCAGTGGATTCACGTGTTGATGAGTTCAGTAGCTGGGTGCTGCTGGGAGGTGGGCCCTGGTAGGAATGGGTCAGTGGGGGCATCACCTGGAAGTATTCTTGTCCCTGGCTCCTCCTTTCTTTCTCTGCTTCCTGGCTGCCATGGGTTGAACAGTTTTCCTCTCCATGTCCCTCTGCCATTCTGTGTCAACCCCAGCACCAGCGACCATGGACTGAAACAGTGAACCAAAGTAAACCTCTCCTCCTTTAAGCTGTGGGCACCTGGTATTTTTGTCCCAGTGATAGGAAAGTGGCTGATACATTATCCAACATTAATCTCTATACTGTTCTGCACTTAAACTATACACCCTTCCCATTTTCAAGGCTGGCCTCTAACTAACTGTGACTGGCTGGGCCTCTCTTCTCATTTATAATTCTTTCTAGTAAGTAACTTCTCAGAGACAGGAAACCAGCAAGAACCTTGTCTTACCTGGATGCAGGTGCTTCCTGTAGCTTGATGCTGGCACTACGGTCCCTTCGTACTGGTGCGGGCTCCAAGGTGGGGAGACCTGTGGCTGAGGTGGTAGTTGTCCAAGTTGATGAAACTCGTCTCAACAAGCCCGGGGGCAAACTTCTTCTCAGGCGCTAGGAAAGAGTGTTGATTGTATTAACAAACATGTTCTATATCACTAAATTTTATGTAATAAAGTGGAAAGAAATGAGTTTTTAGTTGAAAGTGAACTGATGAAAATATATTGGTTGACTATCATCTATCTAAAATTTTGGTGCTCAGAAATTCCAGACTTTCTAGCCGATATAAATGAATACTATAAAAATACTATTTTTGAAGATCTTCATTTCAATGCTTATGCAAATATGGAATTATAGGAATGACAGTCAATTACCTCTGAGATTATTTTATAGTTATATTAGTTCAATAGGGTTTGTACATGTATATACACATACTATATTAGTTATTAGCAGACAGAAGTCTTTCCACAAAAGTCATTTCTTGAGGTATGGATTAATTTATATTGTCTTATTCAACATCTATATCCCCAAGTACTACTGGTTCATTTTTACTATCTCAATTTACAAGTGACAATGCTAAGTGTAAGGATGTAACTCACAGAATGCACTATTTCTTTTACGGTAATTATGACTTAGTCATCAGTGATATGAGTAATGTCATCAGTATTAACTTCTCTTAACAGAAGATACTTCTGGCCAACCTGCTGTTGCCTCTCTGTATTATTTCCCCTTTCACAGTGTCCTCAGGGGGATATGTGGCAGCAGCAGCACTGGGGCAATAGTCTGGGCTCACCATCATGAGCAATGGTACACTAAGGAGGATGTTAGCTTTAAAGATTAAGGTCAAGGTGTTCTCCTGATGCAACTTCCATAACAAGCATAAGAGGTAGATCCTATACCTACTATACCTACTTTTATCTATGTCTAAGTACAACCTACCAAACCGACTGTGTACGCATAGTTTACAAAGACATATTCCACTCTTCTGGCCATGGGAAAAACTTTGAGAAGTAAAGTAGATTGCAATTTGAGATTCACAAATAGCTCTGATACTCGATTATTTCCAAAGTCTCCTAAAGATCAGAGCATGCATCTAAGGTGGTAATTTAGTAGGAAATGAAAAGTTCAATCATTGGTATTTGCCAAGTTTCTTGCCTGAAGTCTGTTTTGAGACCCTAAGAAATGAGTCTATTTCCATCTTAATTTCTTTAATTTCATATTGAGCCTTGGTATATCGTTCTAAAAGAAGTAAACTGGAAGGAAGCAACATAAATGTGCAATTGACAAAGACACAAGGATTACATTTCGGAGTCAAGGGAATCACCAGAGCAGGAACATCTAAACAATCACCATACTGCATACACTAAACTTCTGACTTTTTATCTTTAATATTACTTATACTCAATTACCACTCTATCTTCACAGTTTTAAGGCAGGACTCTACCCTCACAATTTACTTTAGAAAAACTCATACAGGTTAAATATCTCTTCTACAAAATGATTGGGATCAGAAGTGCTTCCATTTTTTTTCCATTGTGAAATATTTGCATATATTTTATCAATTGAGCAATCCTAATCCAAAAGTCTGACATTTCTCTAAATCTGACATTTTTTGAATATCATGTCATTGCTCAAAAAGCTTTGGATTATGGAGCATTTCTGGTTATGGACTTTGGATAAAGGATGCTCAACTTATACATAAAAAGAAGGAATTCTACCATTTCCTTTTACATATAAGATACAAGTTTATATAAGTCAGTAAGGCTACCCTTTGCTATGAATAATTTATAAACAACTAAAACTGTTCTGAGTTCAAAATTTGCTTTTGAGAAATCCATAGAATTCTGTACAATGTCACATTAAGAATTAAAAAAGCAAAGGAATATTCAGTTTTAGAAGGCAATGGATTTTACAAAACCCACACTAGAATGTAGTAGGGTTTTTTTTTATTTTGCCTATTTTTGTTATTTTGTTTTTGTTGCAATATTCTTATTGCCTTATCAACCCACATTGGCACACACAGAAGTAAAAATTTCTTGAGAGTTTCAATAAAGGAGGTAACATCAAAAGAGAAATTTTCTATTTACACAAAGGTATCAAGTACAAGGAGAGAAGAGTTTCTGTTGAAATTTTTATTACTTTGCCACTTCTATCAACATACCTCCCCCCCTTTAATTGATACGGATGAATCTGCAGAATCTGGGTTTGGAGTGACAAGAAGAAAACCCGGGAGGCAATGAACTTTGTCACCCTTTAGGGAGCGTGTCATTAACACCCACCTTGGGGATGGTCAGCTTGTCTTTTTCAGAGCTCTCTTCCGAATCGGAACAGGTGTAGTTTTCACTGAAGGACACCACAGGGTTGGCTCTGGGCTTGTGGATGGCTGGGAAGGTGAGCTGCGCGCTGAGCAGGTTGCTCACCGCCCGCAGCGACGTGCACACATTTGGGGGCAGAGTGGGGTCTGCCAGGAGGTCAGTAATGAGGCCGTGAGCCTCGCCCATCACAGCAATGTCCACGGTAATACTGGTTCCTGAGGACTGAGATGGCAAACCAGAGAAGGCTGGGTAAGAAGAGGCCCGATCCTGGAGCCACAGAGACATTCACTGGCCTTTTGTTTCAATCAAAAAATAAATTCAGATGATTCTTGACAATTTTGGTACAATCCAATTTAAATCATATTTCTATTTTAAATTCTGCTCCAATTTGGCATGGTCTTCATTCTTTATATGTTTTTATGGAAAATTTTAAAAAATGATTATTTTTCTTTAAATGAATTTATATAGATACATGAAAAATTATACGTATCAGTGAAGTACCATGTGATGTTTCAATACATGTATACATTAGATAATATTTAATCAAGCTAAGCATATTTATCTCCTCTAATATTTGCTGTTTCTTCATGGTAAAAATATCTAAAATCTTTCCTTCCAGTTTTTTGAAATATCCATTGCATTCTCATTATCTGTAGTCACCCTGCTGTGCAATAAAACAGTAGAAGGCACCCCTATCTATGGCACTTTTTAAATGCTAGAACTTGGGGAGAAGTAGAGCTTATTTGAAGAGATTAAAAAGATAAAGATTAATTGTTAAAAGGCAAAACATTTCAGAGAACTGGAAAATAAAACCCTTCATACTGGCCACTCCATACACAGGGCTCAACATTTTGTGTGTTTATTATTTAGAAATTTCATTCTGAAAATAACAATATACCATAGAACTTTACATCAGTAATATTTTAATGTGACATTTGAGCGTGCCATGTAGTATTCAACTAATATTAGAGATAACTAGTTGAAATGCAACTCAGTTTCTGTTCAAAGTCACAATCGATCCCTCTTCTCATGGTTGGTAGAGAAGGTTTCGGTTCTGGAATTCTGCGGCACACCTGCTCTTATTTGGCCAGATGCCCATCAGGCTGGAGACACTGACCTCACTGTTGCAGTGAGGAGGGCAGAGGGAGGCCAAGATCAAGGGGAAGACAAGCCCTACAGGCAGATGCAGAGGACCCTTAAAACTGGTGTCATCTCGCTGTTACGTGCAAGAAAGCCAAAGAACCATCAACTGCACCACACAGTGATCAGGGCAGCAGGTCTGGAACAAGGCTGTTTAGATCCAGGTCCTGGCTCTCTATCACTTTGTACTTGCATAACCTCTGTCAGATTACTAAACCCTCCATGGTGTGATTCCATCCATCGGTAAAGTGTATGTAATAACAATAGGACCAAATACAGAAGGTAATAACAAGAATTAAAATCAATAATATATGTATAATACTTAATAACATGCTGGCAATTATAAGTCTTCAATAATACTGATATAATTACTAGTTACTAATAGTAATAACTGAATTTTTCCAATTAGAAGCCATTAGTACTTGATTGCATATTAGCAGGAAAATAAAGTTTAATTATTCCCTCGCAGTGGATTTACACACCAAAGAGATGAAAAAAATTAAATGTATAAAACTGTAAGATCATTAAAAGAAAATATGATGGACTATTTTATAATCCTGAAAATAAAACTTTTAAAAAGTGATATGAACCCATAACCTGCCAACGAAACATGGGACATATCTGACCACATGAAGATGTAAACAACTACAGTTCCTGAGAAAACATATCATAAACAAAGCAAAAAGTCTGAAAAAATGTTCGCCACACAAAGAAGAGAAAACACATCAAATAAAGGGCTTTTAAAATCCAGTAAAAGGAAAAATTGCAGGAAGGGAATGAATACACCATTCAAATGAAATAGAAGTAACCAAATATATAAAAAATTACTCTGTCTTCTCTAATAATTAAAATGCAAATCAATATGGCAAAAGCAACTATTTATTACTATATATCAAATTGGCAAAAACAATAAACATGGGTAGCATGAAGTATTATACTGGCTTGGGGAAAAAAGTGGTATGTGAAAAATAATAATTTTTCGAAGGAAATTATGCTATCAGTTTGTAGTTTAAATATACTATCCTATGATTCAGCCAAACAACAAAGACATCTGGGCAGGGGATTTGGCTCAGTGGTTCTGCCTCCTGCCTTGCAAGTGCAAGGTCCTGAGTTTGATCTCTGGTACCACCCCCCCAAATGGCAATACAAACAACAAAGTCATCTGGTCTAAAGAAATACATCTGCAAATATGTAAAACTACAAATATAAAGATGCAAAGGGTAAAATAGTTCTCTGGTAACAATAGCCAAAGGATGTAACCACTAAATTCATATCAATAGGGAAATTGACCAAAGTTGTATTACATTTGTGATTTAAAACTGAACTAGTTTAAAAGATTTGGGTAGATCCAAAAATGATTACTTAGATAATGCTCAATAAATATGGTTTACTGGGAGGGGAGTAGACCTTGGAAAAAATACGTATTATTTTTGTAAACAGAAAAATATTATAATTATGAAAATACCCAATATTCCTGAAGATATCTAGTCTTATAATTACTATAAATCATAGATTAGTTATACTATAAAGCTATCATACTGAATATACAGATCTTTTATCACTGTAATGTTTTTGTTTTTGTTTTTGTTTTTTGGTACTGGGGATCGAACTCAGGTCCTTAGCTTGCGAGGCAGGCAGTGGAACCACTGAGCTAAATCCCCAGCCCAAGATCTTTTATCACTAGAGTAGCAATAATTATGATGACAACTGATGCTTAATGATAAAAAAATCTACAAAATAGGTACTATTAATTACTGTACTTTTATTAGTTACAAATAACTTGCCAAAATTAGATAGCTGGGAAGGGAAAATGCTGGGCTGAAAATACAAATACTTTGATTCCAAAGTTCAAATGTTAAACCAGGATGCTGAAATGAATTCTGAAGGTTATCATTTTATATTCCTAAATATATGTGTAATTATTTCAGGCCTTGATCATAAAACTTGTATGTGCTACACAGCAGATATATACAGTAGACAAGTAGGCTGATGAAGGGGAAATCGGAGGGGTAGGGGAAAAGAAAGAAGGGAATGGAATTAATATGAGAAAAAGAAAAAATGGAAAAAAAGCCTTTGTAGATAGGGAAGGGTGGAGGGGTTAAAGGAAGAGCAGGGGAATGGGGGAAAAATAAGAACCAAGATGGATTATATAAAGGTGCAAATTTCCAATGATAAATGTCATTATATAGCATACCATAAATGTACCAATATAATTAATAAAAAAATCGATTATGTTCAAAGAAAAAAGTAGACCGATGAACAGAAAAACATGTACTTTATTAGTTTTAGAATATATAATTTTACATGTCATATATGTACATATATTGTTAATTTTTCTAAATGCTCTTATGTCATTGAACTAACAAGTTGTAACTGACTGAAGGGTTAGCATTCCCTTTTAGCACATATATTTTCAAATGTGTCTCTAATCATTATACTTTCAAAAAACTTACCCAGTGTTATCTCTGAAATAGAAATGTTTATTCCTAACCATGTTGTTCTAATAAACAAGTCACTGGACTGTTTTCACAAAAATTAAAAATTTTAAGTCAAACTGTTTTCAGAACATAAAATGTCAAGGCTTTTTGGAAATGAAATTAACATTTTATACTGTGATAATTAATAAAACTTTGTAAAATGTTCTTAGTACATAGAAACTACCAATCAGAAGAAAAAGTGGAATATGTCTGTTGATTAAAATTTGAATTAGAATTTTAAACATACATCGTGGGTAAAAGTACAAGTCTTTTTTCTAATTTTCTAACTTTATATCTTTTTAATAATACATTATCCCTATTGTAAAAAATAAGGGATATACTTCCTATACATTCAGAGAAAACAAACACTGCAATTTTTTAAAAAATTAATTTTATTGGTACATTTTAGGTATACAATATAATGACATTCATCATTGGAAATCTGCACCTTTACATAATCCTTCTTGTTCTTATTTTTCCCTCATTCCCCTCCCCTCCCTTCAACGCCTCCATCCCTCCCTATTTACAAAGACTTTGTTTCCATTTTTTCCTTTTCTCATATTAATTCCATTCCCTTCTTTCTTTTCCTCTACCCCTCTCACTTCCCCTTCCCCTTTGCCCCTTTTCTTCCTACTTCACATTTTCTATTATACCTTTTAGTCCTTATTTACACTTTCAGTTTCTCACACTAGAGAAACTATTCAGTATTTATACATGTGTGTCCTATTTATTTCACTTAAGAGTATCGCCTCAATGAGCATCCATTTAGCTATAAATGTCTCTGATTTCTCATTCTTTATGGCTGAGTAGTACTCCAATTTATACAAAAAAACCCACATTGACTTTATCCAGTCTCCAGTTGATGGGCAATTGGGCTGCTTCCAAGTTTTAGCTATTACAACTTGTGCTGCTATGAACATGAGTGCATATATATTGCTGTTGTATGATTCTTTTAATTCTTTAGGAACGTACCCAACAGGGGAATAGCTGGGTCAAATGGGACTTTCAGTCCTAGTTCTTTGAGGTATCTCTATACCGATTTCCACAGTGGTTGCACCAGCCTACACTCCCACCAACACTGAAGCAGTGTTCCTCTTTCCCCACAGCCCAGCCAGCATTTGTTATTGGTTGATTTCATGATAGCAGCCATTTTTTTCTGGAGTGAGGTGGAATCTCAGCGTTGTTTTCATCTGCATCTCACCAATGACCAGTGATGTTGAACATTTTTTTCATCTGTTTATTTGCTACTTCTACTTCTTTCTCTGAGAAATGTCTGTTCATTTCAGATGCCCATTTTTGGATTGGGTCTTTCAATTTGGCAGGTCTGATTTATTTTAAGTTCTTTATATATTCTTCATAGTAGACCTTTGTCTGAGGAACAGCCCGTGAAAATTTTTTCCCACACTGTATGTTGTCTCTTCACATTGTTGGTGGTTTCTCTTGCTGTGCAGAAGCTTTTTAATAAGAAGAGATCCCACTTATTGATTGATTGTGCAAGTTCATGGGCAACTGAGGTTTTGTTCATAAAACCTTTTCCCATACCAATGTTTTCAAGAGTTCTACCTGACCTCTCTTCCAGCTGGTTTGGCGTCTCTGTTTTAATAT